CGATGTATGAATGTAAACCAATTGCAAATATCAATTTCAGGTTTTTCTCTTACGTCATTAATTCTGATCATGGTGATTGGTTTGTGACAGTGAATGCCGATGAATGTTTGTTGGCAAGAATGCAAGAGATGTCCCTTGATTATCATTTCACAGTAGAGCAAGAAGTTGGGTCAGCCATTCATGCTTTCTTTAATTTTAATGGTAATAATTCATTTAGCTTAGTCTTTCCACAAATGAGATAATAAGATACTGATGCATGCACATCGTACTTACTGACCATTAAAACAATTAGTGTTTCATGCATACAATACATAACCTTAACGCAGGGACAGCGGGTGTATGGAGAATTGCTGCTATCAATGAAGCAGGAGGGTGGAAAGACAGAACAACAGTGGAGGACATGGATCTTGCTGTTCGTGCCAGTCTTAGGGGCTGGAAATTTGTGTACCTCGGAGACCTTCAGGTATACATACATTCCTTTTTACAATTGTACCCTTATGAATTCCAATCAATTATATTTATCGCATAAATATAAGTATAATGGGTGATATGATGCATGGTTCTGCTAATATTTTATCTGCAATGTTTATCATTACGATTATGTTTTTAGTAATGGTGGGTGTTTCTTATTAGTCATTAACATGAACCATGTCTAGGCAAAAAATGAGCTTCCTAGTACTCTTACGGCATTTCGCTTCCAGCAGCATCGATGGTCATGTGGTCCTGCAAATCTATTTCGCAAAATGATGATGGAGATAGTAACGAACAAGGTTAGCCTTTTCAATCATATGCGTACTTTATGTTGTAGTGGAAAAGGATGATTGTTAATGTTAAGGGTGAAAACTAAAATATGAAAAATTAAAGAAAGGAAATTCCTAATATTTTTAATGTTTTATTTTTGCAGAAAGTTAAATTTTGGAAGAAAGTGTACGTCGTATACAGCTTCTTCTTTGTTCGTAAAATCATAGGTCACACGGTCACCTTCTTCTTCTACTGTGTCGTGCTTCCCTTGACCATTTTGGTTGCTGAGGTTCATGTTCCAATTTGGGGAGCTGTTTATCTTCCCTTCGTCATCTCCATCCTCAGTTCAATTGGAACACCAAGGTTTGATTTGATCTTTCTTTATATGCCACGTTATGGTTATACCTTATTTGTAGTCCCTTAATTTGTTCTAAAGGATATTTGAATTTAAAATTTGACAGGTCCATTCACCTTTTGTTCTATTGGATCCTTTTTGAGAATGTGATGTCATTGCACCGTACAAAAGCAACCTTCATAGGTCTGCTAGAAGCTGGGAGAGCCAATGAGTGGGTTGTCACTGAAAAACTTGGAGACTCTGTCAATAATAAGAGTAAAGCAGGAGTTGCTGCCAAGAACAAGAACAGTGTCACCAAAGCATTCAAAAAACCTCTATTCAAATTTGGTGAAAGGTAAGTTTTATTTCCAATGAAGACAATTCTATCTTCATTGGACATTGTGAATATAATTTCAACTTCTGCACACACTTTTCTTAATTCATGTATCCCACATTAGTCTCTTGTTTGGTGGTTTGGACTTTTCGGACTAATTTTTATGTTTCTTGCTACTTGTTGTTGAAAATGAGCAGACTCCATTTACTCGAGCTTGGATTTGCTGCCTTCCTCTTCCTCTGTGGATGCTATGACTTCGTACATGGCAACAATAACTACTTTGTGTTCCTCTTCCTTCAGGCCATAACCTTCTTAATTGTAGGATTTGGCTATGTTGGCATCATTGTCTAATACTTGTTGAGCCAAAATCTCGAGTGACTTAAAGTTTCAAGTTGTGTTCGGAACCAAGAATTTTAAATTATTAGATTGCATGTATTTAGGTCATGAGAAAAAGTATTTTTAAAATACTTTAAAATTTAATTAAATTTTTTTTACTTTAAATATAAGAAATTTTAAATGATGTATCGTTAAAGAGAATTTAAAATGTCTTTTATTGTATTTAAATTTTTGAATTATTATTCATAATTTTTTGTATACTTAATTTACATTTTAATTATCTTATTATTAATGACAATTTTAAGAATTTTAAAATTTTTCATGCGAACACAATTTCTGAATTTTACGGTCATATTTCACTAATTTCTCTCCTCAATAAAAGAAGATGTAAACAAATGACAGGCAAAGAATGCCACTGAAATGCATTACACAGGCTTACGGACGGGCAATAAGATTTATCAAAATACTCTTAAGTTGGAGTTGACTAGTAGATAACGTTGGTTTGCTTGCTTAGATTGATGTGACATATTAAAATTTTTGTCTTGTTTCCGCTATTTTTTTCAGCCATAGTCTGGGCCAAATAATGTGGTGTATAAAAGATGAATTTCTAATAACACATTTTGTTTGTCATTGTTTTTCCGAAGGAATGGATTTTATTTATGGTGTATGTAATCAGAAGTTGCTTCTGGAACAATATTACTATTTGGAAGTGTGAACATAGATAAATGTTTGATAATGATTCTTTTCCCGAACTGTCTGCTGTAAGCAAACTTGATTTCCAAATATACTTAATATGTTCTCTTCTTCCTTTTTTCTTGGTCAACCAATATGTTCTCATTTGAAACCAGAAATTTTTTAGGACATTACTTACTGTAATTGTAAGTTATTTTGCCCTCCTACACTTGTGCATGTGCCATGCGGTATAGTTTTACGCAGAAAATGCTCTATTCTTTTTTACTTGCATATGCTTTTGTTATGTTCGCTGAGCCAGACTAACACGCCCAAGTTCTTACCATCGGCACACTACCACGGCATTTACCACTTTTTATAGTGCGATTATGTTCTTTTGATAGCAAAATACGTTTTGGGTTTCGCCAAAACTATTTAGAAAAAGCATCCTTTTGGATCACTATGGCAAGAATGATAGACAGTCATTTTGGTTACTTCAAGCAAAATTGTTGACTAATCTTTTCTATTTTTTTTTATTTAAATCAGCATTTATTTTCAAATTTTTTGTAAGATTTTAACTTTAGTCTCTTTGAATCCTTATTTTATTTTAAATTTTAACACTTTTAATTTCAAATAATAATGTAAATAATTAAAAAATTGTCAAGTGTTGATTTTTCTAAAATCATATCTTTGAAAAAAAAATAAAAGTGTAATCTAAAACAAAAAAATCAATTAATTAATTAAAATAAAAAATTTTACAACAAATATAAGATATTTAAGTTTTTTTTTTTATTGTCGTAAGTTGGTCTTATTTTATCAGCAGCGTAAAACGAGCATGCACATGCAATCTAGTTCTTAAAATGGAGATATAAAGTAAGGTGAGTGCATCAAATTAAGTTTTATAAGATCATTGAAAACGAAAACATCGTTTTTACCTGTGAGTTCAAACACTTAAACAGTATCGATGCCAAAGGCAAAGCATATTTCTCGGCAAAGTTCGGCCTCAAAGTGTCATCAAATTCCTGCAATCCTGCATATCTTATACATATAATAACATTGTCCTATTGCTTATCAGCAATTAGTTACAGTCATTTTGACTTTATTTTAGCATTGCATTATCCTTGTGGCTCTAATATATTCCAATGTGATTGATACTAGTAATTAAAAATACAAACACATTTAAGTTGACAATTTTTGTGTATCATATTATACCCTAATTAAATAAGCATTTAGTCTCGTCAACTGGTAGAGAAAAGACAATATTTAAATGTTCGCCTTCGGGGGGAAAATGAAACTGCTGTTATTCTATTAAGTCTAATTCAAAAACATAAGAACAATAGAAGATTCATATTTATGGACTTGTCACTTTAAGAAATTAGTTTAGGGAAAGAACCAGAAGCAAGCCAAGGATTAACCAGTGTTTCACGTTGTTCATAAAAAAAAGATATTATGTATAAGAAATGAACTTGTTAAAAAAAAAAAAGTAAAGCAACTTGGCAGTTGTGCATTCTGAGTAGATTGGCAGATTCTTATAAGGCATTGTTTTTTAAGATTAATGGCCGAGGTTGGTTTAAAGTATTTTATTGGGTAAACCAAAGTTTTCAAACTGAAACCACAAGCATTATTTATTATTTAAGACAATTTACATAATATATAAGTCTTGTGTATACAACTTAATTGTGAGGTAACTGTATGTCTCCTTTAACTTGTATCGTCCATTGACATTGTTTCCTTTTATTATTCGAAATTGAATCTTTCCGGGCTGGGTTTTCGTCTGCTGTAAAAATAGTTTTAAAAAATGTGTTCCCAACGTTAAATTAAAAAAAAATAATTGTTATAACTAATAAAGTTTGCTGATAAATTCAATGATGCATAGAAAATTTTTTGTACATGAAAGAAAAACGAACTAATAAGAGCGTTATTTAAATAATAAATAAATATTATTTTTTAAATGGTAGGGTGTATTGATAACTAAAATTACCTTTGTAAGGTTTTTATATTTCTAATTCTTTAAACTATATTTTAAAACTAAAAAATGTATATGATGTACTAGTTGTTAAGTATTTGAGAATTAGGGTTACCATATTATGAAAATACTTCATTATTTTGAAAATAAAAATAATTAACATCAAATATTAAATTTATTTAAATAATTAAAATCATACATATAACCTTTTAAAGTAATAATATAGAGAGGGGGTGAGGGGAATGATGAAGTTCAAATCCTAATTGTATTTTATTTTTTGGTCACGGACTATAATCGTAATTATTTTGAGAGATTTATGCACACGCCTTCCAGATCGGCCCAACAAATCATGGTGTTGTACCAAATTATATACGTGTGCCCTAAATGCCTAAGTTAAACCATAACAATATACCCAAAAAAAAATAGCCCTTAAGATCCGGGTCTTGGGCCCAACAAAACATGAAGTACTAAATAATTGAATTAAAAATGTGCTGGCTGTGGGGTTCGAACCCACGCGCACTTATGTGCAGAAGATCTTAAGTCTTCCCCCTTAACCTCTCGGGCAAACCAGCTGGTTGGAAGGGTTGTCTCGAACAAATGTTTATATACATATTATGTAATTATTTACGAATATTTTGCAGAACCATCTAGAAATCACCCTTACCGTCCTCGTATCGCATTACAAATCCCCAACTTCGAAATCCTTAGCCAGCAAAGGTTGCTGAAGAAGAGCGATCGATTCAGCTCTTTTAAGTGTGAATTGAATCGGAGCACTCGGCAATGGCGGAACATTTGGCATCGATATTCGGAACTGAGAAGGACAGGGTGAATTGCCCGTTCTACTTCAAGATCGGAGCATGCAGACATGGGGATCGGTGCTCCAGGCTTCACACGAAGCCGAGCATAAGCCCAACGATATTGCTATCGAACATGTACCAGCGCCCCGACATGATCACCCCCGGCGTCGACGCTCACGGCCAACCCATAGACCCTCGCAAGATCCAGGACCACTTCGAAGAGTTCTACGAAGACCTCTTCGATGAACTCTCCAAATACGGCGAAATAGAAAGCCTCAACGTCTGCGATAACCTCGCCGACCACATGGTATGTTCCGATTATTATTATTATTGTTTTTGTTGTTGTTATTATTGTTTACGAGTTTGATTCGTGGAATTAAATTTGTTTCGTTTTCAGGTTGGTAATGTGTACGTTCAGTTTAGAGAGGAGGAGCATGCTGCTAATGCTGTCAGGAACCTCGCTGGGAGGTTTTATGCTGGTTGGTTATCTCATTTCTTTTGTTGTTGTTTATTTTGTTCTGTGTATCTTTTTGTGTGAATGTTTAATAATTGATGAGAATTATGTACTAGTTGTTAGGGTTGATGAATGTGCAAAATTGTGTTTACGTTATCTGCTGAGGTGTGACTATGATTCATTTTGAGGATTGAACTTCAATTGTTTGCTTGCTTGCTTGCAGGTCGGCCAATTATTGTTGATTTCTCTCCGGTGACAGATTTTCGTGAAGCTACTTGCAGGCAGTATGAGGAGAATACTTGTAACCGAGGTGGTTATTGCAATTTCATGCACTTGAAGAGAATTAGCAGGTAATGTTTTGACATTGGCGTTAGGCTTTTTTGTTTGGGGTGTTTTTGTTGAATAAAAGTTCAAATTTTGGTTTGAAATGTGTTGTGAACAGGGAATTGAGGCGCCAGTTGTTTGGAAAGTACCATGGAAGGCACAGCCGGAGCAGAAGCAGAAGTCCTTACAGGCACCGGAGCCATGAGGAGCGGTCTCATCGCAGCCATGGACGAAGGTATGATGACAGGGACTACCATCATGAGAGTCGCAGCAGAAGGCACAGGAGCACGAGTCCTGGACATAAGAGAGGACGGAGTCGCAGTCGAAGTCCTGGAGGAAGGAGGAACCGAAGTCCAGTTAGGGAAGGCAGTGAGGAGAGACGTGCTAGAATTGAGCAGTGGAACAGGGAGAGGGAAGAACAAGAACCTACACATAAGGTTAATGCTGAGGAAATCAACGATGGATACATGCAGAATGCTAGCAAATATCATGGGTATCAGCAGCAACAACAGCAACCTCCTCAGGAGGGATATTGATCTAGTTATGTTATTATGGTTTGTGTTCTCTCTCTCTTTTGTTTACCTATTCCTATAGCCGTAGGGAACAGCTTTGGATCTAGTATAGACCACCCACAGAATAAATACTGCTCACCACCCATTTTCCACTGTGCAGGTGGTGCAGGTGCACTGTTCTATGATATGGAATGTGTTTCCCTCTTCCTCCCCCATACCTTTTACTTTAATATTTCTGCCTTTTTTTTTTCATGCATGATGCTTCATTGTATGTTGCACTACTTAATGTAGGTTTCCCAAAATATTTCACTGCTATGAACCATGTTTTCAACATTTGTATTGTCAAATCTTGTTTTGTTATATTCTTTATTTGCATTCTTCAAGGATAGAATGTATTAGAAATACTGAGCGGTCGAGCCCTTGTTTGCACTGTATTTATGAAGGTTAGCTGAAAATGCGGGAAAATGTTTTTTTCTTCCTGCCCTGTGTTCCTAAAAATTTCTTACTATCCTCTAGCCAAGAATTCTTGTTGGTTCTTTCTTTCAAATTTTTGTTTTGTCTTTGCATTCCTGTTGGTTTCCTCAAATGTGGTGCTAGTTTTTTGCAATTCCCTGTCCTTCTCTAATTGCACATTACCCTTTAGTCATTCTGGCCCTTTAGTCATTCTGGCTATATAATTCTTAAAAAGAAGCCTCTTCGATTCCTTGAGGCATGTAAGATACTATATTTTTTTTATCTCTACCTTTTTCTGTAAGAAACAGTCGTATCCTTTTTCTCAACTGGGATGTTATGATAATCGAATGGGTCTTGTATGCTTGTGTTATTGTGGTTTATTTGCAGTTGGTGAATGTATGCATTATTTTACAGTCAGGTACACTGATCACCATCATACTTGGAAGACTAGTGAACGACCAGTTACAACTATTTGTAGGGGTTTTTGGTTTCCAATGAGCTATGTTTTATACCTGTTGGAATTTTGAATAGCATTATCTTACATTTTAACGAGTTTTGCAGGTTCAGGTATCCCTGCTTCTAAGAAACGAGCCATTGAGTTAACTGCAGTTTGCCGTGGAATTTTTGTACAGGTTCATGGTACCAGCTTGGAGGATGTTTTAACGGATCTTTCAGGTTTTATTTTGGAGTTCTTCATAAGCAGTTTCTGCTGGCAAGTAATCGGGTTAGGATGAATTTGTAGGTGAAGCCTTCTGTTCTGTCATTTGGATTTTCTTGCATTTGCAGGCTGAGGATGCTCGCTTTATTTTATTTTTTCTCTTTTTCCTTGCATATTAAGATGCTTTGTTACTCTCTAAGCTTTAGATGTCTATTCGAGATCGACCTTCGAACTAAAATTGTGTGTACTTGTAAAATTGTTACTTTGAGGATGTAGATCGAACGACCGTATTACTTTTAGTTTTAAATTTTGAGAAATTTATTATGATCGTCTTTATATAAATTTTTACAAGCTGTTTTTATGTTAATTAAATTTTTATAAAAATACTTTTGTTGGGATAAAGTAATTAATTGAATAAAAAAGGAGTGAGACTGAATTTTAATAATTTAAAGGTAAATTTGAAAAAAAATTATTGATAAATTTAAATTTCGTTAGTAGATTTAATAATATTATTAAATACTTGAAATAGTTAAAACTTGTATTTTGATCCGTAGAACAGTCATTGCCCCGGATGAATAAAGTTTAGGGACATTGCATTTTATGATCAGCAGTGGCTGCCATAAAGAGTGATTAGCTAGACTGAAAATGAGAAGTAACATATTGGCGTTAAATGTTGGTAATCTGGATGATGCGGAGACAAATTCGACCGGTAGTCATGCATACAAAATGTTTGTAAAACTTGGATGACTTTTTTTTCTTTTGGCAGTGAAAACGTGATGGGTAAAGTTAATCGAAGTTATTCTTTCCATTTCCTCGTTGGATAATTCATGTTTAATATGAAATAATAAAATGTCAATGATATTTTTTTAGCAAAATATTTTCCATTGATCATTATTTACTGAAAATTATTGAAATCTATAAAATTATTAGTTTTAATCCTAAATATTTTATTAAAGATAAAATGAGTATAAGAGTATTCTAATTTATTAAGGGATTATTAATCTAATTTATATACATAATTGATTTAAAAATTATTTAATAAAATCAAATATTTTATTAATATTTAGTATGCAGATGTTATAACTTTTAACTTTTATTTATATTAGATTTGACGAATACAATATTTTTCTAGGATGCTCCTTTAAGCTAAAAGATTTTCTCTATCACTTAGATTTTTTTTTTCTTAAATTTTTTTAGTATTAAAATTTGTGTAAGTCTAAGTTAGAAGTATTAATTTTAGCTAGCCTACAAGCTAAAAGAAATAGATTATTTTAATGACATAATAATTTTTGTAAATTTAATTAATTATGATTAGCAATAAAGAATGTACTAAAAAAATCTATTACTATCATGTTTTGTAAACTATCATACAAGTTTCTATTTTTGCTCAAAAGAAGACTTGTAGGCTTTATAAAAAGGATTAGAGTTATCTATTCAGTCGAAAACACTTCAAAAATATAATGTAACCGTTGCTTGTATTTGAAAAAACATTTCTCATTCATCATAAAGTACCGCATGCCTGTAAGAGACGCGTCTATGTACTGTATACCCACGACTATTTGAAAATATTACTTTTAGTCTTAAATAACACGAGTGATTTATTATGATCCTTCTTATAAAAAAATTTATAACCTACTTTTATGTTTATTAATTTTTAATAAAAATATTTTTGTGGAGATAAAGTAATTATTAAATAAAAAAGGAATAAGACGAGATTTAACTTAAAGGTAAATTTCAAAAAAAAAAAAATTAATTATTGATAAATTTAAATTTCATTAATAAATTTATCACGTGCAGAAAATGAAAGTATACAAAAGAATACAAGATGACGACAAAAGAATAACAAATTGTCGTCGTTTCATCAAATATAGTATAACAAAGTTAAAAATTTATATCATAACAATCGTTTATTATTGACGTTCAAAATTATTTGATATCTCACATGGACCTAATCCATTCATATATAATCCATATAAAGAGCATATTCTCCATATTTAGAGCATAAACAAAAAAAATTTATAATTGTAAATATTTAATATAAATAATTTTATATTCTTCAAAAAAAAAATATTTTTTAAATTATATAATTAAAAAAATCTTAAAAATACTTCTTTAATTTACTTTTTTGATTTAATAATATTCATATAATGCAAAAAACTAATAAAAACTCAAATCATCGTCCATCAACTCTAATTAATAAGCTCAATTAGATTTTATTAAATTTAAACTTGTTAATAAACCTAAATATTGTCACCTGCACCCGATTGATTTAAAATTTCAAAAATCTATTTGATGTTATAAGACTGAGCGATTGTTTTAAATTTCAAAATATTTCAAAAATCTAACGAGACTGAGTGCATTTCTAAAAGGATATACGATTATAGCCGCATTGGCATAATTTAAAATAAAATAAAAACTTTAAATAAAGTGCAAAAGATTTAAGCGCAGTAATTTAGACAATTGAAGTGCCCATCAATGTCAACCAAAATTCCAAAACATGCATTTACCTTACACTTCCACGGTTTACTAGGCCAAAAAACAAGGACAGATACTTAATGTCCTTCAGATAATCATTTTAATGGATAATCGAAAATAATACACGGCTCAGTTAACAATCCGCAAAAGTAATATCACTGACCATGCTTGGCCTTGCTATGTTGTTGCAGACCACCTTCAGAGGTAAACGCCCTAAAAAAAAAAAGGACTCTGAGTAATAATTCAACTTTAACAAAATTAAGTTTTGGGTTTAGTTAAAATCATACTTGCTACAGCTTTTGCAGGAAAATTGTCCACCAGACTTGGGAGTCTGGTCCTTGCCTTCACTGTTGGGAGTCTTTCCACCTTTCTTCGTAGGGTGAGGAGTTGCCGTATGTGCAGTTTTCTTACCATCTACAGCACAAATTTAAGTAAAGATTTATGGAGTATGATAGAAAGAAATTTACAGAGATTACTTAAGTATAATTCAAACATATATATGGAGAATTAATAAGCAGACAAAACCCCGTTTAAGCACTTATCCTATCACATTCAACGACCACAGCAAGCACATATAGATATACACATTAACAAAAATAATGATGTAACCATACGTTTATAAACTTTAATTCTTAAGCAAACAATTATAAAAAATACAATTTAAAAGTTAAATGCATCAATGTTATCATAACTTAGGACACAGCACACAATGACACAATTGATCTCACCAGTCTTTTCAGGTGTAGCATTTTTAGATTTCTTGGAAGGAATTGGAGTTTTTGATGCAGAGTCATTGAGCCTCTTCTTTCCCAGATCAGCCTTCAAAACATGAAGTCAAATATAAAGAATTTGCAAAGCTACCTCATTGCACAACCATAATCATAAAAATCAAAATCAAGACATAGATATGCCAATAATCCAGTACCTTCTTTGGAGGGGTCTCTACATCATCGTCTTCATCACTATCACTCTCATCGTCACTATCATTATCAACATCCTCCATCTGAAAAAGATCAACAGTAAAGCTACAATAAAATGATGCACACAACGGGTAAAGATCAACAGTCAATTACAGATCGCTTTAGAATTTTATATTATGTTCTCTTGTATTGTAAGAGTGAAAAGTTACAATAAAATGATGCACCCAAAGGGTAAAGATCAACAGTCGATAACAGTTCTCTTTAGAATTTTATTTGATGTTTTATTGTGTTGTCAATAAGTAGGTTATGAAATGTCCACTTCTTTTTGCAATGAGACTAATTCAACTTGAAAATGCAATCTTGATGCAGAGCAAATTCCTTTGTTCTGAATGTCAATGTCTATTTTCATTAATATAGAATTACTAAATGCATCGATTTATAAGCAGTATATACAGACATGCTCTAGCTCTAGCTTTGCTCAACAACATGACATTTCAAATGGAAAGGATGTAGCTATGACCAGGCAATTTGGAAACATATCATAATCCATTCATCCTCCTCAACCTCAACCAAAAGAAGATAAACCAGCTATCACATATGTAACAAATTATTTAGTTTACAATGCAAACTTTCTTGTAGTATCTAAGAAAGAAGAGGAACCCAACAACAAAATAATTAGCTTGCAATTTCAAAGCTTAGCAAGATCAAAAAATTCAATTTATTGAAGACCAGAAGCAATTTTCTCGTATTGATCAAGCATAAAGCCACCACAACGAGATTTTTAACAAAAGTATCACATTCCAACTTATTGAAAGAAATATCACAGCAAAAGGCAATTCAAACCAAAAGCAAATCAAATACCTCATCATCAGAACTTCCAAAGTCATCATCATCTTCATCGGATTCATCATCTGAATCCTCTTCAACGTCTTTCTTTGGCTCAACTACTTTGACTTGTTTTGCCGATGTACCAACCTTGGCATCAGGTTTTTTAGATTCAGGAACCTTTTTAGATTCAGGAACCTTCAAGTCGTCAGCTTTTGTTTCAGGTTTTCCTAAATAAGATATGTAGCTAATTAATTAGCTATGCAGCACATGCAAAGCCAAAAACAAATTTCATATTAAAAGGAAACATGTACCATTCTCTGTGCTTGTCAATGGAAGATCCTCATCACTATCTGTCAAGTTGCAAATGTTTGAGTAAGCAACTCAATCCAAATATAATAACAAGTTCAAGAAAAATGTCTTAGCCTCTCACCAGTGAAGTCATCCTCCTCGCTAGTGCCAGCAGAGACAAATCGAAAGTTAAGAAAACATGGAAGATGTGGAAATGAAAAATACTTAGCTATCAGGATTTTAAGATGATACTGCTAATAAAAATACTTGAGACATTGGACAGTGAGATATTAGTTTCAAAAGCTTTAAGTAATATTAAAACAAAAAAATTAAAATAAATTAGGAATATCAAGGATATTCATCCCCAGCATAATATGCCTTGTATCCACAGAAATACACGCTGGCATTTTTTGAATTGTGGGAAAGCTGAAACTCCTTTTCCAACACTAATTCAAGAGATATTTGAGGAATTTTCTCCTTGGAAAGGGTTCCCAAAACAAATTTCTGATCACCCACTTTCAAGTAGACAACTACAGGTTCACTCGGTTTGTCTTTCTTTGCCTCACCAAGAGCAGCCTAAACATCAACAGATTAGAGATTTTGTCCACGCAGATAAAAATAAAAATACAACAAAACAGAAACAGGCACACAAAACCCTTACCTGAGAAAGGTGTATGCATGCCTCAAATTCGGTTGGGTCCACCTTAACAACCTCCCCAACCTTAACCTCGGCACCTAAATCAAAAACCAAGGCATCAGATGATGCTGCAATAAACCCCAACATAGTCGCACACTTCTAAATGCTTTCTTATACATCAACGGTTACACACATTTTAAAAAGACAAAACAAGATAAAATTTGGTACAGCAAAATAAAAGGAACAATTTACCAAAATGATTTAAACGAAGCAAGCAACAAAAAATATTAATCACGTTCTATTGGGCACATTTGAAGATAAAAAAAAATTAAAAAAAATAAAAATAAACGAGTATCGTTCATAAAAAGTGATACAGAGTTAGGACTAAATAATTAGACAGAGATAAGAGAAGTGAGAGAAAGGCATAGATAGTTACCCCAAAATTCCATTGTTGAAAGATATTGGACCGCCAAAAAAAAAGTGCAGTAGGGTTTTGGAAAAGAAATGCAGCGAGTGAGTGAGCAACAGGAATTAAGAGGGTTTTATGATTATATATAGTACAGCTAATGAAAAATAGGTTTGTGAGTCGGGTGACAGTGCCGCTAGCTAGGGTTTTTTTGAGCCCTGAGCCTCGTTCTGTGTTCCTTATTTTCATTTTTCCCTCTATTTTTTAACTAGGGTTTATTTGTATTATATATTTAACATTAATGTTACAAAATTAAAATTAAAATATATACATATTACTATTCTAAAATTCTCTATTCTATTTGATCTTTTATAAAAAAAATATATTGTATTTTATATTAATCATTTAAAAGTAGAAGATTTATTTAAGTCTGTGTATATACTTAAAATTTGAAAAACAAGTTATGTAATAATTCATTATAGTATTTTTATCATGGTTGATTTTATTTCAAAATAATAATAATATTTAAACACTTTAAGCATTTTTTGCTTCATATTGTATTTTTTTATAATGGGTATATTTTTATATTGTTAAAATTATTTTGGCATAATTTTAAGAATTAGTTATTAAAAATACTAATTAAATATGTTTTTAATAAAAAAAATAGTAATAAAAGTTATATTATAATTTCATATCAAAGTATACTTTTTATTTTTCTAACTAAATTTAATTTTATCAACCTGCAAGTAAGTAAGAATAAATATATTAGCAAATAAGTTTTGAAGATGCGTTGGGTTTTTAAACAAACATTTTTTCACTACTACGCAATGATATTTTTTAAACACGTGATCAGATTTAAAGGATTAATATTTTACGTATGAAATTTGAAAAATATATGTACTAAACTATGATTTTTTTTAAAATTATAAAAATATAAAATTAAAAATGACTATGGGTAAATATTGATAAAATAATAAAAAATTACTAAATTTCAAAAATTAGCATTACTGATTTTTTAAAAATATAAAAAATTTAAATATGTCACTGACAAATTTTTATTACAAATCGTCAATAGCAATTTTTAAAACATCTCATATTTTTTAAGATTTATTTTTTCTAAAATAGTATATTTTTGTAATTTTTAATTTTTTTTCCTATAAAAAAACGACCCAGGTTTGAATCTTAATTAAAAATATTTCTATACAATGTGTGTTTAATATAGCCGATGCATGTACTAGGTTACTGCACGATGAAAACTTGAGACAGAGATATTATCTCCATCAGAGATAGATGTAATTATTTAAGTGTAAAAAATATGTTATATATATTACGAATGAAATTCAATCGTGTCAAATTATTCTGTCTTTAATTATATATTTTTATTAACTTAAATAATTTTAAAACATATATATAATTTAAAAATAATATTGTTTTCCATCTCAAACACGAGTGAAATTAAAATTAAAAGATCGAAACAAAAATAAAAGTATGATTATTTTGCAAGCTATAAATTATAAATAAAATCACTATTAGATTTAGAAATAAATTTTCATTGAATTTAACAAAAATATTAAAAAGCAAATTATTACCGTGTTTAGAGATAAAATTGTATTTTCATGTTTATACTCTTCTTATTTGTTTATTTATTGATGTTCTCCTTCGTTTTCTCTTCTTTCTCCCTTGGACACAGTAATATTTAATAATCCCTCGTTTCTTGGTGCTTCCTTTTTCAGTTTTTGTTCTCTAACCAAAGAAGACATAACTAGATCATTCTTTGGATTGTTTTGTTTGATGCAAAATCCATAAAAACATTGCCCCAAGAGTAAAAGCTGAAAAGGAAAAGTACCATCCGCAATATGCAATGCCCAAAATGATGAGATGAGAAGAGTTTTTTTTTAACTGATTTTGAAACAGTGTTCAATAAGAATAATGGTAAGACATGATTCGAAATGGAATAAAAACAACCAAGTTCATGGATTTATTTGGGCCTGGTGCACTTTTTTCTTTTACTGTGGCTTAGTATTAATTGTCAATCAAACCTTTTCCACGCTTCAAATGGGTTAGCAGGATGTCTTATTCAATCCAAACATCAAGTTGTTTTTATTGTGAAAGAATTGTGACTTTCATATGATAAGTTGTCTCTTCGGATTAACTTTTGTCTGACCTTTTCACTGAAAATAAACAAGATAAATATCTTGAATAAATCTTCTCTGAATTAGCTATACAAACTTATTCAGAAAACGATAAGAAGTGCATCTTTTCATGCACGCAATTATTTTAATTTATTGAGTACTACACCATTGGTTTTAAGGGGAGATAGATGATATAATTAAATATAGTGTGACCTCTTAAATATATTTTTAAATTTTTATGTTGCAGTCTTAAATGACTACTTTAAGCAGAGGAGCGTGACTCGCGATACACGGGTGATGTGTGTTAAAATGGTAGTATAGCTTTGTGTTATTATTAGTTTTGAGAGAGTATCCAGCAAAAATGGAAATTAGGAAATAAGGACTGGAGAAAAAATTACCGAAGAACGTAAAGATGAGAACCAGGGAAATATTGCAATTAATTTTAATTGTTGGATCGTAAAATTAAAATGTAAATTTATATCGAACACTATTTAGAGAGAAGATTGCTTGAGAATATCCAATTTACAAGTATTGCGGATACCGGGAAAAGAGGAAAGATATGAAAGAAGAAAATTAGGGAATGAAAAAAATAAAGTTTTTAAAAATTGATAATTTTAATTTGTGTCTAAAGACACAATAAAAATTGATGCATAATAATTTTTATAAAAAAATTATATTAATAACAATAAATGATATATTTTTAACACTTGCTTTGGAGTACATTAAAAAACAATAATAAACCCATTTAACGAGGTTAATTAACTACATGAATATACTTTTAAAATTAGATTACTAAGACAACGGTGTTGTAAACTTCAAGCTACTAAACTTCCATGGCCCAGAGTCATGAAACAAAACAATTGCATATTTAGCTATATGAGGGATTGGGCACAAACACAGGAAAAGGAGAAATAATTTATACAAAAAGGACCAAATTAAACTGTTTTAAAAGATTACACACGCAGTTTTTACAATTTTACAAACAAAAGAGCTTAAGATTACATCATGTATGTGCTTAAAAATCACGTGCAATGTTTAAGACTTGCTTTGCTTCTTCACAAATCTCAAACTCTGCCCTGCCCCTACCTGTCCACCTACTTTTACAAGCAACAAACAACCAATTACAGCATGAAATGCATGAGTTTGAACCAAGCAAAACCACCCCTTCCGCACCCATCGCTCACTTTATCAGCCTCTTTGGCACAGGAAGCAAACGACGTCGTTAAGCCACCGCCCCTGTTACCTTCCATGCTAGCCTTTCTCGGGCACAGGAAGAAGTTTCTAGATCCAAGTTCTATCAGCTTCTCCTCCCTATCCAAACCTTCACATCGCAACACAAAACACACAAATTTATAAAATGAAACAAAAAAAAAAGCCAAAGGACGAGTAGTAGAAATTAGTGAAACTCACTTTCTAGGCTAAACTGTGAATAATGGAGGTCGAATTCGGAGGCTTCATTGGTCGCCAAGACTGGACGGCGACATTCCTTGACGTACAGCCGCACCGCCGCTGCTATGAGTTCGCCGACGGTGGATTCCGGCCTCATCAGAACCTGCACGGGCGCAAGGCTCCTCAGCACCGTCACCTTCAGCAGCAACTTCGGCGGCTGTCTCGGCAGGCCCTCCGGCGCCGGAACGGCGCCGTTTCTGAGGGACATAAGGTCAGAAACGGTCTTCGGACGGCGAAGTTGAGCGATGGACGCGGCGTTCTGGCCGTGGAAAGACGAAGATCTTTCTCTCCGGTGATAGTTCTCCATCGGACCGGTGCGGTGGCTCTTGGGGACTGGCATGGAAAACTGCCCTTATGGATTACAAGCCCAGGGAAACTTAAAAAAAATAAACAAAATATTTACACAAAATTAAAAAAGGGCAGAGTTGAAATTTCAGAAGTTTGTTCCCCCTTCCGACGTTGTTTGGCTGTGCTGTTCTACTCACGAGTATTTTTTTGTTCTTTCCTCTTTGAATTTACCTCAATCGGCGGTACCTGACATATCTGAGCCGAGGGAAGCCGATGGCATTTGAAGAGCTTCGGCTCGGTGGTTGACGCCGACCCGTAGATATCATAACCAATATTAAGCCGGGCAGCGAAGAAGACAAAGCCGAAGAGATTCTGAAGACTGAAGATGTTACATTCCCTCCAATGTATAACTTAAAATTAAAATGATTATAAATATTAACAGTGAAATAAAGAGTTTTCTGGCAAGGGAGAGGCCTCTTGAGGGTTTCCCGGAGAGCCTTGTAACTAGGAATTGTGATTGGGAGGCTAAGAATAAAGAAGATATATAGGATAACCAGATTTGTGCAACACGTGTGACATGTGCAGTGCAGGGGGTTAAGAGTTGAAACTATAATGTGATGATACTTTTTGGGGAAGGGCTATCAACTAATTTAAAATGTGTGATAACAAATGTATAGATTTATTTAAAAATTTGGTTGAACTCATTTAACTTGATTCAATTAGCCTTATACTGAGGGATGTAAATAGGTCAAACTGTCTGACAGGGGCCTGTGACTTGGGCTGGTTTAAGATTGGTCTGCCTGACTTTTTAATAAATAAATCAAGTTTAAACTTTTTTTAAGGCCTGTTTAAGTAAATAAGTCAGGTCTGAGATGTTTATAAAGCCTGTTAGGCTTGACAGGCCGACCTGTATAAATATATATATATATAATTTATTTTTAATTTTTTTATTATTAAATTAATATATTATATTATAATTTTATTTATTTATAATTATAATAAACATAAATTATATTCTATTAAAAAATAAAAATATTTATATATGATTACACTTTTTAAATAATAAATTTATTTAATAATAAATTATTATATTTGTTATATTTAAACAAGTTAAATAATAGTTAAGTCTTTGAACAGGAATAAGACGCAATTAAAACTAAACGAAATAAAATTTAAAAATAAAATAATAAAATTATATTAACATGTTTTTTATACTCTTAATTTTATTATTATTAATTTAATTATTTAATTATTATATTAATATATTATGTTATAATTTTTATATTTATAATAAATAGAAATTGCTTAATTATAAATTATATTTTATTCGAAAGTAAAAATTTATAAAAATGATAAGAAAATAAAATAAAAAATTTATTACAATATATATATATAATCAAACCACGTAGTAAATAATATAATTATAAATAAATTATATAATAATATATTTTTTTGTAACTTGCAGGTGTTTTAACTAAATTATTAGTTAATTTATTAATTTATATGTAATATATATATATATATATATATATGTTTTAATTTATTATATTACTAATATTTTCTATATTACATTAATATTATAATGTAGTTAATTTTATGTTTATTATTTACTTTAAAATAATAAATCAATGAAACAAATAAATTTAAATATTTTATAATTATTTTTTTAATTTAATAGTTATTATTATTGTCATTATATATATATTACATTAAGTTTAAATTTATTTATTTTTTAAAACATAATAATTTTATTTTAATTGATTCAACAAATTGTGTAAATGTTAATTTTTTTTATCAATTTTATATGTTCACTATAACTTTGTTTGTTTGATATAAGATGTCTTTAAATAAACAAAATATGTTTCTAAAATAAAATTAAAATCTTTACTATTTATATAATTTTGAAAAAATAAATCAAGAAAAATATAAATATAAATTTTATTAATATAAAATATTTATAATTGATCCTTAAATAATATTTTAAAAATTATTTATAAAATTATATAAATATTATTATAATTATTTAATAATTATTAATAACATAAATGAAATTAAAAAAATATATAAACTAATTTGATAATAAAATATTTATATTTTTATTAATATTAAATTATTATTTTTTGTAACAAGTTTTGTTAACAGGCTTTAGGCTAGGTCAGGCCTCTTAAACAGGTCAGGCCAGGCCTAAAATAAAAGCCTTTAATAGATAACAGGTCAGGCTCAGGCCTAATAATTATGTTACAGGCCAAGTCTGTTAAAGTAAAGTCTGGTCTAACTTGACCTGTTTCTATCCCTACTTCTACCCATTTAAAATGGTGGTCCTATAATTCAATTAATGACTAAGCCAAAATTGAATGAATTTATATTTTGAAAATATTATATAAATTTAGATATTGTGTATGAATAAATCATAAAATGAAAAATATTGTATTAATGTTTAATATGGAGTACAATAATATTTTGAAAAAAATATAAACAGGTAGAAAACATTTTATTCTCTTTAAATATTGCATACTAAGTTTTTTTTTTATCTTCTTATCTGATGTTAAACTTTACACAGTGTAACATTATTTATTGTGAAATTTATTTTATTTTAATCTTCTAGTTAAGTTTAACCTTCAGAATGAATTTAAAAAAGTAATTTAATTAAGCATTTTTTTAACAAATCCTCGTTGCATGATTATTTAGATTATAAATTTCATTATAAAAATTATCAAAATAAATTAAACAAAAGCTATTTTTAAAAAATGCATTCATATAAAATGAATACGCGTCAATTCTATCATAAAAAAAAAAGTAGCATTTATATTATAAATGTACATTTGAAGTAATTTACCACAAATCTAACCACGCTTACGTGTACGTCTGATGCTCGATAGCACTAACTCCAAAATTTCCAAACATAAAAGCTTTGTTCTATTTTTAAGAAAATTCATCTTCTCCGGTCACGTGTTTGTGAAATCACCAATTGGGTTATTATGGTTAGATTAGGATATTCAGTCCTCTTGGAGGTGTCAAATTTGCTCTTACTTGCATTTACTTGTCAAATTGTTTGTCGGTGTTGTTTTATTCTGAGTTACGTAGTTAGTTTGTCATATTGTTTAGTTTTATGTTCCTGGTTTTGGTGTTTTTTATTTTATTAATTGTCGTTAAATTATTTTATAATTCAATAATGTAGATTACTTTCTTATTTTAATTCAGTGTCGTGCTAATGTGGTGATGTTAGCTAATTTAAACCTTGAGGCTAATCGAACATCTTTACATTTAATTAGTCTTGTTATAATTACATTATTACATTTAATATGTTAATTACTCTTTTTTAATTGAAAATTAGTCTATTTAACTATTTTTTAAAACAATATTAATTTACAATATTTTATCTTTAAAATAATTATTATTTTGAAAATTTTATTTTATTTGTTCTTTTTCATTTATTACATAAACAAATTTAACAAATAATTAAATATATTTTTTATTTCTTGTGTCACAATCTTAAACAGTTACTTTAAAAGAATGTATTTTATTTAAATATCTAAATCCATTAGCTTAATTATGGGGATAAACTTATTCAGGCATGTATTTATCTATTAGAAGACTGTAAACATAGGAATCATCACCCTCCACTCCTGACTGAGGAATCTACTATGACATGGTGGTTGAATGGTTGTCAATTGTTATTTTATAAATGTTTTTTAGTATGTATTTAAAGTAGATGAAAAAACTGATAAATAATTTAAAAAAATAATATTTAATATTGTAATATTAATAAATAAATTTATTATATACTTTAAAATACAGCTAAAAGAAAAGTTAAAAAAAATGATTAGCTTGAGTTTGTACCTAGCAGTGGAGGGCGCAACTAGAATGGTGAGAAACTGGGCCAGAAAAGCGCAGTGCAATCGGACACGCAAGTGATGGTGGCTACTGAACCTCCAAAGCCGAAGCAATGCAAAAGAAAAGACAAACACGTGAGAGGAACGTATTTTGAATTTTAATGCCTGTTTGTAAGCCTTTTTTTAAATAAAAAATGCTAAAATATGTTATTTTAAACAAAATTTTAAAAATATATTAAATTTGTAAAAATTGTCAGTAATAAATTTTAACTTAAAATCACTAATAGCGTTTTTTATACTTTAAAATCTTTAATATATTTTTAAGAATCGCCAATAATAATTCTTAAAATTTTAAAATTTAGTAGTTTTTACTAAAATTTATTGCTAACAATTTTTTAATATTACATTTTTGTAATTTTTTTCAAAAATATTATATATATATATATATATATATCATATATTATTTGTGCTGCTTTGGTTTCAATATATTATTTTCTCAGTTTTATTAGTTTATTTTTAAAAATAAAGCACTTGTGTTATAAACAACTTTTAAAAAAATCAAATACAAAATTATTATTAAAGAAAGTGTTTCAAAAAATATATCCAACTTGTTTAATAAGTTGCGGGAGCTGAACAAGTTGGAGTGATTGGAAGCAAAGTGTCGATAAGCTTGTGATTGTGGCAGTGGCGTTTAATGGGCCATTTTCTAATATTCCCTTCTATCCCCACCAAGATAGATACAGGGATCTCTGTTTGTATTCTGAACTAAACATTGGCATACCCAATGGAAAAGTAAATTAAAAACAGTGTCCAACGTTGAGTGTCCTTTATGGAAGATTAAATAATGATAACAATAACGTTGGTTTGCACGATCACGTCCATTAGTTGACTAGATTCCTTATGGGAAAATGGTTAAGGCAACTGAAAACAGGTCCATTAGTTTGAACATTGCACCCATTATTTATTTTATTGGAGATAAGGTTTGGCACTCACCAGTGTCCACTCATTGTCAGGTGAATTTAGAGTGAAAACAAATCAGAAAATAACAGATGGAGGAGAATAATTTGTCTTCTACTGTTTGGATTAACGTAAATATATAAGAAAGAAGGAAATTTTGAAAAGTCCCTCACAGATCATTCTTTTGAGATGATAATTAATGAGTACAGTAAAATAAAATACGATAGAGAATACAATTAAAAAAACAAATGTAAAATGTGAATATTAAAATAAAAGGGGAAGGCAGTTATCATTCTTTTAAATGTTAAAAAAAATAAAATAGGATTTCAAAATATAAAATACAAATGTTTTATTAAGAAAAAAAAAGTACACACATACACGCGTGTGTTTATGTTCAATTTATTTAATTAAAATATTTTTATACAATTTTTACTTGTTTTCTATTTTTTTTCTTTCACTAATTTAAATAAATAGATTTTTCTATTATATATATATATATATAAACGCATATATTTACTTTTTTATGTTCTATTTATATTTTTCTTATTTTTTACTGTTTATTTTATGTTCCTTATTTTTTTTAAAAATGACAGGTGCGCGAGAAATATCCTAGTAGATCCCATTTGTATTCAATTCCTTTTCTTGAAAAAAAAATGTTTCAAGGACTTTATACTAATTTATTGTAGATTTATCATTTTTCACCAACATAATATTCTTTAAATAAATTCAAAACTAAAAAATTTTAATATTTTTTTCATTTTAAAAGTAAGTTTATTTGACTTGATTGTATATAGTCAATGTAGATTTTTAATATTAAAAATATCAAACCAAAAGAATACACAGTTTGAGTATGCGTGCACTTTAACTTTTGCTTAATACTGTAGGAAAATAGACAGTTTGAACATTTTTTGTTAAACAGTTTTAAAAATTTATCATCAAGAGATCAGATGTTTTATTGATAAATATTTCTCAAAATACACGAGTAAATAAAAAAAACAAAGATTGAAAAAATAAAGTTTCAATTAAGAGTTAAAATCTAGAACTGTTATTTAAAATATAAATTATTAACAATTTGTCTTACTTAACAAACTTAAAAGTAATTAAAAAAAATTACCAAATATACTCCGAATATCTCTATCCACTCTCTGGCAACGCATGATGAAGCCATGGTGTTCGTCACTAAACTAATATCGATTTGGAATACAATATTTTACTGACGTAATGGAGACTTTTGGGGGGAGTTTAGTTGAAATATATAAAGCAAAAGGGCATAATAATGAATTGGAATCTATTGCTTTTATCGTTCTGATTCATTGATTTCATTCCAATGTGATGTGTAAGAGAATCATTTTCTTCATGTCATTATATTTTACTGTAACACCTTTAGGATTATCTTCCCATTACATAAACAAAATATCTAAGCTTTCATCGTCACCTTGGTTATAAATAAATTTAACAGGAAAACAAAGCATGTCTTCGACAACATTTTTAAATGCTACTTGCTTTTGTTTTTTTTTTCATTTTTCATTTAATTATTTGTCATATTTTTATTCTGTTTTTCTATTTTTTAAGTTTTATACATTTTTTTACCATTTTTTATACATATTTAAAAGAAATAAAGGATAGTTTTCTAATTAAAATAAAATAAAATAATACCTTATTCTCTCCAATCAGTCACCTAAGTATCCATTTTTAGTTTATAAACGAATTTCATTGTTTGGTTTAATTCATTACCATCATTAATACACACATTACATATACATGCATACACTAGTAGTTAGATATTACTTTTTAATCTTGTTCTTGTTTGATAAATAAAATTTGTCTAACAAGAATAGACTGTAAGTTTATACTAATAATATGAGTCATAATGATAAACAATTTTATTGATATATATTATTATATTATTAATATGCCCATACACTTACAATATTTATATTGATTTTAATTTTTATTAGACAAAATTGTTGAAGAAAGAGCAAATCAGACGACTATATATCGTTTTTTTACTATTGGGTTGGTTTTCTATTTTTTTTCATAGTAATTTAGTCTCCTAATTATAGATTATAACTAATTTAGAATTTTAAATACATGAAATTTCATTAATTGAATTTCACATTTAAACTGTGATTGACATTTCTTTTAATCTGACAACTAAAAGCAACTACATCGATGATACTTTATGAATTTGAAAATTAAAAATATATGAAAATACATGTTTGCCCTTTTATCTTTTTATAAGTAATGTATGTTTTAAGAAGAACTTGACATCAGATGTTCCCGACCATGTTTTTACGGAGTATTTATCTTTGTAAATCATTCAAAAGTCAGTGCTGATTGCAGAGTGCACATCACAAATTTCCATTAAATAACCATAGGAGCTTTTTCAGTACCAAAAAAATATATAGGAGTTTGTTACGTGTGGGTAAGTTATTTATAATGTTTGATAATATATGATAAGTGATTAATTCTTCAAAAAAATTAAATTAAATACTTAAATCAATCTTTCAACTATTCATAAAGCACCCAGTTGGACATTAGAATATTCTTTAAAATGTGTTTAGAATCATTTGAGATCTAATATCAAACTGTAACCATGATAATTTTTTTATTGTTTTTCTCCTTGCTGTTCTATTTTGCATTTGATTAAGGTGTATTTATAGACCAATCAACTAAAATCTTAATTTTTTTACATCTAATTTATTTTCGTTGAACGGAAATTTATTTCCTAATAAATTGAAAAAGTGTCTATTTGTAATATTTCAATACTTAACTTATGGATTTTGAATTAATTTTGTACGAATTTGGCAAAACAAAAAACATTTGACTAAAATTGAATTTGAATTATCTTGCAAGCCTCATATCAGGACAACCCTGCTGGACAGACAATCTCACACAAAAGGTCATGAGATGCAGCAAATAAGCTTTGTCATTAAAGTTTTAAGCCGTTTTGGTGAGATTTTTTTACCACTGTGTGGCAAAAAAAATTCATGAATACAATGCACATATCTATTTTGGCATGTCAAAACTCAACTTGATGGACCAGTTGATTCTAAACAGTTAAATATTGGGATACGATGTCAACAACAGCAAGGTTTATTATCTAAGGGTTGATCATTTACCCAATATAGCAATAATACTATACTGGTAGAGTTGAATGAAGATTCTAAGAAGTGAATACTCAATGTATGATCATACAGTTCTATTACCGTTAATTCTTAAGACTGATTTAAAATAATCATTATAGGTGATTTTTTGTTTCAAAAAATGTATTTATTATGTCAGAAATATAAACATACATATAAAGCTATGAATCTTTTTAATAAGCGTCTTTATGATATTAGTTTCTTTTGTTAAAAATCAAATTCGACATACATTAAAATTATAAACAAAGAGTATTAAAAACATATTTAACAATAATTTTTTTATTCATGAACTAATATTCTTAAGGTTCAAATTATCATTTGTCAAAAAAAATTTCCAATCAATCCTAAGGAACGGACATTAAGAAAAGTGAGAAAACCAATATATAAAATAACTTGGGTGGGTCTGGATTGGGTTGTTGCTTTCCTTCGTCCTTAATAAATTGATGCAGCGAAATGAGGCAACAGTCATAAAATGTTAGCTCTAGAATTTTGGGCAACTCGCCCATGCAGTGGAGGTATTGCCTTCGCTATCAATGAAGCACAATAACGCGCCATTGAATGTGATTCAAGTGGTCCTTCCCGTTAAGGTGTCTTACATGACCCGTGTAGATAAGCCACTTGCAAATAATAATGTTAATGTTGACCAAGAAAAGACTAAGGGGACAAGTTTACTTTTCTTTTTTGAGAGAATTGAAATGGCTTTCATCAACTGAGTAATGTGAGGACGATTTGAAGAAATTGGACTCGTTGTCAATGAGTGAAAAATGTCAAGATTACAATACTGCCATATGTTACGGGCAATTGGCATCATAACTATGTTTAGGAAGGAAGAGGATGGAGGGAGATTTCTTTCTATATCTTGACGTGTAAGTATAAAATTGAGGGAATTTCTCTTTCCCTTGTATAGGAGATACAATTAAAGTAAAAGGAAAGCAAGCATCACGATATTAGATTTTTAATATAGCCTGTGTTATTAATCTTGTAACACAGGATGTGTTATAAACCATCCCGGCATATTGTATAATTCATAATGCACTATGGTTAAGTTAGAGATTTGAATACGCAGCTGAGTCGCCACATGGTATGAGTTTTAATTTATGCCTTCGGAATTTCAGGATCTTGGTATTTTGTAAAACAGCTAAGCATGATGGAAAAAAAAATGCAAATGCAAACAATATTCAGCAATTATATTAGCAGATGCTTTTCAGACTTAGAACGACATACATAACATAATACAGTACTCATTTTTGCTATGTGCCTCTGCCCTCGAAAAAATCTCATGCCTGCTCATTTTTGATACAGAAAGGCCAACAAAAACAACAAATAGGCCTTCAAAACATGAATTTAAAGTGAACCTATTTTATTTCGGAAAAAATGGGCAAGATACGATCATCAAACAGTGGCTCTATGTTCTTCAAAATTGTACAATGATGAATGTAAAGACAGTATGCAGTCTAAATCCCTCTCTGGTGCCGCATGCAACCACATGTCACTACCCACTCTTGACTCCTTTAAGTTGCTTCTGGAATTTGCAGAGACCAATAAACGTGATCGAGTCTGAGACAAAGAGCACACCCCAAGAAATTTCCCATCTAATGAGCTTCTTGCCTTGACTTTCCCATGTGTTTTGCCCACAGTCTTCAACCTACCCTTCTGGCCAGTCACAGGACGGAAGGTGACTGAATCAGCAGTTTTCACATTACGGAAGTGAGCAATGCATGGTGTTGGAACCGACTCCTGTTTTGACCCACCCATGTTCCAGAATGAAAATGATTGTTGCAGCTTGGATGGAACCTGATAAACCAACAGAGAAAGGCAAGATTCATGAACTTGCCTCGCATCAATCCATACTTGAAAATAAACAAGTTTTGATTATACACATTGAAATGAAGTAAAATATTAAGATGACCATAGGACATGTATTGCTGCTCCCTGGCAGGGTGATGCAAGCACTTTGGCACATACACAATATCAACAAAATCATTTGCCTTAAAAATATATGGAATGTGAAAAAAAATAGAGTACATGATTTGTGAGCAACAGACAGGCAAGCACTGCCCTAAATTCAACTTCATCAGACAAGATAATATTTTAATAACCTTTTCATAGCCTTTACATGACCCTGAAATCGATCTGTATTTACAGACTTTATGGTTGTAATTTGGGTTATACTACAACAATACGAATCATAATTGAAAATTCTTTATCATACTTCATCTGATTCTTCATAACTGCAAAATTATGAGAAATGCTTATAAGATTAAGGTTACCAGATATTTTAATAATAGTGTAGTTTTAACACTTAGTTTCTGCAACACACAAAAAAAATATTAAGCACTTAAGCCTTCCAAGTGGATGCAAAATGAACTCATTGAAATGTGCCTCTAAATAGTATCTGAGGAGACAAGTCAACTAAGCTATGAACTAACTTGTTAATTTGTTCAACCAAAGATTAATAAAGGATCAGAAGCATAACAACTGTTTAAAAACTCTACTAAATTTAGTCAGTGATTTTGAAATGGAGATGATTATAATTTGATGTTGCAAGATGGAAAGTACAATTCTCAGATTATTCGATGGGATCTAATACAGGAGAAAGCATAAAAGTTTAATACCAGGATCAGGGTTTGGAAATATAAGACAGAGTTGTATATAAAAACCAGCATCAAATGAAAGTTTGGGCACAGAACTCACAGCAGAGATAAGGCTGCTAGAAGCAAATGCAAGTGAAGATGAAGAAAATGGTGATTTCCCAGGTTTTCCCTTCTGTTGATCTGCTCTCTGTCCCTGATCAACAGACCCAAAACTTGATTGTGCAACATTATCCTCATCTTCCTCATCCTCTTCCTCTTCCTCTTCCTCTTCCACCTCAACTTGAGCTTTCCCTTCCACTGCTGCAGGAGCTTTTTCATCTTGTTTGGTTACAGAAGGAATATCATCATCATCATCATCCTGCAAACCCATTTTCGCCTTCTTTTCCTCTTCTTTCTCTTTTCTGCGCAATAATTCTTCCAAATCCTCAATAGCCTCTTCCAGACACAATTCAGCTTCTACCAGTTCAAGTTCTTCCTCAATTACTTTCATTTCCATTTCAGTTTTTTTCTTTTGCTCTTCAGTCCATTTTTCTAGTTTATCAAACCATGGCTTGCATGCATTTTCAATTGCAAGTATAATACGCATCCATATGCCCTCCTTTTTTTCCTTAGTTACTCGTCCAAAAAATTCATCATAACCAAGGGGTAGGAATACAGCCTTTTCGGGATCCACATCCTCACCCTTTCCCAAAGGTGGCTGCCAAAATAAACGTATTCCATATTTCTCATCCTCAACATAATTGATAAGATGTCCAGTTGGTGTATGGAGGATGAGAGGATTCTCAGTGTATATAAGCTTTGAAGGATCTTCAGGATCAGGTTCTGGTTCCTTGTTAACAAGGATAAATTCAGGTGTCTCATGATTTTCCTCTGACCAAGGATTTGGATAAAGAGTCAATTAAAAACTCTTCAATTTCATTGGCAGACAGGAGAGGACTGTAAAATCATACCAACTATGTACTTGTTCACACTGAAAAATATTAACAAATACCTTTAGTCCACCAGTACTCAAGCTCAGCTGGCATGGGTAACCTAAGAGGAGCTCTATAAAAAGAGTTTAACCACATTTCTCTTTCCTGATCTACTTCATGCACATATGTTTTCCAGTAATCAGGGACCTGCAATAGAATTGCATCCATGTATCACTTCCTTGCATAAAATGACCAATGTATTAGGATAAAACTTAGCAAGTGAGCCTTACTTCATAAAACTGGTTAATGAAGCCAGGTGCCATCCACACATCCTCTTCTTCATAAAAGTAAGGATGCTGTGGATCACTGTACGGGCCTCTCTGTTCTCTAACCACTGCACAGACAAAGTGTTACCGTTAAATAATATATAACAATGAACAAAATAAAATCAAGACAGCATCAGTAATGAAAAGAGGGAAAAAAAACACTTTCATTTCAAAGCAGTGCATACATAATTTTCAACCACACAATAAAAGCAGAAAGACTACTAGTATGCCAAGAATCAACATGCATGCTTAACCATCTGTACTTGATGAGACAATCATCCAGAGGCAGAGAGGTGAATTCAATCATGTATATATTTTTGGTGTGAAGTTACAATTGGTGTATATATTATGACTCAAAAGGCACAAATTGGGGAAAAAACACTGGTGATGAGGGTTCTTAAATTATAATTGGCATCACAAAGTAAAGGGTATGCTAAATTCAATTTATTTTAGAGAGCTTTTAAAAAATAATCAATTGTTTCCTTAACAATAATCTTAACCAAACATTAGTTAAATAATGAGGAGAAGACAAAGGAGGAAGAAGGCAGAAAAACAGGAACCTTTAAACCTAAATCTATAAGACATATCCACCACTCAATGGATCTAACAACCAGAAAAAAGGCCAAACCTAAAGTTGGAGACACTCCCTCCCCCTCAAAAAAGGAAAAAAATATATCAAAATTTCCAGAAATAGTAAGTTTCAGAGGTCAAACAGCATACTTCCATCTGGCTTGTTCACAAACATGCGAGCCTTTGCAGCAGCAACTTCTGCTATACCAGCATGCATCTGAAACAGAATATCAGAAAGAATAAGATATAGCTGCAGCTCTTAAATTATTATTATTTATTTTGTGGAGATGAAAAAAATTATCGAAAGAGAGTATTTAATACTGCTGAAATCTCTTCATCACATTCTTCGTCTTCCTCCACAACTTCTCCAAAATAAAATCTACCCTGCATGCACAGAGATTATGTAACTAGGAAAGAAAATAATTCCACTACATGGTTCAAGTGTGATGAAAATACCATCACCCCTTATGTTGGGATGACTTGCAATTCCCACCCTTTGTATTTAGTTACAACAAGGTTCAACCAAATAATGCAGGTAGTATGTCTTAAACTTAAAATTACAGTTTTTTCTGGAAAAAAAAATTTGAAGTCTTGATATGCATAAGGAATGTAGGATACTCTCCAGGAAGCTAAAGCAAAGCATATGTTATTTGCACAATTGTTTTCCATCTTCAGAGACTAGCTTCCTCTCCCCATTTTAATAAAATTAGGCAAGTAAGAAAGAGATTGATTGAAGTTAAAAAGTCAAAACCATAAACTTTGTCTGATCCTTGCACCTACATAAATGATACGCTCATTAACTTCATATACACCACATCCATGCATCCGTCCATGCTTCCACTGACCAGCGTAACGATAGCGACCTTTCTCCCTGTGCATAAAAATATAAACCTTTTTCAAGACCAGTAATAATGTATAACAGATTGATATAAAATGACAATGCACAGAAGTGTGATCTAGAGTGAAGAGCTGCAAAGTCTTGCCTGCGTTAAAGATAAATTAAGTGACTCTAGTAGGGAAAAGGCAAAATAGAAATAGGAAACTAAACTTACGGCTTTGATCCAAACTGCCTAACCCATTCATCATTCTCATAAAAGGGGATTTCATAGCTCCCATTCGCAAAATGATACATATCTTCAATATCTTTCTCAAGCCATTCTCTGTCTTCTGGGGACATAAAATCCCTTGCTATTATCTTTCCTTGAGCTCGCATCTTTGCTTCAAGCCTGAGGGCAGGGATAAAAGCAGCCCAGGTTTGTTTACAAGAAAGTGAATGTACATTCAAACTGTGCAGCAATCTAAGACTTCATTCACGCATATGTGAGCATTTTCTAATAAAGTACATACTTGGAGCCAGGAGCAGGTTCTATAACAGGTATATCAACTTCAACTACACCATGACCCTCCACGTCATTCTGAAACCATTCACCTTCATACCTATGAAAGATAATACATTGCAAAACATCAATGACACAATAAAAGAGTTGCATGAGACTGAGACATCAAGAAATGCGAAGCCAATACATCTGATGAGGGAAGACAATTTAGACGCGGACAGAACACTAGTTGAACTAATTAGCTAACAGAGAGTCATAGACCACAATAGAACCCCAGAAAATATGACCAGCCAGTACACCCTCAAGGAGGAAAAATTAAAAGCCTCGCTCCATTGTTGGCTTGTGCCAATAGAAAGACAGTTTTTCAGCTAAGCGTTTGTTCTTAGTTGAATTAAAATCTATCACACTGTTTTTAAAGGACATTGCATAGTTTATCCAAGTTATATATAGAAATAGAATGCAACTACAAAACTCATACAACATAAAGGTTTTAACTTCAGCCAGTAAGATTGAATTTAAGCAGTTAAAAGTAATATGTTTTTATTGAAAAAAAAAACACATTTATTATTTTAAAAGTATAAAAAATATTTCTTTGCCCAACTAAATTTTAGCATTAGTAAGTGCTTAAACTCTGACGGAGATCAAAGTAGGATAATTAAGAGCACAACTCAAAATCCATAAATATAACGGAGCAAAGACAAACCTGACAAGAGCATCATCAGAAACATAAACTCCTTTTCCATGAGCATAGTCATCCCAAATAGTACCTTCATACCTGAAAACACGTAGCAAAACAAAGAATAAGTGATAAAAACGCGAAAAAGAAAAGGGAAGCGCGTGACACATACGTGCTACCATCTTCGAAAACGTAGCTAACCCATTTGAGAAACTCCTCGATCCTATCCAATTCCTCAATAACATCCTTGGGGCTGGCAATGTCGAAATGGTTATCAGGAATGGGAGGGTAGTGCTTGCGGAAAGGGACATAGAAGGGTGCAATAGGAGGGTTTCCTCCTTCGGCAAGCTCACCCAGCACATATTTCCAATCTTCATCGGTGGCCCAAACAGGGTCCCAACCGGTCCCACTAATTTCCAAGGGCCCATCGGCCCAACACTCTCGCAGGTCCTCCTCGGTCCATTCCTCAGGGTCTTTGGGGAAATCGTAACGGTTATCTTCCTCCCAAAGCTCTCGCACCAGTTCTTCACTACTCTCCTGCACCGTCTTGCTATCCAGCGCCTCCGAAAACTCCTTCAGGTTCGTCTCTGGATTGTTCTTCCTCGGGTCTCCCAGAACCTCGTCGGCTCCTCGGAGCCGAAAAGCACGGCGGAACGACTCATCCTCGTCTTCGTCTTCGTATGAGGAGTATGAGTCGTACGACGAGTCGGAGTCCGAGTCGGAATCGGAGGAGGAGTTTTCGGGGTCTTGCTCTTGGCTCGCATTGGCGGAGGGAGGGTCTTGTTGGTCCTTGTTGTTCGCCATTTGAGAACACTGATTGAGTGAAGAAAAACGAAATGGTAGATAGCAAATAGGATAAGGCAAGTGCGAGGGAACCCAAATTGGAGCTGCCACTGCAAACCACTCGGGGGAAATAAGGGAGGGTTTTCACCACACGACAACCTTTTGCTGTCGTTTCACTTAGATGAAAAATGTAGTTTTCTTTTTCTTTTTAATTTTTTTACATAATTGATTGTTGTGATAATTAATGGTATGGAATACGCTTCTGTATTTAGATGTGTTGGATGAAAATGTTTATATATATTATGCTTAGATTTTTAAAATAATCACTTTTTAAAATTAAAATCTTTAGTATAAATATTTATCCATACAATAATATAGGATTTTTGTTGTTTTAAAAGATTTATTGTAATAATATTTATCCATATTGATATAAAAAAGATAAAATTTACAATATCTTTTGTGATCGAAAGAGTTTGGTATATATATTGAGTAATTTTTAATTTTAATTATTAATTTTATATTGATAGATAATTGATAATTAATTTTATATTAATAAATAATTAAATATTAATTTTATATCGATAAATAATGAAATTAATTATTTAATTAAAAAATATTATTACTTTTTTATTTTTAAATGATTAAAAAATATAATTATTAATATAAAGAAGATATAAATATTCTCTCAAATTTAAGAGTTAATACAATAAATATTTATAAAAAAACTTTCAAGAAATACGATAAAATGCATTTATAGAGTTCTAACTACTAACAGTATATTTTTCTTATCTTGTTTGACTATGTTTGAATTTTTTCCCTCCTTTATCTTTATTTTTTATTACTCATTTCATAATTCTATCACTTATACTTGTACATCTCTTTATTTTATTTTCCTCATTCATCTTCCTTAATAACTTGTTTTAATAAAATTTTTGTTTATTTATTATTTTCTATCATTCGTATAAAACTTTTATTCATTTGTTTGCTTACTCAAAAAAAAATTATAAATAAATGAATATAATTATATTGTATGACAAATAAATTTATCTACTTTTTTAAATTTAGAAGTTACACAATAAACACTTATAAGAAACCTTCAATAAATATGCATTTATGGAGTTATAACTAGAGATGGAAACAGAGTATATCAGGTCAGGCTTTACTCTAAACACGCCTGACCTGTGAAATAATTATTAGACTTAAGTCTGACCTGTTACATGTTAAAGGCTTATTTTAAGCTTGATTTGACGCTTTAAACCTGTTAACAAAGCTTGATTTCAATATTAATATAAATATAAATATTTTATCATCAAATTAATTTACATTTTTTTTAATTTCTATCTATGTTATTAATAATTATTAAATAATTATAATAATATTTATATAATTTTATAAATAATTTTTAAGCATTAATTATAAATATTTTATATTAATAAAATTTATATTTATATTATCTTGATTTTTTTTTAAATTATATAAATTTTAAAGATTTTAGTTTATTTTAGAAATATATTTTATTTATTTAAAGACACCTTATATTAAATAAATAAAGTTATAGTAAATACATAAAATTGATCAAAAAAATAACATTCACACAATTTATTGAATCAATTAAAAGAAAATTATTATGTTTTAAAAAATAAATAAATTTAAACTTAATATAATATATATATATATATAGACAATAATAATAACTATTAAATTAAAAAATAATTATAAAATATTTAATTTTATTTATTTTATTAATTTGTTATTTTAAATTAACAAATAAACATAAAATTAGCTACATTATAACATTAATGTAATATAAAAAATATTATGGATACAATAAATTAAAATACATATTTGTATATTATATATAAATTGATAAATTAACTAATAATTTAATTAAAACATGTGCAAGTTACAAAAATATATATTATTATATAATTTATTTATAATTATATTATTTGTTACATAATCTAATTATATATATATATATATATATATATATATATATTAATACATATTATAATAAGTTTTTAATTTTATTTTGTTATCATTTTTTTAATAATTTTTACTTTCAAATAAAATATAATCTATATTTAAATAATTTCTATTTATTATAAATAAAAAGAATTATAACATAATATATTAATATAATAATTAAATATTAATGTTTATTTTTAAATTTTAATTCATTTAGTTTTAACTACATCCTATTTCTATTCAAAGACTTTGATGTTCTAGAGTGGGATTGATTTCTAAGTTCGCTTTTAACTGTTGGCTTTTTACTAGTTAGTCCTGCTAAAGACACCAAACAACGTATTTTTTGAAATGAGGTCTCCTGTAACGTGACATAAAGACTCTTTTTTATTAATATAAAATCTCATAAATCAAAATAAAAACTAAACTAAATGAAAAATTGATAAATGAAGCAAAATCTACTAAAGTATTATACTACAAAGAATAATTAGACGAATTCTATCAATATTAACCTCACTTTCTACTTTTGTAGAATTGTAAGAAACACAATAGGTTCTTTACTGGATTTGTTTTACAAAGAGCAAACTCCTCCAATCTTTTATTTTTATAAATAAAACATTATCAATTTCAAACGCAAATCAAGAAAAGCTGGCTATCACTTTTCTTTTTTTATAAGTACTTTAGTAAAAAAAAATTATACGAATAAAGCTAAAATACATAATAAGTTTATAAAAAATTTATATTATTATACATAATTTAATTAAAATTATATTATTTACTATATGGTCCTATTATATATATATATATATATATATATATATATATATATTGTATGTTAAATTTTTTATTTTATTTTTTTATCATTTTTATAAAATTTTAGTTTTGAATAGACTATAATTCATATTTAAATAATTTCTATTTATTATAAAGAAAAAAAAGTTAAACATAATATATTAATATAATCATTAAATAATTAATTAATAATAATAAAATTAAGAGTATAAAAAATATATTAATATAAATTTATTATTTTATTTTAAAATTTAAAATTTTATTTTGTTTAATTTTGATTGCGTCTTTAACTTGTTTAAATTTAACAAATATAATAATTTATTATTTAAAAAGTGTAATTATGTATAAATATTTTTAATTTTTAATAGAATATAACTTCTGTTTATTATAATTATAAATAAAAAGAATTATAACATAATATATTAATTTAATAATATAAAAAATATATTATTAAGTAATTTTATTATTTAAATATATTTTGACAACTCTATTTTTAAATTTTATATATATATATATATATATATATATACAGGCCGGCCTGTCAGGCTTAACAAGCTTTATAAACAACTCAGACCTAACTTGTTTAATGAAACATGTCTTAAAAAGAGTTTAAGCTTTGTTTCTTTATTAAAAAGGTCAGGATAGGCCACAACTCCTATTTCTATTTGTAGTTCTAACGGTACATTTTTTTCTTATCATATTTCACCGTGTTTGAATTTGTTTTCCTTTCTTTTCAATTTTTATTACTCAGTTCACAATTCTACCACTTGTTTTTATATATCTTTTTATTTTATTTTTCTTAGTCGTCTTCCTTGGTAACTTACTTAACAAAATGTCTGGTTATTCATTTTTTTTTCTTTTATTGATACAAAACTTTTGCTCATTTGTTTGTCAACTGTAAATAAATTTGTAAATAAATTAATATAAATATATTGTATGACTATTTTATAATTTAAAAATAAAAATATAATTATTAATAATAAATATTTTATTATATTTATCTATCTATTTATATGTAAAATTGACTGTACTTACTTATTACCTTATGTATTAAATTTTAAAATATATAAAGTCATCTTTACTTATTATTCTATGCATTAAAATTTGAAACTTATAAAGTCACTTTTATGTGCACTCACTTATTATTTTATACATTAAAATTTAAAATGTATAACTTATGAATTAAAATTCTATTTTATTTATACTTATTTATTTTTGAATTGTATTTAAAGAATTTTTATTGAAATTGATGAATTGTATTTAAATAATTAATTTAGAACCTATAAAGTCACTTATATTAACTGCATCTAATTATTACTTTATGTATTAAAATTTGAAACTTAAAACTTACCGATTGAAATTATATTTTATTCATATTTATTATCTTTCAATTGTATTTAAGAAATATTTATTAAATTTGATAAAGTGTATTTAAAAAAATTATTAAAATTTCTGGTTATATTACATACGTTGAATTAAAAAATTACACTTATAATATTATTACTTTATGTTATTAAATTAAAATTTTCATTATTTTATTAATTAATTTAATTTATATTTCAATATTTACTTCAAATACTAAAATGTAATTTGAATAAAAAATATATTTATAAATTATTAGTTTATATTATATATTATTAAATTAAATTTCTAATGAAAAGGCAAGTTTATATATTTAAATTATTTTAGTAATTAGTTTAATATAATATATAGTTGAATATATATCTCAAAAATTGAAATATTTGTAATATTATGAGTTTGTAATATATATTGTTAAATTACATTTCTAATGAAAAAGTGAGTTTATATATTTAAATAATTTTATTAATGAGTTTAATATAATATATAGTTCAATATATATTTCAAAAATTAAAATATACGTTGAATGTATAAATGAAAAAATTACTTTTATTATATTAATTTATTATTTTTTGACTTTTCATATATCTTTAGAAAGGACTTGTTCTCTACTTATATAAGTCATATTTATATAACTTTTAAAAATTTGCTCATTATTTTTTCTACTGTTATATTTTTTTTTTATATTTTGCAACCATGTCAGCAGCCAAGAATTATTTATTCAAGTAAATATATGTATTTTCAAGTTTGATAATTTTTTATTTTGTTTCATTAAATTATGTTATATATTTCAATTTATTTTTTTGAATAAGCATAAAGTCTTATTATTTTTAAACGATATAATGTATTAAATTTTATTTTTTAATTGATTAAATTGTATCAAATCTCTTATTATTTTCTTATATTCATCATAAGTAATTATTTACTTTTACATTTTTCATGGTGTTGTAGGAGAACAACAAGTTTAAATGAAGATAAATGTACTTTTTTTAACAATGTGAATTCAATAACAGATAAATGGAAAAGAAATGTACAAATTTTAATATATAGAATAATAAGTGCGTGCACATAAGAGTTACTTTATAAGTTTTAAATTTTTGAATAAGCATAAAGTCATATTATTTCTAAATGATATAATATATTAAATTTTATTTTTAATTGATTAATTTGTATCAAATCTCTTATTATTTTTTTATATTCATCACAAGTAATTATTTACTTTTATATTTTTCATAATGTTGTAGGAGAACAACAAATTCTAATGAAGATAAATATACTTTTTTTAACAATCTAAATTCAACAACAGATGAATATAGAAAATAAATGTGCGAATTTTAATGCATAGAATAATAAATAAGGGCACATAAGAGTAACTTTAGAGGTTTCGAATTAAGTAAATAGATTAACATATATAAAAATTACTTTATACATTTCAAAATTTAATGCATAGGGTAATAAGTAGGTGCAGTCAATTATATATATATATATATATATATTGCATACATATATTACATTTAAATATTATAGTCAATTCTATATATATAATTTTTTTATAAAAAGTAAACTTTTAAATTTAATATATATATTACATTATTATTAATTTTTATTTACAACATTTTTGTATAGTAATTTTATCTATATACACAAAGTTTAATATATTTCTATTTTAAATATTAACATATAGTTTTGTGTATATTGATATTCGAAGCAGACTTTTAAAATTTCATACATTAGTTAAATAAATACTTTATTTTTGTATATATTAGTCTAATAAGTTATTATTAAAAAATATGATATCATGTTTTAATAATTACATAGCAAAGTTTTATTAATATTTTAAATTATAATTATAAATAGATAGTTTATCATATGAATATAAATAAATATATAAATAAAAAATCATAAAGTTTTTTATTTAAATTGAATAACTTATATTAAAAAATTTATTATATTTAATAATTTTTTGTTATAATTATTTATTTAAAATTTTAAAATAATGAATGATTTATAATATCATGAAACAATATAAATTATATTTTTACATTTTAAAAATAGGACATTTGTATGCTAATTTATTTTATGCTAAGAAATACTAAATTATACATATTTTAAATAATAATTTATTTTGACAAATAATTTTTTTTATTATATTTATATATTTTTATATTTAAATTATATATTTTATATTTTAAAATAAATTAATTTAATAAAAAAAAAATCAAACCATATAACGCACAGACATATTTTTTAGTTAGATAAGTAATAAAGGGTTAAATTTTAAAATTTAAAAGTATGACAAATTTAATTTTGAATAATGATTAAATTAAATAATAAGTACTTAATATAAAAAAATTATTAAACATGGTAAGAAAAAGAAATTTTAAATCTTAATTAGAAAATATAAATTTAAAATTTAAATTCTATCTATTTTTTATTTTTTTAATTTTTTATTTGACTCATTTTAACTAAGTTGCAGTTTAAAAAGTAAAATAATATTTTTCATAAAAAACAAGTTAAAATCTTTAAAAAATAATAAAATAATAATTTATCAACACATTGAAATCAGAAATAATTCAAAAATTTGAAACGTATGTAGACTGTTTGTTTTATAGTTTTTTTCAAGTATGGGGAATGAAAAATTTTAAAAGTTATATTTAACTGCAACAATTATATGATATCTTACATTTCCCATAAAGCATAGATAATAAAATTATATTTTTTTTATTAAAATTGTAAATATTTAATATAATAATTTTTTTTATTAGTAGTAACAATGTTTTCTTTCTTTTTAATTTATAACAATTAAAAAATCATACAATATACTTTTCTAATTTATTTTTTATTAATTTAATAATATTCATATAATATAAAACTAATTATTATATCTTTTTAATGTATATATTATAAATTTAAAATTATTAATTTTTTTATGTGTCAATTTTTGTAATTTTTTTATAATTTTATGGAAAGAATAGAAAAATTTTAAATAGAAAGACTGGTAGATTGCATTAGTCAATAAATTTTTAAAAATCGATACAACAAGTAAAAGGCATATTCTTCGTTAATGCGTTCATCCTTATTAACAATTTTTATTAATTAATTAGTTAATGTCTCATAGATTTAGAATAAATTTTTAAAAAATACAATAATTTATTGTGTGTAAGTTAGAAAAATAGTTGTTATTAATAAACAAATAGTTGTTACTAAAATAAAAGTTTCTTTTTTTTTTTATAGAAAACGGTTATTAAAGTTTTTATTTCATTGTATAAAAGTAACATTGTTTATGTTATAATTAAAAAAATTAAAATTACCATAAAATGATATGTTAAAAATTAGAAAATATATAATATAAAATATATTTAAATAAAATAAAAGGAAAATATATATAGTCTTAATAGGTAAATAATAAATATTTAATTTGGTCAATTCTCTTAAAAAATCATAATTAATAAAATACTAAAATGTAAGTTTTAATAAATAATTTTATAATATTATGAAGATTAATAGTCTATAAAGATTAATGATTCAACGGTAATATTTAGAGTCAACAATTCTTATCTCTTATTTAAAAATTTAAGAATAACGCTATTTAAATACCCGTTTAAGTGTCTGTACCATACATGTATACCAACAGTATCTATTTCAAAAAAATTTAAATTAAGCATATGGTGGTGTTGGGTATAGACACCTAAACGGGTGTTTGAATAGCATTATTCAAAATTCAAACACTTATGGTATACTCTATTTGTTCAAAACTTTTTTAGGATTTTTCTGTCACTAGTCAAATCAAACAGTGTGAGTATACTATGGCAGAAGAGATTGCAAATTACTATTCTTGGACACCATACTCCTATTTGCAGCCTAATCAACATGTTGTGGATGCTGATGGAGATGATTCACTTAATGAAGTGTTACGTGATAAAGATCAAGGTTTGGAACCAACTCCTGTTGAATCAAACTCATCCAATAAAGCAACCAACCAGTCTTTTGAAGGTAAATTAATAGATGCATTTTTTTGTTTTAATGTTTCTTCAAAATGGAGATGATTCACTTAATTAAGTGTTACGTGATAAAGATCCAGGTTTGGAACCAATTCCTGTTGAATCAAACCCATCCAATAAACCAACCAACAAGTCTTTTGAAGGTAAATTAATAGATGCATTTTTTTGTTTTAATGTTTCTTCAAAATGGAGATGATTCACTTAGTTAAGTGTTACGTGATAAAGATCCAGGTTTGGAACCAACTCCTGTTGAATCAAACTCATCCAATAAAGCAATCAACAAGTCTTCTGAAGGTAAATTAATAGATGCATTTTTTTGTTTTAATTTTTCTTCAAAATGGAGATGATTCACTTAATGAAGTGTTGCGTGACAAAGATCCAGGTTTGGAACCAACTCCTGTTAAATCAAACTCATCCAATAAAGCAACCAACCAGTCTTCTGAAGGTAAATTAATAGATGCATTTTTTTAAAAATGTTTCTTCAAAATTTTCAGTGTTACCTGCGTACTTTTGCAATAATCGCATGGCTTAGTGAAAAATTAGATCTGTTAGTTGAGCTGTGTATATGTGAAGTTATGATCGCTTACCAATTAGTTTTTATATATTTTTATTTATTTATTGTTAATGAATGCTGATGTTTTTGACTGATCCAATTTATTGTTGTAACGTCGTTGTGTTAGTAGTCATGTTATTTATAGATTATTGATGAGTAATTTATGAATGGAGATGGTGTCTACAAATATATTTCACAATTGACAATATGAATGAGCGTGAATGGCACAATTAATCAAGAACCTACGATGTATTTGATGTATGAAGTTATCAACAAGTAATGAAATTTGTGTTATAATTATTTTAGTATTACTAATTTGGTTAGGTCTATTCAAAATGACTAATTTCCCATGACATGACGAGTTAGGGTTCTAATCCAATTAAAGGAGATAAGTTACTCATTTAATACCGAATCATGTCTGAAGATAGTAGTTTCCTAATTGAGAACTAATTAAACTCATCTGCCCTGCAATTGATGAACAAATTTTTGAGAATGTTCTTAGCTATATTTAAAATATAAATATTTATTTCAATGCTTTAATATTTCTCATTTGTATACAGCTGATCTTGAATTCAGTCCAACAAAAAGAAAGAACAAGAGAGAAGAAAATAGGAAGATATATCGGCCTAAAATCATATCTGAAAGTCCAAACAAATCTCGGGTCAAAAGCAACGACACTCCAAAACCTTCAACTCCAAAACAGAAGAGAAGTTCTGTGAGAAGGGATTCTTCATGCAAGAGGCAGCTATTCAGTGAAGATTTGATTTCTTTACCATTTTTGAAAAAATTCAATAAGGTGAAGGTTGAACAAGGTGGATTTGAGAATTCCATTATTCATAATGAATTAGGCATTGCATACAATTCAATCCAAAGATACCATAAGGTGGAATCTTTGTCAAGTCTATGCCTGGTAGAAAGTAGACAAATTGGTATGATTTTTCCATTGATGTGCAAGAAAAAAAGAATTCCCAGAGGTAGATTGCGTCTAGAAAAACTCTTGGCTCCTTTTAAAAGAGGAAAGAGATCAACAAGTCTGGTTAGGAAGAGAAAATGTTGGATGGTATTTGAATTAGGAGGTGATAGTGTCATTGATAAAAAATTGATAACTAGGATTAAGAAAATTCGTTCTTTGACGAAAAAGAAAGGTAGAAAGACTAAGGAACTAGTTGCCAACAAAGAACTAGGAGCATTAGTTCCTTATAAACAATCATCTCTAGATATTAATGTTCTGCTTGATGAAGAGACTTTGAGAGTGTGGAACTTGCTCAAAGATGAAAACGGACATGAGGAGAATGATGAGATGAAGCAAAAAAGCTGGGAGAGCATTAGAAGTATCTTCCGCGACAAGGTTGAGTCATTTTTATGGCACATGCATTTCATCCAAGGTATGTTTTATCTTCATTTATTTCATAATTCATTGCAGTCATTTTCAAATGTGATGTAAAGTTTGGATTTGTTATACACATGATTTTATTTTTATTTTTTTTGTGCATGTTGAGTATTGATCTATAGTTGTTGATTAAAAAATTTCGTGTTCATGGTTAAATTAAATTAATAATCTTTACACTGTTTACAGGTGACAGACGATTCCTACCGTGGAAAGGTTCAGTGTTGGATTCTGTGATTGGAACTTTCCTAACTCAAAATGTGTCTGACCATTTGTCAAGGTAAGTTTAAATAAAATGGATAATTTACTTGAAATTTTTATGTGCTATTGAATATTAATGCTGCTTCTTATTTATATAGCTCTGCATTCATGACACTTGCTGCAAAGTTTCCTATCAAAACTAATCGTGAAAAGGGCATGGAGGACCTAGATAAACAAGAAATGCCTAGTTACAGCGTTGTTTTTCCTAGTCCTGAATTTGATAGGGAAATGGAAGACTGCAAACTTGAAGAAATGGAAGGTAAAAAAGTCAAAGAATCTTCCAAGCTTGATGACAGCAAGGGAACTGAAAACAGTTCTAGTTTAACGAATGAAAAGATAGATCCTCTTGACTTGCTTTCTGTTAAGAAAATTTCAACTGCGAAGAAGAAAAGTAAGAAAGAGGAAGAAAAGGAGATATTAGAGGAAAAGCAACGATGTTGGGATAGACTAAGAAAAATCCACACTAAAAGTCCTAGAGACAGTGATCATATGGATTCTGTTGATTGGGAAGCTGTAAGATGTGCACCAGTGGGTGAAGTTGCTAGAGTCATTGCATCTCGTGGCCAACACAACATGATTGCTGAAAGAATACAAGTATAAACATGTTTAGTTCATTGCCGTTAACGATAACTTTCAATATATATATTATTATTGAAGTACTTAATTGTGTGACAATGGATATTTGTAGCGTTTACTAAATGGCCTAAGAGACTCAAATGGAAAGCTCGATTTAGAATGGCTAAGATACGCTCCACAAAAGGAAGCAAAGTAAGTATACATCAAGTTATTTTATTCTATAAGATCTTCTATATTTTTAATGTAATTATTAGTCATAAAAATTGCTGGATTGAGCATGCACATTATTCATGTTACAGGGAATATCTTTTAAACATTTATGGACTGGGATTGAAAAGTGTGGAATGTATTCGACTTTTAACACTTCATCATATGGCTTTTCCGGTAAGAATACAAGAAGAGGCATATTCTTCTTTTCATTAATGAATATTTTTTGTGATGCAGTTAATTTTTTTATTTCCTATTATTATAAGGTGGATGTAAATGTTGGAAGAATTGTTGTACGTTTGGGATGGGTTCCTCTCCAACCATTACCCAAAGAAATTCAAATACATAACTTAGAAATGTAAGTCTTTCAACAACTTCAGTTTTATCCCTTAATTTTTCACTTTTGTACCAGCATTCATTACCTACACATTTTTTGTGTTGTAGGTACCCAGATTCAAACAAAATTCAACAATATCTTTGGCCACGGCTATGCACCCTTGATCAGCGTACATTGTAATTATCAAGCCTTTTTTTGTATCTATTTGAACTTTGTATGAGGTTAACTTTGCATGAGGTTGATACATCTTACATTTATTATCTTATATAGGTATGAATTGCATTATCAGCTGATAACTTTTGGGAAGGTACATGTCGTGTTATTTTAAATGTAATTTCTTTACTTCTTTCAACAAGAAAATTTAAATTATCTTGAAACATTTTCAGGTTTTTTGCACAAAGAAATATCCAAATTGCGCTGCTTGTCCAATGAAGAATGAGTGTAAACATTATGCAAGTGTTGTTGCAAGGTATTATTACATTCAATTTTATTATTATATTTGAAAATGCTTAATGGTAGTAGAGATGTAGATTACTTAATGGTTTTAATTTTCATCGTATTTGAATACATGTATAATATCTACATGTATATCATTCATGCAGTGCAAAACTTGCTCTACCTGAACCACCAACGCAATCTGGTAATTCTTTTAAACACTCCACTTTGTTAAGCAACTCTCCGTCAACAGTCGTTTCGGAGGAGAACAATACCTTCATCCCAGAATCGAGTAAAGGATGTGAACCGATCATTGAGATACCAGCATCACCAGAACCAGAAAGCAATGAACCGAATAATTTTGATGTGAAGAATGAAGATGAAGAGTTTAAGAGGGATGATGTGTGCAATGACATTGAGGACTTTCCAACAATCGTGCTCAGTAGTCAAGAAACACATAATTATTATTCAAAAGATTATGAACAGGAAGACATGAACAAATCAACAGCTGTAGTTTTGCTACACGATGTTGCAAACATTCCTTTACCAAAGATGAAAAATGTTAGCCGCTTAAAGACTGAACGCAAAGTGTAAGTTTTTCTATTTCCTTCACGCCGTGTCTTTATATTTTTTCTTAAATTTTTCTTTGTGGTTGCATTAACTCTTTCAATTAATCTTTGTTGCCATACGTTTACTCTTATTTTTAATGCAGTTGGGTGCTTCCAGATAACCACCCTCTCTTAGCAGAGGTAAGTAGGTTCAGTTTATTTTGATCCATCTCAAAAGTATCCTTATATATATGCATTCAGGCTTTTAATTCTTTATTTTTGCAGCATTCTCTACGAGAACTTAATGATCCTTGCCCTTATCTTCTGGTTATATGGACAGAAGGTAATATAGAAAAAGAAGAAAATAAATTATCATGACGTGAAAACTTTTTTTTAAGTATTTATTAAATATAACTATATACCTCGTTTTTTGGGCTAATAAGGTGAACTACAACATTCACGTGAATCATCTGAGAACAGCTTACAAGAGGAAGAAAATGGCATAACAGTACCGGGAACTCTTCTAGTGAGTGAAATTACTGAAGTCTTATTGTTCAAAGTTTGAACAATTTTTTTTTACCAATAAAAATATTATATTCGTAAATTTATGAAACAGATACCATGTCGAACTGCAATGAGAGGATCTTTTCCGCTGAATGGAACGTACTTTCAAGTTAATGAGGTGACTAGCTGAACCATTAAATTCCATCTAGTCTTAACTTTTCTAATAATCACATTAATTTTATGCATACCTCATCATGTTTCTTAGGTTTTTGCTGATTATGATTCAATGATACGTCCAATCAATGTTCCTAGAAAATGGTTATGGAACTTAGAGAATCGGATAGTATATTTTGGGACCGGGATATCATCGATAATGAGAGGTAAATCTAACACGTCCCTAGTTTAGATAAATTTATACAGAGATTAATAAAACTTATTTCATAAAATGGAAATAATTTATCTCTTTATGTTTTAAAGATTTAGTTTTAACGTAGGAAAGAAATTTGATTCATTATTATTTAATTTTTTACTTTTATTTTGAGAAGTTAATGCAAATTAACCTATGATACATTGATACTGTGCAAAAGATTTATTATTATTATTATTATTATTATTATTATTGATAAACATCAATGCAGATTTGAAGGTGGAACAAATCCACGAATGCTTTTGGAACGGTAAGAAAAACATTGTTTGAATTGATTGAATACAGTGAATCAGGTAATACTCTTCGTTAAAACTGCTTATTTGTGTTTTATAGGTTTTATTTGTGTGAGAGCAATGGATTCAAAGACAAGAGCTTCCAGGCCTATATCATCTATATTGCATCGCAACACAACAGCTCGGGTGGGAAAGGGAAACAAAAATGAGCGTGAAGACGAAGAATAGACAATCTTTTTCCCCTATTAGTCCTAAACTCCTTTGTATGCTTGTATCTTGAATATTTATTTTTAAATTATGTTAAAATGAAACTCATATAAAATTAAAGAAAAACAATTATTGGTGACTTTTATTTTTAATAATAATTACAACTTTTCTCTTTCTCGAAAGACGCTGCGCGTACAGACAGAGTTGCTGTACAGAGTTGTTATACAAATTAATGTGATTAATTAAATACATTTTTAACAATTTTTATTTTTAAATAGTGGCCTTAGTGTGCCGTTTAGCAAAACCCATTCCTAATTTCACAAGCAACACGAAGCAATACAAGCCATCAAAAATGTTTTGTTGCCCACGAAAATCCGCATAGAAGCTCGAGCCTTCAAACACTTTGAGGGTGCATTTGATATTTTTTACTCCATTTAAGAGATTAGCAAATGATGTTGCTTGTGTTGACGGAATCAACATGTAACAAGTTATGAACATATAGAACAGAGATCAAGAACTTGAAAAATTCTGCTATGCACATGTCGGTCTTTTACATTGAGTGCTTCAATCACAAGAATGTTTGATTGTCAATAAGAAAATATGCGAATTTTATATATATATGTTCACCAGTTGCGTTATATCAAATAGATGATACCTTAATGTCACTTTAACAAGCATTATGCAAAGCCCCAATGTTGTAGTGAAAATAGAAACAATAGAAGATATCCTTGCTAGATATTGTCTAAGCTAAATTAAGAAGATATTACTCTATGAAGTATAAAATGATAAAGATTTCTGATTTCAAGGCTTATGGTGCTGGGTGTAGATGTAGTCTAGGTGAGCTTCTAAAGTCATTCTTCTCTGCAAACATTCTTCATCTCCACTATTGCAGTCCTCCATCCCCAGAAGCTGCTAGATTCCAGAACAAACATAATTATACAGTATAGTTCAATTTACTAAGCAAAGAACCCTTTAATGAAATAAAATGGCTCCTACCTTAAAAGATTCTCCTCCTTCCAACCCCAAAACAAAGTTTTCCCATGAGCCTCCATTTAGTTTTGATCTGTTTCTCCCTTAAAAAAACCAACTCCTACTTAGTAAAAATACATTTGAGTAGATAAGTAAAGTTTAAAGTTAATTACTACTTACCTTGTTCAATGGTAAGTGGCCTGGCAAATAGTTGTGATGAAGAAACTAGGAAGAAAAGAAAAAAGAGTAGAGCTCCAAGGTGAAAACTTAGCTTCATGTTTGTGTACTTGAATGAGAGAGCAAAAGGGTCTTGGAAGATGCTTACTATAGAGTAAAGAGGGGGATAGTTGGGACTTGGCTCCAACAAGGTGCTGAAAGTAGATATAAATACTTACATGCAAGCAAAGTAGTCACTGTTACTCACATGAAGGTTCCTAAAAGAAGGCAGTTTCATTACAAATACACTACCTCATAACATGGGCCCAGTCACCATGCTATTATTATACTACTCTCCATGCTAATGTGACGAGACCAGACCAGACCACTATTTCTATGTGATGTATGTGGAAGTGCTTTAGTCATTGTCTGCCATAGTGGTCCAACCACAGTCCAAAAAACATTAAAAAAATCAATGTTGTAGTGGTTTGACAGTATTAACAAGTCAACCTTTCAGACACACTGACAGCTGTTATCCAGCCTCAAGCCTTACCTATGCCAAATCTTCAACACTTGGCATGCTTTTTTAGTTGCCTTGTTAGTTAATTAAGGCATGAAAAACATCATCCTAAAGCTGGGATTTTTCATAAACACTAATATAATAACGTTGTGAAGTTGCTTCCCCACTTGTGATCAAAACCATGTCAGTGGCTAAGCCACCCATCAAACTATGTTCTTATCTTCATTGGCAGTATTATATTGAATGCTTTCTTCCTTTGTTTCTGCTTCATCCACGACTCTTATATGCATGCTTCTTATGAGCTAATCCGTTTAAATAATTTAATTCAACTCTAATTTGCTCACGTGATGTGTGCAAGTTCATGACTGTGATACTTGGCAAGCTTGAGAACCTTGAACAACTTTGTTATGAAATGATGAATTATTTTATCCTCATAGTGCTTCATCAATAACTATGTGATGCGACTCTAAAATATGGTAGATTCGGTTTCTCACCAAGTGCAATGTGTTATGGAAAATGGTGAAGCTGATTATTATTCCACTTTGGAATTCATAGTTAGCGGGTCTCATTGTGATTTTGTCGTTTTCATGTAATTAATTGATACTAGTTAGATTGAAGCTAATATTATGCTTCTCTTTTGGAAGATTTGAATCTCGCTGTCTCTTGCTCTAAACATAAAGAATTTAAAGGAAAAGCCACCAATGTCGGATTGGGATTCGGCACAAGCATGTTTTTTTTTTTTATATATAATTATGTAGAGTAATTCCTTTGGGAATTGAGTTGGATTATTCTAAAGCTGATTGGCATGCATGATTACAACCATGATGTGATGGCTCTTTCTTCTTTACACGGGTTGTTGAATACTGAATTCTTCTGAGTAAAGTCCCAAGCCAAAAAGATAAAAAGAATCTCCTGAGCCATGGAAAACATGGGTGGATGGATCAAAGTCCAACATCTTTTGAGAAGGACAAGGAAAACGTTAATAAAGAAAATCAATGCAATATTTCATTGGGAGATGGGCATGTGACATACCTCAAACAGTTTATAGTTGGGGTTGATTTGATTTTTGCTATAGGTAATTGCACATAGTACCATAGTAATGGACAAGTTATGTTGACTCACCAGTCTGCAATTTTCCTGGATTTCATGTGGCATGTCATGCCTCATGCTTGCAATAAGACGTACCAACCTTTGTCCACTAGCCCAGAAGTTTAGTTCAACGTAGATAGATACCTCTAAGATGATTCATTAATTTTATTTCATTGTTGAGAAAAATCTTGGAAATTTTTGATTTAGGACTATAAAATACATTCTCCAAGGTGGGGGAGAATATAATTTGTTCTCTTAGCACTAAAATCAAAGTAAGGATATAAAATGACTTAATTTATTATTCTTCTAAGAGGAAAAGAATAAATATTTTTTTTTTCATTCTTATCTTGTGCCCAGGGTGAGTTGGCATGAGCATGAAAGGCCGAAATAGATGGGGCAGCATGCTTTTGTTTTCAACAAGAAGATAAAAAATCGGGTGAAACTCAAATGATACTAAAGAGGTTTTGGATTCTATCAGTTAGCAAAGTAACTGCAGGATCCTACATTTGAGGTTCACCTAGTCGCACGCATTCTCGTTTATGATATAATCAATTTCAAGGGAGTTAATAAAAATAATTTTAAAATTAAGAAAGTATAATTTAATAAACTCATAATATGATATTTAAATACTAATAAATGATTGGTTTAACTTTAAGTAGATTATATTTAATTTTTAAATTATGTTTTGAGTTTGAATTTTGCATATATTTATTGTATGAAAACTAATTATACTGTATTATAGATATTTTTTACTTGAACTAGATTATCTTTTACGGAAGATAATTTTGGGTTATAAAAAAGCGAGTCAAATTAGACTCTTTAAGAAGTTTTAAAAAAATTATTGTGTGTGTGTTAAGATTCATTAGTCGTCTACTAGAAAATCGTTTTTAAATTAAAATTTAAATGGGAAATTTGAGGGAAAAAATTGATTCCTAAAAAGTTATTCCGAAACTTGCTGCAAGTGCACTAGACAGCTGTGAAACTGTGATTTAATTTAAGCATGAGATTTTTTAAAATCAAATTGTCTTTAAAGAATATAAACTCACTTTAAATATCATTATGCTTTAAATATGAGTTTGGCCCTCTTATCTCATTAAACTTTTACTTTTGAAACAAATGCAATACTCCCATTAACGAGCGATCAAAGCGAAAGCTTGCGTTTTCTTTTTCATTTTGAACTTGTTGTCAACTACATTTAGAGAAAATAAGTGAAAAATCTAAAGCATTGCCCCCTATAGCAATTTATACCGCTACTAACCATCTTTTCCAAACAACTGATTTAGGTAAAATGCACAAACTCCAATATCATGATCCATTCATTCTAAATGAGAAATCACACTTTTAATAAACATCTTAATTTAACTCTAATAGCTTGATTTAATGTTGAATTCAATGTTGGGCTAGTATATGAAAGGTATACTCATGTTAACAATTTGAATCTTTATTCTGCCAATTAATGCAAGAAGTTTTCTTTAATCCCGAAATAAGTAACCCATTTTTATCAAAATTTCAAAATATAATTAACCGGACCAAACCTTTCATTTATATTGATGGTCAAAGTGTTGATTTCATATCTTATATTATATATCATTGACAAAATAATATTTTGAACTATTTAAATTTATATATGTAGTATATAATGTAAATTTAATCCGTCATCGTATACTTCATTTCCATAATTAGATGCTTTATGTTGATCGATATGGGTGTTGTTTTTAGAGTATATCAAAAGAAGCACTTTATTGCTAAAAGCCTAGAACCGACCCTAAGGAATATCTTCAAATGATGCCTTTGAGAAATTCTAGAGAAAAAATGTGTGGAGGAGAATAATTACGTGGGCTATACTGTCAACAATGAACCTTGGAGTCAACCATTGCTGACTTGGTTGGTATTGTGGGGCTTGTGCTGTGTCTTTCTCGATCAAGTAGTCATTGTAGTATTTAACACCCAGCATTTCAAATCAAGGTCATAGCTTTTAGAAAAAACCAGAGTATGAAGCCAAAATACATGTGCATTTGTAATTTGACATGGTTTGCTGGTCCTCGTTGTGGTGTTTATTTATTGAAAAGGAGGAGCATTAGGTCCCTTTCTAGTTAACTTCTGAGTTTGCTTTTGCCTTCTGCTCCGTTTGCCCCCATTTGCTTTGGCTTTTTAGTTTTGTCAAAAGCCTCCAAACCACAAGGGCATCTAAGTCTGTATCTAGGATGCAAAAGGCATCTTCATGACTCAACCAAGGATGCTAGATAAAGCAATACTAAAACACCCTCTAAGGGTGCATGTTGGTCACTTCTTTTTTCCCTCTTCTTTCTTTCCACCTTTGTATAAGGGGATATGGGATCCTTCTACTTACACATCTTTTCTCCCAAACTTCATGTCATTAAATTATTACAAGTGTTAGTAATTTTTTTCATCCATCATATGGATATTTTAAAATCAAGTAAAATGAAAAAATACAAATAAATTAAACTACATAAGAAAAATATTGTTGTTAAATAGTAATGAAATCACATATTTTAAAAAACACTGAAGTGTAGCGAAAGATCTTTCACCATTAATAATGAGGATTTTAGTTTATTAAATAAAAATAGGTCAAAAATATTTTTTCAAATTGAGAAAAATTATTAAAAAATGAATTATTTGAATCAATATACATTGTCTCTATATATTTTAATTTGATATGTTAAGCTAAAAAAATTATCTTTATTAAAATTTTGTATTTATGTTTAATATGTAGAGATTGATCATTCCTTTTCTTTAGCTATTCAAAAAGCAATAGTTGTACAATATTGGTGACAAATTCCTTTAAACTTGAGGAGATTACAGTAGCCTTATCTTGCTTCATTTGGCACTTCATCTTTGAACAACTAATAATTATAATTTTGAGTAATATCATCTGTTGAGATGGCCGAGTTGGTCTAAGGCGCCAGATTAAGGTTCTGGTCCGAAAGGGCGTGGGTTCAAATCCCACTCTCAACAATTGTTATATCTTTTTGTTTCCTCTGCTAAACAGAGGCCGAAGAGAAGCCCAAGTATGATAAAAACTTTGTTCCCTCTGGTAAACAAAGACCGAAAAGAGGCCAACAAGAAGCCCAAGTAAGGTAAAAAAAAGCCCAAATATGCAGAGCTTTATTTTTTATTTTTTATTTTTTATGAGGGAATTGTTACGGGCTTAGGTTTGGTACGGCAGAGCCCGATGTGTGTCATTTCCAGGCTTAAATATTACATTGGACTTTTTTTTAAACAAATTAATAACCATGTTGACCAATGACCCCAAAAAAATCTAGAAAAAAAAACCATAAATTGAATAATCATATTATAGAAGATATATTGAAAACCTGGAATTTGATAATATACCATTTTTTTTTTATCATATTGTCATGTAATGTTAGTTTTTACATTCTCATTTATTCTTTTAAAACACATTTCAACGTAAAGTTAATCATGCTTAACTTTAAAAAAATAAACGAATCTTTAAATAATAATTACAGACAAATTACAGCTAACTAGCACTTGAAACTTGTTTCCAACCACCGTAATTTTGTTTTAAAATCTGTGTCTCCCATGTCAACCTCTTTTCCCAAACGAGGAATTACCAGAAAATTGCAATGCTCAACCAGCATGTGTCTCACTCTCTTATGGTCTCTTCCATTTTCTTCGAAATTTCTTTCCAACCACCACAGTTTTGGTCTTATTTGGAGCATTATTAATTTAGATATTTAATTCCTTTAAAATAAAAAAATTCCAAAAATATTTAAATAAATAAGAGTGTATTACTGTAAATTTAAACTAAAGCGTTTTCTAAATTAATAAAATCTTTCTTTCTCGTTTTTCAATATTGTGGGTATGGAAAGTGCGTTTCACTTGACTACTGCACTTGCTAGGTTTCTTATTTCAAGTCAATGTCTTTTCTCTTGAACGAAGGAGTTACGAAATTTAATGTAATCTACAACGTTCCCTTCCATCAAAACAAGAAATATAATGTGATTTTTTATAATTTTAAACGTAAAAATTTATTTTAATAGTTTTAACCCCTAAAATGGCATATTACTCTCTTCAATAATCTCCCATTATCAGGTAGAGGACACCCTTACTGCTACGTACCCACAAAAAGAATCAGCTCTCTTTTTCTTAAAAACGAATATACCATTTAGGATTTCTAAAAGACAAGTTTGATATGGTAACCAGCTTTAGTACTCTGTATTTTTTTCAGATTCAATTTGATTTGGGTTTTAGTGTGATTTGATTGAACTGATTTAAAATATAAATAATTAATTTATAATAATATATTAAATAAATATTTAAATAGACAAGTATCTAATGAACCCAAGTACAAAATAATAAATTTGAGCAAAAGATGTGTTTGGAGGGAATGGACTAATTTGTGGAATGATGGAACACTGCCATCCAACGAATCATTAAATTGGTGTCCCATTGAAGAAAAAGAAAAAGAGCATTGGTGAGTAGCGTAGATGGATATGATACATATGAAAATTAGCCAAAAATGAAAAATAAAAATAGGAAGGAATAAAAGAGGAGCGTGGGGTGAAGAGGGTGCATACGTGAGGTTAGAGGTAATGGTAGCGTCGGTGATTAATGGCGTCAAATATCGACCACAAATCACAAAAGGAACGTAACAAAGCACACTCTCACCTACCATCACACACACACACACGTCTTCATCACCCTTTCCTTCCTCACCAAACCAAAATATTAATATTAAAATGCCATTTTCTCTTTCACCATTGCCAATTATTACGACACAGTCATTACCACCGTTTGTATGTAGAAACTCGTACTCCTCTTCCATACTAAGATATGTGTTTATATATTATTTTTATTTAATATTAATTAATACCTATATATATATATATAAATTAAAAGTATAGCTAATTTTTTTGTTTTTATAAAAACTATCTTTTAACTTTTTACTATACATCTTATCTATTTTACTCTATTTTTTTTATAGTATAGTATTTATTATTGGTTGCAAATGAGAAAGATAGTGTAATTAAAGATAGAGTTTTGTTAACTTCAATTCTTAAGTCTGAATTTAAATATTTATAAATAAAAAAAATAAAAAAATTATATAATTATTATATTAAAATTATAAAAATATAATAAATAATTTTTTAATAAAATTTTATTATTATTAGTTGCTTATTTCAACTTTAAGAGCTGACATTAATAAAATTTTAAAAAATAATAATATTGATTTAGAGTTATAAGCAGATAGATAAACATAAATATTTTATTCTTTTCAAATGAATAAATAAATAAGAATAAATATATTATTGTCTTGATGTTAAAACTTGATTCGTCAATGCAATTAAAATATATAAGTATTTATAATTAGTATTAGAACACAACTTAAAAACTTAACAGTTGAATTTTTTTAATTATTAAAATTATTTTCCATTTAAAAAATCACTGTAAGGGTATATTAATAACATTTTAATTTTTTATTTATTGGCCAATCCTTGTTAATTAAGATTTTATTTCAATAAATTCAGGGTTACATAAAGATAAGCACATGAATGCGTGCGTGCATGACGGCAGAACTTGAAGAGTAACTCATTTTTTAGAATAACACTTCATGAAATTTCCCAAACTAGAAGTATGCAAAGAAACAAACCAAGAGTTGAAGTTTAAAAACCCAGAAAAGGAAGAACAAAAATTAAACAAAAGAATTTAATTAGGGAATGGTGTCATAATTTATTATCACTTGGGGGTTGATGAGTTCAAAGAAGGCAGGCTTAAAAAAAAAAGAGTTTCCAAAGCGTGGATTATAAAAAGTTCAATTGGTTGGTGCAAAGGTAAGAAACAAACAATGACCAACCCATGGAAGACAAGTCATTGTGCACTTCAAGTTTTGACTCGTGTTTGCTTTAGCAATCAATCTTGAATTGTGAATTGTGGACATACACTTTGAGTTGGTGAGCATTGAGCAGAGGTTCCTTAGGCTTTATTTTGAAGCTTAATCATGCACTAATTCAAGTTTTGCAATAATCAAATCCACTATATGCTTATTTCAGGGGTAGCATTCAACATTTCGCTTTCATGTTGCAAGTTGTGGTGCATGTGGCCCCTGTTTTAGTAATAAACCTGTTTAACTGGGGCAAAATTGTAAATTAGACACAGAAATCAACGTGGGCCAGGCAAGAATAATTATAATGCCCTCTTTAGTTTTTGTCGTCACTAACACTAATGCACTCTGGAAAAGGGTTTGCTGTGAACTTAATAGTATAAGGTTAGGTAGTAAAGACCAAAATACAAATACAATTGACTCCATTAAACTGTTTCATGTTCATTTAACCATCAAATGTTCAATTTCAAAAGAGTATAGTTCATTCCATAAAGTTTATTTATGGAATTTAATATCCTTTTCCGTCTGACATGCAGTATAAAATACAGTAACCATATCCCCAAAATTCCAATGGATTTCGAATCTGTCCTTAATTTTAATGAATCCATAAGAACTATCATAGAATGAAACATCTCAGCCAAAAAAACAAGGTACGAGATGACCCACGATGATAATTCCGTCTGAGCATCATTGCAAGTTTGTTTAATACTTTTACTTTTGCAAAGGGTTTTGTCAGGCTATGGTGTCCAAATACTCTTTTGTCTTTCAAAATAATCCAAGCATGCTGTATGAGTATTTATGAGGATTTATGTGTCAATTTTGGATTTAAATACAGCCTATATGAAGAAGACGGTTGTTAAATATACATAAAAATAATACTTACAGAACAAATGGTCCAATTTGAAAATTCAGAATGATGTTAAACTTGAATAACAAATGAGATTTTGGATTTAGAGGCTTAATAAAAAAGTTTTGTTTTGGGTTTTATTTATACCACAAGTATCATTTATAGAAGTCATTTTTGTTTGAGTTGAAAATATTCATAATATGATAAAATTAGCTCTCTAAACAAAAACTCTAACTCAATTTTCTATTTTTAAAAAATCAAACATATATTAGTTAAATTAAGAGTTAAAGGTTAACAAAACTGTTTTGTTTATACATACTAATTTAACACAATGAAAGGTAAAAAATAGTTCGAAAATAAAAATGTTAAAGGCAATAAATAAAAATAAAGTTGTTAATAACACACTCTTTAATACACTTTTTATGATATATTCTTAATTATTAAATAAATTTTATTATATTTTTATAATTTTCAATAAAATTTAACAAATAATTAATGACGTGTCCAAATGACATGCTTAAAAATTTGAACTTCCAACTCTCTTGAAAAATTGTAAACGAATAAAGAGAGATCACAAACACACGCATGCTTAATTAATGTTAAACAGAAATAATAAATGTCGCAACTTTTAGCTTATATGCAACTTGATTTTCAAAATTTACTCAAAAAGAACAATATACAATAATTGGCTTTGTAATTTCGTAAGTTTTCAGGCACAAGAGATTTAAACGAAAATAACCTACAAGAAGATATTTCTGATACGAGGAATATTAAGTGTTTTAATATTTTAAAAAACTGAATCAATCACAAAGAACATACTGAAGAATGTGTTAAGAAAAATATGCTATTAGTATTTCTTTTTTTCAAATAAAATTTAACAAAATCCAAAGAATCATAAATATTTGAAAATATCACATCGTTCAAACAAACATACATATGAAGTTGTAATCCCTTAAGCATATTTCTTATTGAAAAACTTGAGAAATTTTGGGAGACAGCGAAAGAGCCACAGCAACATTAAGGAAATGAAAATGACAGAAGAAATGAAAAGAAAATGACAAGCTTTGATGAAACACTCTACTGAGAATGGAATCACTAGATAAGATGCCAACCCAAATACTCCAAATTCTCTCTCAAATGCACGTTTTTCATGTATTCCATTTCAATTTAGGCGTACACACTACAAAAGGCATTAAATTAACTTCCATAGATGTTTAACAGACTCTACCACAGTATCCTCTTAATTCTAACTAAATTAAATAATCAAACAAACAAAAGTAAAAGAACACCAATCAAAATTCATGGTGTGAGAAAATATAATTAAAATAATGTTTTTTTATCTTTTATTCACAAAATTCAGAATGGATATGACAGATTATACATAATAATTTGGTTTGGTGTGAGAGAAAGTAAAAAAGAAAGAAGGCGTTGCTAATCTCCCCGAGAAGAAGGGGTCCACGGTGTCATGTCCATAGGGTAACTCCCTAACACTCGCAAGAAAGAGGTGAACTCCTGCACTTCCGCCAACGCGTTCTGAGCCCTAACCTCAGCCATGGAAGCCTCAAAATCAACGTAGAACAAATACTCAAAGTGCTTCGCAGTTCCCACGTTTGCATCATCAACAAGCCGAATCGGACGGTTCCTATGCGGCCTCGATTCAATCTTGGTCAAGCTAATGTTCCGAAACGCAAACGCGGAAAGCACTTTGAAAAGGACCGAAGTACCCTTATCGTGAGCGAAAACAATGCTCGTTTTGAAAGGTCGATCCGTGCGTGGAATGATGGGTTCTCGGGCCAACATAACGAATCGGGTCACGTTACTCGGGTCGTCTTGTATTCCATCAGCCATCACTTGCAAACCGTAGAGCTCCGCCGCGCGTGCGCTAGCGATCGCCGCCGTGTCTCGGAGCCCGTTCGTGGCCACGAACTCGGCGGCGCCCGCGGTGTCGTCGACGGCTTCGCGCGCGACGTTGATGCCGAGCTTCGTGAGCGTGTGTTCGCACTGAGCGAGTGCTTGAGGATGCGAAATGACGCGAGTGAGAAACTCCTTTCGGACTCCAGGGAGAGCGAGGAGGCAGTGGTGGACGGGGAGTTGGACCTCGCCGACGATGTGGAGGCGGTGGCGGAGGAGGAGGTCGTAGTTCCGGTGAATCGAGCCGCCGAGGGAGTTTTCTACCGGAAGAACGGCTCGATCGGCGATCCAGAGCTCCACCGCTTGGAACGCCACCTCGAATTGGTCACACGGAATGGCTTCGCAGTTCGGATAGGCTTTGCCAGCGGCGGCTTCCGAGTACGCGCCGGGGACGCCTTGGTACGCCACGCGGAGCTTCGAGCCGTGCATCGGAGCCGGCGACAGGTCCGAGATGGTTAGCGGCTTCGGCGGAATCGGCTTGTTGTTCTCTCCTTCGCCGAGGTTTCCGATGGGAACGAGCTTGAGGTCGCTTACAGCGGTTTTGTGGCCGTTGACGGCGGCGACGTGGTCGGCAGTGCCATCGTTCTTGTCTGTAGATGATTTTTCCTGAGAAACAACCTTGCTGGCTAAGATGGCGCATGAGCTCTGCCAATCGGCTCGGCTCGAGCCGACCCCGTAGCCCGAAGATTCGAACCCGGAAGCGCATTTGACGGAAACTCGAGCCGGCCCAAGGCGATTTGGGGAAAGGCGCGGGCGAAGAACATGCTTTAGATTGAGTGCGTTGGAAGCGGGCGGCGAAAGAGTCTGCATATCGATGAGGGACTTAAGAGAAAAAAAAAAAAAAAAGAAACTAAAATCCTCCAAGAGTTGAATTGAAATGGGGAATTAGGAAGCGTTAGAGTATTAGTGAATTAGGTTAAGCTTGTTGTTCTCTTTAGAGAAAGAACCTCAAGCTGAGAAAAATGGTGGTGGTTTAGGGGTTTTTATATTAATGGGAGTTGGCAGGCTTAGGAAATGGGTAGTGAAGCTGCGTAACAAAGTCTTTCAGAGAATGCCTATTTGAGGTCGTTCGGTCAATCTCACACCTACCCTCTTCTCCTCTCTATCCACACTCTTACAATCATCTTTTTTTTTTTTTTTTACTATTCTACGCTTCCTCTTTTGTCATTTTCTTTTCCCATACGTGCGGGTCCACTTTAACCTGTATACCATTGTCATTTTTCCATTCTAAATACTATGAACATCATAGGGTCTGTTTGTTTTTTTAAAATTTATAACGCACGTGTTAGATCTAGGCATGTTAAGGTACGGATCTATTAGACCAAAGTCTGTAAAAGAGTGCCATAAAAAATAATCATACAATCAGCAGGTGAAATCACAAGTAGGTGTAACTGTTTCAATCAAATAACTTGCTTATTCTGAGCTTGGATTTGCGATGAAAAGCTTGACAAAACTTGGTAGGTTTCTGGGAAATGTAAATGCAAACGTAATTTTAGAACTCAGTTTTGAACTTTACAAGAGACAACAGATGTTTATTTTCTTGGTAATTAAATTAGTTCTAAGAAGTAATTAATTTGTTTTTTTATAAGGAATGCAAAAGTAAAGAAAAAACGATGTTAAGTAACTATGTATCTAAACATATTTTAGGTAAAGATGGGAAGTAGAGACTTGGATTTACAGAACACTGAGGAAGCAAATCTTACTTGTGGTTAATTTTGGACGGTAACTTGATAGAAGTATAAAATTTATTAAATTAAAAATTAGGAGATTAAAATTGAATAAGTAAATTAAGAGATTAAAAATAATTAAAACTTATTTAATATATTATATAATTTTAAATCTGTTTAATTTTATCTATTTTGTACGCACGTGGGATCGTGGAGTATTTTTTCCATGTCTATATACATCAATTATAAAATTTAAGTATTATTATGTGAGATTGTAAAATGATTAAAATGGAGATATTTGATTTTTTTAAAATATAAAAAGTAATCTATTTATGAAAATAAACATTTTAACATAATAATAATAACAAATATATTAAAATTGTAACTAATTGCAACTTCTTTAGATTAAATTATATATATATAATTTGAAATATATATATATATATATATATGCTAAAATATGATTTTTTTTTAAAGATTATAAAAATATGATATTAAAAAATTACTATAAAAATTCAAAATTCATCAATAACCATTTAAAAAATAACAATAAATTATCAGTAATAATTTGTAAAAAATAATTAAAATTTTTTAAAACACCAAAAAAATGCTACTAAATTTTTTTAAAAAGTTTCCATATTTTATAATATTACATTTTAGTAATTTTTATTTTTCATATAAAAAAGAAAGACCCCAGCTTCTTTTCCGGGTTGGGTTTATAAAAATTTCCATAAATTTACGAAATTTGAATTGTAATAAGATATTATAAGGTCGTATTGTCATTTGTCTGTATAAAGAGTGAGTCATAGTCAAGTCAAGGGGGCACTGACACCATTGCCGGACATTAATATATAATTATCACTAATAATTCACAGTCTTACATTCTTTTCCTTTTATTTCTGTACAGATACTGTAATTGTTTGAAATTTTAACTCCCTTAAAATACATTTATTCATATAAGTAATTAAAAGATGTATTTATCTCATTTAAACTAATTATTAAAATTTGAATTATTAATTTTTTAAAAAAAGCATCTCTTATATATATACAAATTATAATCAAAAGAAAAAAACTATTTGCAATATAGGTTTCCAACAAATATGATCAAACACAATAAAGTTTTCATCATATTTATTTATAAAAATTAAATACTTAAACAATTAAAATTATGAATTTATATTTTATTTTAAAAAAATTATAATATTAAATTAATAAGGATATCTATTTTTATGCTTGAATTATGGCTGACAAGTAACTAGTGATTACAAGGGACACACGTGAGCTTTTAGTATTGGCCAGACAAAGATGGTGCTTTCGGTTTCAGTGAGGACCATTTGAATTTTCAATAACAAATTGGAAAACTTTGTGACTAAAACGATTATTGATGAATTATAGCTTTAAATATGAAATAACTATATTACGATAATTGTTGATTGCTTTGATTTACATAAATTAGGCAGAGATATCATATCACTCATAAATAGACAATATTGTAAAAAAAATTAAGATTAAAATTAAATAAACACAAAATATAAGTCGGTGATCATTTGAGCACATTTTTCACACATTGTTGTGGGCTATTCGTCATCTAGTTTTCTGCTTGATACGTTGCTTTCACAATTTTTTCCTTTTTTGAAAAATAATTAGCGTATAAAGTTTATGAATATAACTTTTTACAAGTATTTTCATTCTGAAAAATAGGAAAAAGATAAATCCAAATATTTAAATATTTTCTATTTATTATTATCATCATTATTAAGTAAAAGTTTGCCTTTTAAATTTGTTTAGAAGGTATTAGTATGAAAAAGAATGTCATGCGTATTTTAGTTTTGAGTAAATTATATTTATGGCTTTCTAAAAATTTAACGAAAGTGTATTTGATATATTTTTTAAACGTTATTTTGAATTTTTTATTAATATAATCCTATATTTAGAATCATTGGTATAATAAAAAAATGTAGTGTTATATTATTATAAAAAATGTTAAATAAAATTTTATTAAATTTAAAAGAAGTGTGCGTGTAGTTTATTTATCTATTTAGGTAAGTTGGGAAAGATGGAAACAAGGCGAGCCTTTTTGCATATTTAACATTTTTTTTTCATTTAGTATTAAGCTACTAAGCTACGTGTTTGATGAAAATACAAGAAATGCTACAAGATGCTCAACCTTTTTGATTGGTCAATTATAAGATTTTTATTTATCTATTATTTTTTTTGTTCTAAAATTCAAGTGTTTATTGGGAATCTATGGTTTAGTATGTGTAAGTTTAGGTTAGATTTCTTAACCAATTAGATTAGATTATTGTTTAAAAAATTAATTAAAAAAATTAGGTTTCAAATTATTTAGAAAATTTAACAGATTAATTTGTTTAAATAAGAATAATATAATAGTTTGATATTACATAATTATTTTATTTTAAAATTGAAGTTTATTGATTCATATATAAATTTAAGCTCATTAACTTATTTTAAGATGGTTTTTTATATAATTAAAAAAATTATTTTAAAATAAATTTTTTAAATAACTCAGCAGTTCCTTGCTTCACTTTCAGTCCTTGGGTATTGCTCCTATATATTAGACACCCACGTTTTAATTTATTTATTTGGAAATTTCAATTGTTTTAAATAAGCTAGGTGCACAAGTTCAACTATTATATATATATATATATATATATATATATATATATATATAATTTTTTTTAATTATTGAAATAAGTTTAATTGATAACATTTTCCTTCATAATTCAGAAGAATCGAAAAAGGGGGGGGGGGGGGGGAGGGTTATGTGCTGTTGAACTACTACTGATTGAATTTCAGATTGTAAAATCACGATTGAATTTGTAGCTCATTCATCAATTTCACATATGTGATGTGCTTATGTTGTAGATTAATTATTGTCTGGGTAATTATTGTAAGTTTGATCTCACTTGCAAAGGGCAATGTTATATCATAATGCATGCCCCATTTTCAGATATGTGATAATGAATTAAATAATTAAACTTTTAAATATATTGATTAAGATTTAGTTTTTAATCGCGTTTTTATTTTTTCTTTGTAGAAAAATGTAAAAATTTATTTTCATAGTTTTACACCTTAAAGGAATATATAGTCCTCAACCTTAGATTAAAAATATCCTTTATGCATACCAAAATATTGTAATAATCAATTATTATGTGAGATTAATCTGTTTGTTTTTCTTGGTTTAATTGTGAGACTTTTGCATTAAAAGAGTTCATTAAAATAGAGAAATATGAAAATAAAATATTTACTAATGTGCATGTGTGAAACACTAGCTATTTAGTAAATATGTGAAATTATAAATATGAAACCTCAATTCATATAAATTTGATTTAATAATTTTCTTACCACTCTAATCACTTGGTATAAAAATGGCAGACAGGGTAATTATAACAAAGTAATGCCATAATTACAACAATGACCATTGACCAAGCCCAGAAGTTTTGTGGCTTAGGTGTTATTATATAATTTGTCGCACAGGGAGTATAACGTCTCTTTAATACATTTTGTTTTCTTGATTGAAGCTAATTTATTGTGAAATACTAAAATTATCAGTGAGACTTATTTAATAGTCTTGAGTTTTAATAAATTTAAATTCATGTTTAAAAGAGTATATATTAATTAGAAAATATATTATTAATATATTTTTTTTATTTCCATACATTTTTCTCCCACCATATGCTTCAAAATTATTTGAATTTACAGAAGTTGCACTGTAAGGTAACATTTAATGGTTTTGTGTTTTGCCCTTTCGGCTTAGTTAAACAATAAGAAGATACATTTAGAGCAGAGTACATGATAGATACATAAGAAAAGTAATTCATATATCCTCTACAATTTTACATGAGTATAATTTTTTAAGCATTACAATAACAAATTAAACTACTTACGAAATGATTATGATTAATTAATTTCATTTATTCATTTTAAATGGTCAACTAGAGCACAAAACAGTGCAGAAAGTAGGTAAGAATCATCAAAACCACAATTTCTCTTTGCCTTAGCTAAGTGCGTCACAACTCACAAATTACATCCATGTATTTGTGTAGTTGTCCCTCCAAGTGGCAACCGTCAAAGTATACAGATGTAGCTTAATTAGTTGAAGCATATTAATTTTCAATCCCTCAAGTAACCATTAAGATGTTGCATAAGTAAACTTAAGCAAATCCTTCCCTCATGTATAGAATATTAGTTTTTTTTATGAAGTGTACAGAATATTGTTATTTTTTATATATAAGATTTCTATCAATTTTCTTACTATTTTATTAAAAACTAAATTAAAAAGACATAACAAATAAGATAATTTATAAAAAAATATTATAGAAAATTTTAAAATTAATCTTTGTATACATAATGACTTACATGAATTGGTAACTTTCAAAATCTATTTTTCTCATCTGAAGCACCTTAAACTAGTAAGTTGGAGATTTTTTTGTGGGTGCGTGTAGAAAGGAATAACAAAGTAAATATAAGTCATCGGCTTATCTTCAATTTCATGACCCAAAATCACACACACATGTAAAATATAAAGTAAACTTCGCAAAGTAGTTCAATGTGATTAAGATTAGATTTTGTTTGATTGTTATGTATCTAATTTTTTAACTATAAATTTTATATTAAAATATGTAATCATAAGGGAAATTATTTATGAAAGTTTCTGAACCAAAGACAAAAACATAAAAAAATAACGTTGTAGCAGCAAATATAGACGTGCTCCTAAACTTACTTGATTGACATTTGTCAACTACTACCATGGGTATACCACATGCATAACGTGCGAATTTCGATTTTCAACTCCTATTTTTTGGCCAAACCAAAACTAGTAGTCATAGAGTAGTTACTCGTTTTCTTTTTTGACTTTTTCTTTTTCTAAGGAGGATAATTGACCTTCTCTATTTTAATTGAAAAAGTCGCATACAATAAGGAATCAAGAAGTCAGATATGTATATATATTACAAAATAGCACTTCCTCTCTGCAAGGTATTTATTTATATCTTGAAATTTGCATGTGGATATGTCTAACCAAAAAAATATTTTATAACGTATATCATACTTATATCATGATACAAATCAAGGATTTTAATGTTAAACGTGAGCATGCACATGCGTGGCTGTCTCAAAGCAACTGCGCGCAGTCGCTACTGTTGACCACCGTTTTTTTTTCTCGTCTGCATCATGAAATTCATAGCTTGTGATAATACAAGTTTTCTTTTCTGGAATCTTGATTATGCAGTTGTTTAGTACGAATTTATTAAATAATGTTGTAATTGATTATTAATTAGGAGATGTTGGTGTAACTCCAAAAAAATTTCGAAGTATTGGAAGAAGCTTTGAGAGAGAATGAGGAAGTAGCGGAAATGTGTAAGGATCAATAATTGAAGGGTCCTATTTCATAATAATATAATAGTAAAAAGCAATTAAAGGAGTATTTGAGAAACAGCGTTTGTATTGATCAAGATTAAGTACTGAAGAAAGGTCTCAAACGTGTTATTAAAGGAGAGTACTTGAGAAAGCAAAAAAAAAAAAAAAAAAGAGACCAAAAACACCAGAAGAAAGAGAGACAAAAGACTGCGATGTTTGGAACAAACTTGACTAGAGTCATGAAGTTTAAATAAAAGTTCATATGAAACCTTTATAATGAGTTTCATGGTCGATCAATATTAACGTCTAAGATATGTGAAATTATTAGGCCAATCTAAACTGATCTTCATCTGAACTCTCGATTAAATGTTTCATTAACATATCTTGCTTATATTTCCATGGATAATTGAACCAAAAAGACGTATCCACTCTTCGATATAGTAGGTTTAGGATATTTTACAGAACTCCTATGGGTTTTTTTATCGTATCATATTGCAAAGTAAACATTTTTCCACACCAATTGAGATTGAAAGGAGGAATTGTGAATTGCAAACTGGGTTAATCTATTAATTCAATAACGTTAAACAGCAAAAGTTACCCTAAAATGACCCTACCGATTCATAAACCACGGTCAAAAATAAATTTCAAAAATTGGATAATCGTTTTACCATAAGACTCCATAGCCTACACAAATTTATATGGGAAATTTGATAACTGAATCACTTGGAGTGTGCATTTTTCACAAACGGAACCTAATGTCATAGAGCCTACGCAAGAGTTAATAATATAACCATTTAAAAATACACTTCTTACATCAGTTTGCTGCATTGGTCGGTGTTATGTGAATCTTCTCCTATTATTTACTAGGTAGACGTTAATGCTTCCGCGTAGTGTATACGTCATCCGTTTGAGGATCGTATCTTACATAAATAGTGGTAATAATAATATTACCCACACGACTTTTGTATACGTTCTTAAGTTCAATCTATCGATTGAAATCTTTCAAAGAAGAGTCCTATGTGTTTGATAGGTATCAAATTTTTATGTCAAACTGCAGATACCTCAAATGATAATAAAACAACTTAAATTTCGTTATAGCGTAATATCTGTATTCTTATTATGTCTAACTGTATATATCAATTACAATACTTTGTAGGTATCAATCCATTATGACTTCCAGATATGTGCATGAAAAACCAAATGGATATAAAATCAGTGAAGTGACTTACCGCAATCATTTTACCTATTTTTTTTACAAAGGCGAAGTTGAAGTCATTTTCAGGCACTTAGTACGAAGACGACGTGTGCTTAGCCTTCAAAGAACTAAGAAGTGTCAAAATTACTTACTTCTTGAATGTTATCGGTGCTTTACATAACGAAGAGGTTTCAGATGGTTGTCATGCCTCGGGAACTTGGATAATTGGTTTTACATATTTCACTTGGAGCTTGCTCTTTCGTTTAAGTAGAGCTTTGGAGCTTGCTAAGGAAATAGGAAATAGGAGGAATTTCAAGGAATCAAGGGAAATAAAAGGTTGTTTACAATAATTCCAAGATTTCATTAATTACAAGTAATACACTAAATTAGTTTTTAAAATTAAGAGCAATGGTCAATTTAAATTTTTAAGATACAAAATTTCATTTTAATCCTTAAAATTATCTAATAATGATCATTTTAGTTCTCAAAATTACAAAACAAGAGCTAAAATGAAAAAGTTATGTATTTTTACAAAACAACTTAAATGATTATTTAATATATTCTTATCTCACGAACTTAAATAATAAAATTTAAACATCTTACAAAAGTCAAATTATTTTAATAAAATTGAATAAGTTAAATATAATCTCTTTCAAATCCTCCCTAGATCAACCAGTACTCATAATTTTAATAACAAATTTAGTATATTTCTCATTTCGTTGAACATAAGTACAACTATGAGATCCACAACATTGATAAATTAGAGTTTTTTTATTATCTTCAGCAGTTTTGATAATCAACAGAAGTATCAAAACAAAATCTAGAATCCACGCATATCGGCAACTATAATACAACAGCTACGTGCCAAAGCTAGTAGGTGGAACGAACAAATAAACAAAAAACTTTCCAGTCCCGATTGCGAAGGAATAATAATGTATTCATATATATACATAACCAGGATGATTTGTCAAAGCTTGCCTTAAAGCAAGGAAAAAAACTCCACCTGGAGATTTTGAATGAATCAAAACTAGATACAAGGTTAATCTAATAAATTATAACACAAATAGACCCCTTGCGAAACTTCAATGTACACAAATAAACGATGTAACATGATCAACTATACTATCCATCATTCAGCCCAACAAAATGTGAATCTAGACACGGGGTGGTATCTTGTGCAGTTGACAACATTCACATTCGATAGACTAAAGAAGGTCCAGCCAACAAAACCCATGTCATTCACAGGCCAACCCATTTCACCCATCTGAAAATCCGACCAACTCTCAAGGGCAACTCATAGTCATTAGCAACAGCAGGCTCCCTTCTAGCAACCTCAGGTTCGGACCAAACATATACCCCACGTTCCTGCTTACTGCCAGGCACGGTATTATCCAAGATAACAGCAACAAGAAAAGCTACCACCATGTGTAGTGAAAAGATTGTGTTCAGGACATAGTTCAACTGAAAAAGGAACAGATTCACAAGTACAAAAAATTTTCGTCAAAATGGAACCAGAGTGTAGTATTTTTCAATCAATATTCAAGTGCTAAAAATGACAAGCGAACTATGAGTTAAGATGGTTCTCCAATTACCCGGATATTTTTTAGCTAGTTCACTGACTGCATCATGAATTTATTACACAGTAGTTAATCACAGTTGCTATGTTGCAGTTACAAGTTAGCAACCACGAAACAACATGCAGTATTCTGTTAAAAAAAATGCAGCGAACACAAGCAGAGATCTTAATGGAAACACGGGACTGGAGTAAGGAGCAGTAGACAATTTGATCTTAAAACTTAGCATGCAACCAAACTACCTATGTCACCATTGAATATGCTGATAGTTCCATTTATTTACAAAATAGTGGAGATAGTTCCATTCTATATTTTTTGAAACTTACTCTTAAGTCCTAAAGTAACTACAGTTTTGCTATTGAGCACAAAAGCATTTTGTGAAATTTAATGAAATAAAAAGCTACCAAACATGTAGATTCTGTAAATTCAGTTTGGTAGGTATAATATTATCCCATCAACAGCTCTCATCCGTTTGTAAAAATTTTCACATGTGAATATTTGTACCATTAATTCCATAAAACAAATTCATCCACAGAAACTGACACCATCAAAATCAAGCATAAGATTCACAATAATAAAAGATGACACAAGGCGTACCCCTCCATATTTGCTGCGGAAAGGTCCATGAGAAGCCACGATGTAAGGTTGAAAATAACTTGGCACTGACAAGTTGGAATTTGGAGAGATGCCATATTGTTGAAAGTAGGCAGGTATGGAAAGAGAGAAAAACAATGATAACCCAATTATGATGATATTGCGAGAGCTTCCAGCCTCACTATAGCGTAGATTTGACAAGCCTAATGCTGTAAGCATAGCCCACATAAAGCAGAGGAGACCAGCAACCATGACTTGGGGAATTGAAGCAATGAAGCCTCCAACCTTACCTGTTATATGGTATAAGTAAAATTAAAAATGTCATATTTGTGATAAAATTTTCTACAGTTCAGTACAAATTGCAATAGAGATGGGGGAAAGCTACTACAAAGCACATTCCCCACCTAAGTAAAATCTGATGAGTATAAATTGCTGTAACAATTAAAGTTAACCATTATGATTACAAGAATTAATTTGGATGCCACAGATCAGATTGTGACAAGAATTTGGGCTACTGCTTTCATTCTTCCAAAAAACCCATTCCACAGATGTTTACAAGCATCGTATAATTTGCTAATTGTTCTAAAAGAGTAAAACCAGGGTATATTATACAAACATTTTCATCTTGAAAGGCTCATAATAAATCTGCTTCTGTTCAATGACCATTCATCACAAGATAGACTAAAGGTAGATGCAAGAGCAAAAAGAAAATAGACACTAACCCACAAGAGACAGCACTATCAGAATGCATGCACCCAATTGAACTGCTCTGCGACTTCCCATTTTAGTGACGGCAATTGTGTGAACATTTTCAGTTAAAGTTGTAGACCCTGTTCCAGTTCCCCATAGACCAGCCAAGACACTACATATACCTTCCAAACCAATTCCTCGACTCAAAACTCCTGGAGTTGGAGGTCTTGATGCTACCAATAGCGAAGATGCATGATATGAGCCAACCTAGAAAAATTTAAAATTAAAAGCTAATGAATATCACCAACACATACAGTGATTATATAATCCTGAATAACGAAAAAAAAAAATCAAGAAAATGTGTTCAATTTTGATATAGCATATTGTTAATCTCAGATCAGCGCATACTACATGCTGTTCATTAACTTATCTAGAGAATGTCTTCAAAATAAACAAAATCACATTGGCTTTTTGCAGTGCTGAAATTTTATTTTCGTGATTACACAATCAGTATCACCAATGCCTTAATTTCCTAAGATTAGGTAGAACCCAGACTACATTGCTCTTATAACCGTATCTACTTGCAATGAAAACGAAAAATAAAATAAAATTGATCAGGTGAAAACAAGAAGACAAGACAGCAACCGTTATTTTCAACTTAGAATCTGATAAACTTTTGCTTAACTCCGGTCTCTTCACTATTTAGTTTTCACCCATTGACTCTGTAGAAATCATAGGGTACTAGGTCTAAAGACAGGAAGAGGAGATAAAAGAGATTGAATACGCTAAAATTGATTGTGACTTTATGTAGTGAGATACTGAGATGTATTACAATGCCATAAATAGTATAAAGCACTAACAGACTAACCCTCATTTATACTATTACCGAATCATAATCCAAATTAAATAAGAAACCAAATCAAGACGAAATATGAAACTAAGAAAACTAATCATAACAGATAATCTAGGATACTGTAAATCAAAGGTTGCAGTTAAAATGAAGAGACAACAGTAATTAAGTGAATATCATATCCAAGTTTCTTACTTCAGCATACAAGCCATCGTATAGTAAACATAAACAATTTTGTTAGGTACAAATCATAATTTCCATTAAATCTTGTAACATTCGTAGGAAAGAGAACAGCTTTTCACATAATATTGCTAGCATATTATAAAGATGGCAAGAGGCCCAGTAGATGACCACCTTTTTGGACTGAACACAATCAAGTCAAATTATCAACATATTCAAAGTCAAGATAAATAAGTGCGGTCCAGGAAACAAAATAGGAAAAAAATAAGGACAAGAAGCTAACCGAATCCACAGATGAGATTAAGGAAACCACGCACATCACAAGAGCCATTTTCCAGTGAAAGACTGGAGTACCCCATTGTAGTGGATAAGGAAATCTAAACCATGGGGATGATTTCAATGCATGAGAAGTATCAACTCGACAATGCTTCATCCTTGAGACATGCTTCCTGCAGTGTTCTGAAACCATATTTGAGGCAGGTATGTTTATATCACACCCTTTGTAGTTGTAGGCTCCAGCTTCAGTCAACAAGAAAGCAATTGCCCATGTAATTGCCAGACCCAAAGGAACCTGGCAGTTGGGTGAAAGAAAATAACATCACTTAACAAAAATCATTTCTGTACAATAATCAAAAGTAAGAAAGGAATTGTAACATTAAACTTACTGCGTATATTAGAAATATGCGGTGCCCAAGAACAGATATCTTACGAAGATACTGCAGAAAGCAAGAAAGAAAGGAATAAGTAGTTTAGCATGGTACAATAATCATTGCCAAAAACAGTGGGAATTTGAATTCAAAAAACTTACAAGAGAAAAAACAATAACCACTAATATCTGTACTGCACCGATCTCAAGACAAGTACCAACTAGCGGAAAACCATAACTGTAAAATGAAAGTCCAACTGCAGCAATAGTTGGGGATACAACCACAGGATTGATCAACCTGAAAATTCAGATAGAAACATAACATTTTTATTTCATACAACGTAAACATTGTATTCACTATTCAATAAATCATGGGGAAAGGCAAGAGGCATATGCATAGGAGATGCATTCAAATGCAGTCCGAATACTAGATGGAAGAGAAGGAGGACCACTAACTGTATTTGAGAGAATCTGTAATGTGGGTGTGAATAGAAAGCACTCAAAAGGGGGGCCGAACACCATCCCCTTTCTTCTACATGCTGCCAACCCCCCCCAAAGAACCTCCCACATATATCTGGCTTTATTTGTAAATAATTTTGCACATTTTTTCAATATAACCCATATAAATCCTCATTATAGACAATGATTCATCAACAGTTGTTTACATCATTACACAGACAAAACAGAATGAAAGCACCACAAAAAGCTCTGCACTGTCCAAAAATAAACCAGGAGAAACTATACACAAAACAGGAGGGAAGGAACCATGAAATGGAAAGTGTAGACACGCCATGTTTAACCATTTACAACATAACACATTTTCATATATAAACGCTCTCAGCTTCTTAAAATTGAATTCCTAGATGGAAATAGAAAGCTATCCAGCTATCCATACCTAAAACAACCAATTATTATGGGTATTAATTATTAGAAATCAACATTTATTAATAATTAAAGATTTCAAACTTCAGCAGTTAGCAAAACGTTATACATTGCCTCACTCCACCAAAATAAATGCTGTCTGATGAAACAATAAGTATATATTAATAAAAAGACAAATAAACAGGCAGCAGAGAAAATCCCACAATCATACCTTACTAACAGCGACATAAGTCCGGTGTAACCAAGGAAGGTTTGAAAAGCTGATCCAATAATTATAGCCCCCTGCAGCTCCTTCATTATATGTTTGAATTTCTGAAAATTTATCAGCAGGTCTAGTTTCATTACAAAAGCACATGACACCACACAAACAACTAACAACCAAACCATTACACGACCGAAAACTTTGGTTAATTGGAATCATGACACAGACAACAACTAACATCATCTGAAACATAAAGAAATGAGAAGAAATACACACATTTCCATTCAGTCCTTGAAACTCAGGGGAATTGATGATCGCCAAAGCCGGAGCCAGATAAACAAAAGAAGGCCCTTGTATCAAGGGCAACCTGGACCCAAAACTAGTATGCAAGAGTGTAGTCACTCCCGAAACAAAGAGCACAGTTGATACCACCGCAGAAGTATCCTCCTACACCAACTAACACATCAGATAACAATACCCCACATAATAAATTTGCTTTAAACAAAACAAAAAACGCAATTAGTTGATGAAAACTTGAAAATCACTCACATAAGAACCACCCATCGCAGGAACTATGACAAGCGGAATCAGAATCAACGACCCCAATATCGAAACATAATGCTGAATACCGTATACACCAATGGGAACTAAAGTATCAATAAACAAAAAACATTAGAATATATCAAAAATTTCAACCTCAAAAAACCATAACTGTATAATCACATATCTTAATCTTACCCAAACCAGGCGAATCTCTGAGCTCATACTTCATATGCGAATGCCTTGACACGAACCCATCGTCATCCCCACTCTGTGGCAAAGCATCCACAACTTCCTCATGCCTCGCCGTTCTGCGCGGCGGCTGCTCCGCCGTCGCCGGCGTTGCTTGGCCATTGGTACTTGGAACCGAACTCTTCGGAACTCCATCGGAGTCCTTGCGCTTCTTCGCTACCTGATCCTTAGCAGGTGGAAGTGGCGGAACCTTCTCACGGTGGGCCACGCCGTTCACCGGTGCCCGAACCCGACCCGCTTCGAGATCCAAGTTAGTGTCGGGCTCTCTGGGCTTGGGCTGCAAGCTTATCTGGCCCGAATCGTTGGCATTGGCCTCGCCAGAGAACTTGGGCTTGAAGCCGGTTTTCTTGGCCCAGGAAGCTGGCGGCAATGCCTTGGCGTCCGGTGACGGCGCCGGCGGCCACGGTCCCGGACGTTGTCGGGTTTTGGGATCGGAATCGGACATAGCTAATGACGCATAGTTCGAATGCTGGAAGTTGTAGATCTGATAAATGCAGTGCAGACACGAAGTTTTAGGGTTTTGTTTTGTTCTCCGGAGAGAGAGTAAGTTCCGGCATGTAAGAGAGAGAAAGAGAGTGATGAAAAATGTGTAGTGAGAAGAGAAACGGCAAAGACAGAGAATAAAACACAATTGGCGTGACGAGTGAGTGAGTGAAGAAGCTCAGACCAGACCGCGTTATTAAATTTATTTTTTATTTTTTTTTTTATTTTTTATTTTTTGTTGATTTACTTTGGTAGTTTTGTTTCCCCTTTTCTTTCTGTTTTTGTCTTTCTTCTTTCCCTCCCTTCTCTTCTTCACTCCCGAAATAATCGGTGCCATGCTGATGTCACTTCAAAGCATTTGGATTGTGCAAACAAATTTAATGGCAACAAAACAAAATACCAAGATTTTGTAATACACTGTTTCACCAAAGTGACATAATGGTATAAGGATGTTTAAATTTGGTTTTCAATGTGTTTTTTTTTTTTTTTTTTTAATGACCCTTTCCTTTTTGTTTTGAAATTATCATAAATGATGTTGTACGTGTCAAGTATTTATCGAGCATCAAATATCCTAATTAAATTCCTTTACCTTTATGTATTGTAAAATTTATGATCCATTTTTTCTTTTTTTAGACTCATAACGTGCGTGATCTTAAACACCTCCCTAATGTTACTACAAAATATTTTATTAAGAAAGTGTAAAAGATATTTTTATTACAAAGACTTCTGCATTCTACGTATTGTATAATGCGACTTCATATACTGTATAAGGTTAATATACCTCATTCTTTTTCTTTTTTTGATCAGCTAATAAAATCTTGTTGTTTTCCCTCGAAGACTAAATCATTAAACAATTTCCACAAATTCAAATAGATTAAATAACGGCCATCCATATCAACATATAAACCCTCTAATTTTTTAGTTTTCACTCAACCCAACTGTTATGCATGATGAGTTCTTCAGTCTAAAACAAGGCACATAGCTAGCAAGAGTATATTAAACCAAATTTGGACTAAAATTCTTCAGGACAAAAGCATATGTGAAAAGGATTCGATCGATTCATGAAGATTAATTTTACATGCAATGTAAATATTTTCCTAAACATAAAGAAAATTTAAAATAATTATATAGTTTTTCAATATTTCATTTTCGAACAATAACTTCGTGTTAGACATAGATATTAGATAGCTGGTCACTTTCCCTCTTCAATATTCACACATACATGATTACATGACATATTCTTCGACAATTGAATTGCCAACTAATTCAACTAAAATTTTATATATATATATATATATATATATGACGGTGTTTAGAAAGAAAGACATGTATCTTCCTGTATCATTCGCTTCTCCCACTCTCTAATCATTTTCAAAGTTTACTGTATATAATAGTTGAACTGTCGTTTGCACAATGTCATTTTAACTAAATTGTTACATGCTTGGTTAAATTAAATTACTTTTTAAAATATATTAAAATGAGAGGTCTACAGAGCGAGAGAAGAAGAAGATAGAATGATAACAAATCTGTAAAAGAAAAAAAAATCAAGCCTATAACTTATTTACGCTCTTTAGATTTGAAAATACATTGAGAGAATAAGCCATTATGAAAAGATAGCTAGCTTGGAAGACTTTATATAAGTATTCAATGGAAACTTCACGAAAGTATTGAAAGTGCGACCTAGTTTTCTGTTCTATAAAGCCAACAAAACACAAAAAGTTTGCTTGAAAGCTTAAACAGTTTAAACATGGGAAAACGCTGAACTTTGGATGCCTTGAAAACGATACTCACCCTGATATTACGAGTGTTTAATTTATGTAACGTCTTTGCTTTTTGATCTCACGATAATAGCTTTAAGCTTTGCACATTTAATTTTTGGAAATGTTTCTTTCACACTTATGAAAGGACGAGAAAGATTAAAAGAGAGTGAGATTGAGAAAAAGAGTATGAAGCGTGATAGATGATATGATAAAAAAAAATAAAAAATCAACAAATGAATATAAAAATATAATAATTATTTAATTTTAACTGCAATAAACAAAATGTTACGTCCTCTTAAAGCTTATATTACCTTTTATTCTCACTTTTAATTTTAAGCATTGACAAAGTGCATAATTGAAATATTTATACTCCATAGCTGCAATAAACAAGATTTACTAACGCATGCGGGAAGTGAATTCCATAACGTGTGAGATGAGATATATTTAATTTGTGTTATGGAAAATGATGTGGCTATGCCTATGAGTTTAACATTTTTTCTTTTAATTTTATTATCATAGACACAGCGACAAACAATACAGAAAACATAGTTTCTTGAACGTTTAATGGGGTTTAAGGTAAACGAAGGGAGTGCAGTGGGACCCAAATTATTGGTGGTTTAATTTCTTGGTTGAATTATGGATGAGGACTGAGGTGGCTTGAAACAAAATGCAAACTCGGAAAAAGACTCGTAGCCAATTCCACCAGCTTCCATTCAAGTATTTTCTAGGCAACGTGCATGATGAAAAAATGCTCCTTGTGTGCCCCATCAAAATTATAATTAAATGATGACTTCGTAACGAAATATGTTATTAAATTTGTCTATTCAATTCACTTCCCTTCCTTGGAATAGGATTGCTAAAATAACTTTCTTCTACTTAAAATTTCACCCGGAAGTAAGACTTTTAAGAGGACTCGACAAATAAAGTTAAAGGCAAAAAGTTAGTGTTTTTTTTAACTTAAATATTAAATTTAATTATGTTCATCAACTTTATTTTAATTCGTATTTATCTTTTAACTTTTAAAAATTTTAAATAAGCTTTTTTACTTAAATGTCATTTCAAGTAAAATTATAGTCAAAATTAATATTTGTCTTATCCTATTTTGTCACGTGTCATGTAATATTAACATTTTTTTTCTTCATGCTGACATTATTCATCAATTTTTCCCCCTAAAGTTTTAACTTCTCTCAATTGTTACTGATAACAGTGTCAATTAAATAGGTTCATAGCATACCAAATCAATCAGCAATGAACTTCTATGATACTTGCTACCTGCTTATTCAAAGGGTTCAAGGTAAAAAAAAACTCAACCATAAGTTTCTCATTCAAAGACTCTTACAGGAATTTGCTTGCAAAAAGTTTGAATATAAACAAGAGAGAGGAGGGAGAAGAGGGTGATGAAATGCGTATTTGATGTTTCTATAAAAAAAGTGTTAATGTTAAGATGATGTAGAAGTGGGAGTGGGAGCGAGGGGGAGAAGAATGAAGGGCATATATCTATGATGGGAGATTTGGCAACACATGATCATAACGTAAGTGACTAGTGGCACCAATGAGATTCCCAAATTGCGTAAGCCATGGGGCAGTCATGCAGGACAAGGGAAAGTGTCAAATGGTTTCGTCATATGTGTGGAGAATCCAATTTCATCGATTATATTGCATTTTCTAGTTATGCATTTATTTGGAACGCCAACACACTTTCTCTTAATGCGTATCTAAAACAATTAAATGAGAGAAAAAATAAATTTAATAGAAAATAGAAATGCCAGCTGGAGAGGGATGGAGCAACGGCTACATTGGGAAAAAAGCATGACACGTGTAATGCCCAAACGCCAACTAGCCGTTTGAGGTCGAAAGCGACTCGCCTGTCAGCTCTCCAACAATCACACTCTTTTTTTTAAATTCCGATTCCAACCACCATTTCTTACAACCTTCAACATTTATATATCTTCCACTCAAGTTAATCATTTAATATTAATTCAAATTTCAAGATTACCCCCTTTTTTTAAACTAAAAACAATTGAATTTTAAAAATATGTTTGTTATAATACTCTTAAATTTAAAAAAATATTATATATTTTTACTCTACTGTAATTCTTTTAAGATCTTATAAATTAAAAAATATTTATTTTTTAAATAAATCATTAACTTTATTGTATATTGATATAAAATTTACTGTCATAATTATTTTATATATAAAAAAGTATAAAATATTTTTTCATTTTACTTTAAATTTATCTTTCTAAAATTAGTCATATTTTATAAGTAAATAAGATCTAAATTCCTAAATTAAACTTTCCAAACCTTTTTTTTCCGGTAAAATAAGTCCTTTTTTGTTTAATTTCCACTAGATTGATATTAAGTTATAAATTTTACTTTACTTGCTCAAATTTGGCAAAATAATCTAATAAATTTTGTTGTTAAATGAACTGTCTCATTTTACTTGTAACACACCTTAAAAAAATTAAGTTAAAAAAAAAGTCTTTTACTTTTTACTTGTGCGTCAAATACTTAATAAGATTAAACTTAATAAAAAAATAAAGAAGGAATAACTTTATCAAAACAAAATAAATAAATATTCTTTTTTAAACTTATTTTAACTAGCCTATCAAAATACTGACTTCTTTAGTTACATAGATAAATTTAATGACAAAAGTATACTTTGATACGTCTGAACAAAATATCTTATCAACATGGATTTGGCCTAATTTAATAAAAACTTTATTAAATGCATGTTAAATAAATTATTTTCAAATTAGTGTTTATGTTTTAAGTTTAACCATAAAATATATTAAAATAAATAAATAATGAGTTATAAATTATTCTCATAAATTATTTATAAACTTTTAAAAATGTTTCCTAAATTAATTTGTAACACATTTCAAACTTTCAAAAAAAGGTAGAAGTTCCAAACTTTTGTTCATAAAAATACTTGTTGGAATTATATTTATCTATAAAATCACATTTGGCTAAAAACAAAACAAAAAAAGGAATTAAGATTTTTATATTAAATTATATTATAAATTTTAAAATAACAACTTTTAAGTATGAACTATTTTCCTCTAAACTTATCCATATTTATATATAAAATTGATAGCCATTATTTTACTGTATATATTTACAATAAAATTTATGATTATTAAACTTTAAAATACTTATAATTACTTATAATGTTGGTAACAATAACTACTTATTATTATTTTGTATATTTATATCAAATTTTATGATTATAAAGATTTAAAATATTTAAAATTAGTTATTTTATTAGTAATACGAATGTTACATTATTAAAAATAAAATATTAACTCTCACTTACTTATTAATATAAATATTTATAATAAAAATTATAATTATTAATATTTAAAATATTTAAATTTATTCACATGGTTAATGATATAGATTGTGTTAAAAAAAACGTTACTAATGTCAGGAATGAAAATAACATATTAACTATAAATTATATTTAATAATCATTTATTAAAATTAATTATAATATTTTGTATATGAATTAAAATTATCATTGATTCATAATTATTATTTTTACATTATATTTAAAAAAATTCTATTAGAATTGATTTTATATAAATATTTTATATGGATAGTTATACACTTCTAAAAAAGATAATAATAAATTTGTTATAAGTGATATTTAATAAAAAATATTTAAATTTATTAAATATTAAAAAAAAATTCATTGTGATATATTAAAAAAAGAAAAAAATATTAATCAAATTACATAAAAACTTTCATCAAAATTTAATGAAGTTCTCAAGTAATATGTTTTTTTTTTTTTGTTAAAAACTCAATTGATATGTTAATGAAAAATGAAATTGTATCTTATTTTAAAATTTAAATGTATAGATTTAAATAATTATTTTATATTACATATTATTAAATTATTATTTTATTTTTTATCTAATTAAATACATATATTGTTAATATTGATATTTTTTTATTAAATTCTATTTATATATTTTATTTTAATTTATTGAGTACGCATAAAACTACATTATTTTTAAGAGATATTATGTATTAAAATTTATTTTTAATCGATTAAATTATATCAAATCCATTGATATTATTTTAACTAAATGAATCTATAATAGTATAAATTTATATTATCTTAAATTATATCATAGAGTTGACATATCATAATGTCATATTTTAAAATTTATATTTAGTAATCATTTATTAAAATTAATTATAATATTTTATATAATTTATGAATTAAAATTATCACTGATTCATAATTATTATTTTTGTATTTAAAAAAATTCTATTAGAATTGATTTTATATAAATATTTTATATGAATAGTTATACACTTTTAAAAAAGACAATAATACATTTGTTATAAGTGATATTTAATAAAAATTATTTAAATTTATTAAATATTAAAAATAAAATAGAATTCACTATGAAATATTAAAAAAAGAAAAAAATATTAATTAAATTACATAAAATCGAATGAAGTTCTCAAGTGATGTGTTATTTATTTTTTTATTTTTTTGTTAAAAAGTTAACTAATATGTTAATGAAAAATAAAATTGTATCTTATTTTTAAATTTAAATGTATTAATTTAAATAATTATTTTATTTTATAAATTATTAAATTATATTTATGATAAAAAGAATAAATTATAATACAAATAATTTTTTTTTATTACACACAGCTTTTGAACTTTTTAAAAGTTCTTTATATTATTTTACTTTATTTATGTATTTTATAATTATATGAACGTTAAAAGTTATTTATCTAATTAAACACATATATTGTTAATATTAATATTTTTTATTTTTTTATTAAATTATATTTATATATTTTATTTTATCAAGTATGCATAAAACTACATTATTTTTAAAAGATATTATGTATTAAATTTTATTTTTAATCGATTAAATTATATCAAATCCATTGATATTTCTTCAACTAAATTAATCTACAGTAGTATAAATTTATATTATCTAAAATTATATGATAGAGTTGATATATCGTAATGTCATATTTTAAAATTTATAAATAAGATCTTTATAAATATATTTAAAAATTAATTATAAAAATTAATTAAATCTTATGTTGTAAATAAACTTTTCAAAGAAATTTTAAAATACTAATAATAAATAAAATATAATATTGTTAAAATTTATTTATCTTTATAACACTCATAAAATATTTTTTATAGTTAAATTATAAAAAATATATAAATTAATTTATATAAAATTGACTACACCTATTTATTACTGTATACATTTACAACAAAATTTATACTTATTAAACTTTAGAATATTCAAAGTCACATAAAATGTTGATAATATGAATGATCATTATGGGTAATTAGACATGTTAAAAATAAAACTACAAATTAATCATGAATTGCATTTAACAATTTTTTTTTTAAATTTTAAAATACTTAAAATCACATATAATTTTGGTCACATATATTATCAAAATAGATGTTAGTCTATATCAAAAATAAAAACAACAAATTAACTATAAATTGTATTTAATAGAAAATTATTAAAATTAATTACAATATTTTACATATCTTAATAATTTAAATTATAATTGATTCATAATTATTATATTTGAATTATATTTAAAAAAATTATTACAATTAATTATATATAAAAAAATTTACATTGATAGTTATACAATATTAAGAATGAAAATAATATATTACTATAATATATAAATTTGTTATTAAAATCTTACTATAATTGTTGGATTTGCATATCTAATATATTTATACTATAATAAATAAATAAATTATAAATATTTTAAATATAAATTAAATTTGAATGTTATATTTATTTTATATATATCAAAGTTCTTCAACTTTTTAATGTTTCTTTTATATTTTAAATATTTATTTTATAATTTTGAAAAAAATTTACAATCAAATAAAGACATGAATTAATATTTAAAATATTATAAAAATATTTTTAATATTTTTAATATTAAATTTTCAAACTATATTTATTTAATAATATTTTATATTCTAATTATGTGATTATTAAAATTTTTGAGATTAAAATGAATTTTTTAATACTTTTAATTGTTTTTGGAGTATTTAATCATGAACTTACAATTCATTCTCTAATTATAAACTAAATTATACGTAAAATATAAAGTACGATAAATATATATTTTTTGTATTGATATAATTATTTATGATATTATATTCTTAAAATTAATAATAATTTAAAAGTTAAAAAAATATTTTAAATTAGAATAATTAATCATTAGTATATATTTACTTATTATAAGTTAAATTTAAATATGCTATTTTAAAATTATAAATTAATAATTTTATATATAATTTATCAACTAAAGTTATGTTAATATTCATTTCAATTTTTGAAAAATAAAAATTAAACTTCATTCAAATAAATCTTATTTAAACAATTGAGTATAATACTAAATCTTATTGTTTATTATTTTTTTTATATTTTTACTCATTATTATATACTTTTTTTATGTATTTTTATTTTCATTTTTATGTTTTTTTTCATTTTTTTAAAAAAATTATTTTTTATGTTTAAATCAACTAAAGAAAATAACAATTTTTATATTGAAGAGATGAAAAATATATAAAATATACAAAAGAATTTATATATAAAAATATATTTATTATATTTTTAAATATAATTATATTTGATATTATTTAATATAATAAAATTTTATTATTAGATATTTTTACATTTAAATTAAAATTTTTTGTTTATTTTAAAATAATATAATTTAATAAAAATATAAATAAATTTGTATAACACACAAATATATTTATTAGTTTATAATTAAATTATTATTATTAAAATTTAGAACATTTAAAATTACATATAAATTAAATTTAACTGTTATAATTATTTTTTATATATAATTTATTTTAAAAATAATTAAACCTTTTATTTTACTGTCACATTAAAAATAATTATTATTTAAATTATAATTATTTTTAAATTAAATTAATTAATTATATATATATATATATATATATATATATATATTTGTACAAATTCATGTAACGCACGTGTATATATTATAGTTTTTAACTAGAGTTAACTTTATAAAATAAATATCACATAAAGGTCTATAAATACCTGCCAAACTCAAAGACAGCACTAGCTCTTCATGCAATGCACTCTATCACCTTCCATTGTTCTCCTTAACTCATAAATAAGAAGAAAAAAAAATCAATGTTTTGACTTTCGAGCATAAATGGAATAAAAAATTATACGTGCGTGCCATTTCGCTTGTACTAAATTTATGTTGGTTAACGACTTATAATTTTTTAAGGATTGTGTATAACAGACGTGTAAAAATAAATTATGTAAAATCTATGTTACTCTAAATATAAATAATGATAATGCAGGTAATCGAACGACAATCATTCCTTAACAAATATTTTTATAAGAGAATACATTATATAGCCTTTTATTGTTTTTTCTTTGAAACAGAGTCATTGTGTTTTTTTTAACACGTGCTCTTAGTATTGGCTTTGTGTTTTTGTCGATAATGTTATCTTCTGTTGATGCCATTTTTTGTTTGTCACGGGCCGTTGTACTATTGGGCCTATGAATGTCAGTTGTAAAAAGCGTGTTCTGGCTTGGGCTATTCGGGTTAACTTTTTAAACCGATAGGCCCGAAATTTGACCCATCCAAAGTAATAAAACAAAATTAAATGTGGGGGCGAGGGTTTCAGTATACATATTAGGGTTTTCGCTTTTACCATACGCTTTCGAGTCCACCGTGCGTAGGGTTTTAGGGTTCGATTCAATGCGAGCTCCTTACTTAGCCTTGTGAATCCACCACCGCCGCCGCGAATCGTAGGCAGAAGCGTCATAGCAGCAATCTTGTAAGTTCAAACCTTCAAACTCTGTCATTATAATTCCAATTGTGTCAATCTATTTTGATGTGGAAGGCTTCATTAGCTGAAACGATAGCTTAAGGAAAAGAAAAACTAGTTACGCCTTGGCTTTAAAATTAAAGTTATGAGGTTACTTAAGTGGAATTTGGAAATTTTACATACGCTGAATTTTGTTGTGTTGATTTACTTCTATGTAGTCATTGTATGCTTAACATTTTCAAGTGTTATAATTGAGATTGAGATGATAGTAGGATGATAGGAGTATCATAGTCATAAAGATGGTATGTGCTATCGTAAGCAATATAGAAGCTTAGACTCTATTTACCCCTCTTTTCGGCTCAGAAAATTGGTGGGGTTTGAGATATATGATTTTTTGTTGGTTTATAAGTGGGTGGCTAGTCATGGAATGGTGGTGGTGGATATATGTGCGTATAGATATAAATTGGAAGTTGTTGAGGCTGAGAGTATCAGCGACATTACACATAATTCGACAGATTGAAGGTAGTAAAATAAGATGTGCATTTACCTTTTGTCTCATAGCAATGGACACGATTTTAGGATTTAGATAGAAACCTGTCGAGATTGCTGTGCAGTGTGATTGAGCAGTTCAACTGAACTGTTTGAGTCTCTCAACCAAAATTAGTGTTAAATTACTAGCAGTTGACAATTTCTGCCCCTCTATTTTGTACTCAATGATTGTGTCAAGTATGCTTATTGTAAGTGGTAAGCTTGCATGACTGATATAGTATGTTGGTTTTTTTCAATAGAATTTTTATTATTAGACACGAGCTGGAGGCACAATGAGATTGGAGAAATGCTGGTTTTGCTCTTCAACTGTATACCCTGGACATGGAATACAGTTTGTTCGTAATGATGCAAAGGTAAAGTGAAATTCATTCCTTCCCAACACTTTGGAATCATCTTCCCTTCATATTATAGAAATTTTCTCTTTTGTCAAAAAAATTTAATTCAATACCTAAATTCATTCTTACTGTCCTGCCATCCCTACTATTACCAAATGACTAATTTATGTAGTTGACTGCTCTTGTTGGATCAGACAAGGTTAAACGTTTTATGAAAGTGGGAATCCATATGACATGGCCTGAGTGGCTCAGATTTCTGACAACCATTTTCTTTGCAGATTTTTCGGTTTTGTAGATCTAAATGCCACAAAAACTTCAAAATGAAGAGAAATCCTCGCAAAGTGAAATGGACCAAGGCATATCGGCGAGTGCATGGAAAGGATATGACACAGGTTAAAACTTCAGAATTTTTAAATAATTTAATTGTCTTGGTTTTTGAGTAAACTTCTGCATTGTTTTATTTTGTTTTAGGATTCAACCTTTGAGTTTGAGAGAAAGCGAAACAGACCTGAGAGATATGACAGGAATCTTGCAGAGAATGTCCTCAAGGCCATTCCTAAGATTGATAAGATCAGAGTCAGCAGGGAGGAGAGACATCATAAGAATAGGTCCGTCTTTGACTACACCATTGTATATAATATATTGGAAAGCTTTTTAAGGTGTTTTCTTTTGGCTCTCTCTGATGATATTTTTGTATAATTCTTAAATAGGATGAAAGGCAAAAAGGAAAAGCTGCAGAGGGAGGCAGCAAGGGAGTTGGAACAGGGCATCAGTTTGGTCAAAGCTCCTTCTGTGCTTCAAGAGGATCCATCTCTCACTTTATCGAAGATCAAAGTCAAGGTTTCCCAACAACAATCAGAGGAAAATCGTCTCATGGAAGAGTGATTCTGTCGGTGCTGTACTTTATTTCTTACGGTTTAACATTTCTGGCTAGATTAGTTGCCTGTGCGGCCCAAATTACCTCTTTCCTTGTGCTCATCAATGTGAAAGGTTTTGATTTTCAAACTAGATTTTTGGATAGGCGTTTGATATGTTGTCTCTTTGATGATGCCGATGGTGTTGAGATAGCGAACCGTTTTAAAGGAAATCAGAAAGTTGTTGCAGAAGACCAAACTCGAATGTGATCATTTTAAAACTCGGAATAGCCGAACTTGCTATATATACTTTTGCTCTATGACAAGTGAGTTATCGTTGATATCACCTTTTATCAATAGTTTCAATATTTTACATAGAGTAAATTGGAGGAAAGGCAGGGGCATCAAATGTCTGAAAATATATAAGGTACTTTTGTGTTTTTTGTATTTTCAGAATTCAATAAAGCTCTCCAGTCGCCCTAGAACAAGAAGAAAAACTTCCTCAAAATAGACACAGTAGAGCGCTAATGAGAAACTAAACATAGACCTCTCCTGTAACATTGATAGAATGCAAGCTCCTACCTAAGGCACCAGGGTGCGAAAAACGCACCAAGAGGGCACCATGGTGCATAAAAACGCACCAAGAGGGCATCATGGTGCATAAAAACGCACCAAGTAGGCACCAGGGTGCATAAAAACGCACCAGGAGGACACCAGGGTGCGAAAAACGCACCAGGAGGGCACCATGGTGCATAAAAACGCACCAAGTAGGCACCAGGGTGCATAAAAACGCACCAGGAGGGCACCAGGGTGCGAAAAACGCACCAAGAGGGCACCATGGTGCATAAAAACGCACCAAGTAGGCACCAGGGTGCATAAAAACGCACCAAGAGGGCACCAGGGTGCATAAAAACGCACCAGGTAGGCACCAGGGTGGGCACCACGAGGCACCAAGGTGGGCATCAAGGTGCACCATGGTGGGCATCAAGAGGCACCAAGGTGGGCATCAAGGTGCACCATGGTGGGCACCAAGAGGCACCATGGTGGGTAGCAAGAGGCACCAAGGTGGGCACCAAGAGGCACCATGGTGGGCACCAAGAGGCATCAAGGTGCACCATGTTGGGCACCAAGAGGCACCAAGGTGGGTATCAAGAGGCACCAAGGTGTGCATCAAGGTGCACCATGGTGGGCACCAAGAGGCACCATGGTGGGTATCAAGAGGCACCAAGGTGGGCATCAAGAGGCACCAAGGTGTGCATCAAGGTGCACCATGGTGGGTATCAAGAGGCACCAAGGTGGGCACCAAGAGGCACCAAGAGGCACCAAGGTGGGTATCAAGAAGCACCAAGGTGGGTATCAAGAGGCACCAAGGTGAGCATCAAGGTGCACCATGGTGCAATGATTCGGAGAAAAATTCATTATAAATCATTCCCTTGGGGAAATGTAACGAAACTTTGCAGACACATTTGGTGTTATTTTGTGTGAATGCCTGCAAAAAATCAGGTCAAAATTCGGTCCGCCACTGAGGACGCTTCTCCAGACTACAATTCAGACGCTGAAGGCGACCGATTCTCATGGTGGGCTATTCCCGTTTCGCTCGCCGTTACTAGGGGAATCCTTGTTAGTTTCTTTTCCTCCGCTTATTGATATGCTTAAACTCAGCGGGTAGCCCCGCCTGACCTGAGGTCTCAGTGAGAGCGTTCGTTTCAACACACACAGGGTCAGAGCCTTTGTCCAGTGGAGCCACACATGATTGGCTTAGAGCATCACTCAACCACCATTTGTCACGGTGTCCTCCACCACATACTCACTTTTCAGCCAACCACGAGTCGGGGCTCGTGGGAGGCCAGCGCTTACTCCATATCAACACCCTGTGAGGCGTTGGTATGGGGCAACAAATGTGTGACACCTAGGCAGACGTGCCCTCTTAAAGATGGGAATATATTTCGATCAAATGTAACATAGAACTGCACAATCTCTGAATTGTCACAAAATTTTGACCTATAAAAAAGTTATATATAAACTGCTCAAATGTGAAAGGATGCGTCTAATATTCAGAGAGTTATTTTGTGTAGTTAAATTACACAAAGAAAATCACAATATAACAAAGCTTATTATCAAAACAAGTTTTGGTACCACAACTTGGTCCCTTGAACACAACAAATAAAAACATACAGAACCAAAAACAAAACAAATATTGGTGTTCGTCTGCATGACAAAATTCTAATCTGCCAGAGCTTATTAAAAGTGCTAACTGCTTATCTATTACAACAGTTGTTTTTTTGTAATAAAAGTATAAAGATAAATGCTAATTGTATTTAACTATAGGGAACCTACTTCGACACCATCTGGCTCCCAAGTTGTTAGGCATAGTCAAGTATGTGGCTGCTGTATATCTCCCTATTTAAACTAACAAGAATACTCTCACTGCCCCGCGTTTAAAGAAGGCTATTTTGCAGCCAAAATAAGTTGAATCTCAAATTCAGAGAAACCCAAGGACTTCTCCATATTTTTAAATGTCAAATTGATGTTCCTAGTACTAATGAATTGAATTCTAGAAAACAATTCCCTCAAAGACAGAATAAATCCTTCGAAATGAAATTTTGAAATTCAACTATTCATACATGTCATTTGTAAGTCATTCTGATTTACTAATATATTTCCTTCTGATTCACATCAGAAGAAAATATAAGTGTATCCATATAAAGCAACAAAAGCATAAGATTTGAATTTAGCGTTTTTTTGGTTTTTTCTTAGAAACTTAATGCCTTTTTTCTGTGCATCAGACAACGCGTGATTTGGTTTTTTGGGGGGGGCGGGGTTCAAAACACGTCGTCTTAATACTGGCTATCTTCAGTTAATGGCCTATTTTTTTTGTTTGTAACGGGGTTGAAATATTGGGCTTGTGAATGGGAGTGGTAAAAAATGTGTTGATAGAACTTGAATGATAAGTTGAGAGCTTAATGACCCAAATTCTAGTTCGTTTTTTCGAGTCAACGGGAGCTAAAACTTGTACTCAGGTCGATCGAAAGTTCTGGTACGATGAGAGAAATATTGAAATCAAAGGTATTCATATTTCAGAAATCGTTAACATATCAAAAACTGGTGAATTGGGTGGGTGGAGCAGAATCCGGGTCATAATCATGCTCATCAAGCCATTGGCTTGGTTTTAATACATAATCTACGGCAACAAATGCAGACTCCACACTGAAGTGGAGCCTCCAGAAACGAAAATTGCAAAGCTAGCGCTGAACAAAGCTCCGAAGCCACTACTCAGAGTTGTGGAAGACAAGTTCGTTTCTCTCTTACGGTCATGTAACACCTGCACGCGCCTTCACCAGATCCAAGCCCAAATAGTGACCCATGGGCTTTATCACAACGATTACGTCGCGCCAAGTCTCGTCACGGCGGTCGCGCGGCTCAGCGGATCGGGTCAGGCCCGAAAGCTCTTCGATAAAACGGCGCAACGAAACACTTCCACGTGGAACGCCATGTTCCGAGGATACTCCCAAGCTGAGTCTCATTCGAACGTCGTCGTTTTGTTCCGCCACATGCACCGCGCCGGCGCTTTGCCGAATTGCTTCACCTTCCCGATGGTACTCAAATCTTGCGCGAAGGAAAACGCAGTAAAAGAAGGACAACAAGTTCATTGCGTTGTTGCCAAACACGGCTTTACGTGGAGCTCTTTTGTGGGGAATGCTTTGATTGGGATGTATTCAAGTAGAGGATCCGTTGGGGATGCTTATAAAGTGTTCGGTGAAATGCATGAGAAGAATGTTTTTGCTTGGACTGCTATCATTAGTGCCTATGTTTCGTGCTGTGACATTGTTTCTGCTCGGCGTCTTTTTGAACTTGCGCCTCAGCGTGACGTTGTGCTATGGAACACGGTCGTTGCAGGTTATATCGATTTGGGTGATATGGTGGCTGCGAGAGAGCTCTTTAATAAGATGCCAAACCGGGATGTGATGGCATGGAACACCATGTTGAACGGTTACGCGAATAACGGTGATGTTGAATCGTTTGAGAAGTTGTTCGAGGAAATGCCTGTGAGAAATGTTTATTCTTGGAATGGGTTAATTGGAGGCTATGCTCGGAATGGGCTTTTTAAAGATGCTTTGGGGTCTTTTAAACGGATGTTGGTTGAAGCTGATGTGGTTCCTAATGATTTCACTCTTGTGGCAGTGCTTTCCGCGTGTTCGAGATTGGGGGATCTTGATATGGGTAAGTGGGGGCATGTGTATGCGGAGAGTGTTGGGTATAAGGGGAATTTGTTTGTTGGAAATGCTTTGATTGATATGTATGCAAAATGTGGGGTTGTAGAGAATGCAGTTTACGTGTTTAATTGTTTGGATGTGAAAGATATAATAACTTGGAATACCCTTATTAATGGTCTTGCAATGCATGGGCATGCTGCTGATGCACTGAGTTTGTTTGAGCAGATGAAGAATGCAGGAGAGAGGCCGGATGGTGTTACTTTTGTTGGTATTTTGTCTGCTTGTACGCATATGGGATTAGTGAGGGATGGGTTTTTGTATTTCCAATCAATGGTTAATGATTATGCAATAGTGCCTCAGATCGAGCATTATGGATGTATGGTTGATTTGCTAGGAAGAGCTGGTCTTATAGACCAGGCTGTGGATTTTGTGAGGAAGATGCCTATGAAACCCGATGCAGTTATATGGGCTGCGCTTCTCGGGGCGTGTAGGATATACAAGAATGTTGAAATAGCAGAACTGGCTCTTCAGCACCTCATTGAACTTGAACCCAAAAACCCTGCAAACTTTGTCATGCTTTCAAACATATACAAGGATCTTGGGAGATGGCAAGATGTTGCGCGGTTAAAGATTGCGATAAGAGATACTGGGTTCCAGAAATTGCCGGGATGTAGTGTTATTGGGTGCAATGATAGTGTGGTGGAATTTTATTCCTTGGATGAGAGACATCCTGAGACAGAAAGTATATATAGGGCATTGCAGGGGTTGACGGTTCTGTTAAGATCACACGGATATGTTCCTAATCTTGTGGATGTTGCTCAAGGAACCTGAATGATTAGATAGGTACTGTCGGTGAGCCATTCGTTATTATCTGGCTCAGCATCCAAAACACTTGTTCAATTCCACAGGCCAAAATCAATCTTTAAATTCTGGCTCCGTTTAGAAAGACTGAGGTAGTTCAATAGGGTCCTTTAATCTATGTAACGAATTTTTGAATGAAGAAATAGTTACCAACGCAAAAGCAGTCAGGCTGTATATACAATAAGACGCTGAACTCTCTACGATTAAACATTTGTTTTCTGCCGCATTATTTTTAAGAGTAGTTTCTAATGAAATTTTAATGAGGCTACGCTATTAATGAACACTAAAATCCTGATTCTTCAATACTACTTGGTTCTCAGACTTAGTTAATGCCGTGCTAAGATAAGTAGCTTTCTCCGGCATGTAACTATTTTTATTGGATTTGGCAGTAACTTCATGATCTATGATTTATAACCACTTCTCTATAATTAGTTGCTGCAAAAGAATTAGGCATAGGACAAGTGGCTCTCTACCCTTTGCAATCAGGATTATAAACAGCATATTTAACTTAGACTTCTTGCAAAATTTTAATTTTAGTTTTTGACTAAAATTTTATGTAATATACATATCAAGAACTTTAATTTTTATAGACAAATATCAAGAATTTGATATGTTAATTTTGTATCTAACCCGTCTAAATTGAGAATTGAGATAGTTTATAAAATTAAGGAATATAGATTCATTTATATTAATTTGATAAAATATATTAATCAAATAGATATGTCCTATTTTCTTAGCTTACACATTTTTAAAAAAAAAGAAAATTAGAGAAGTTGAATCCATTATTTATGGGCCGTTTTATATTTCTTCCCTGGGCTAGGCCCATTTTGAGGAGAGGCTCAGCGAGTGTTCGAGGGTAGCGCGGGTTTTGCAGAGGGTTTTAGGGTTAGATTCAATGCAAGCTCCAATTCAATGCTCAGTGACAATGGCAGGAAGATCAATAATCGTTCGCACCTTATGCAGAGCTTCTTCGAATTCGATGCCAAGGAGAGCCTCTTTCCCATTGCGCGCTTCAAATTTCACTCCTCGCCATAACCCTATTGCTACGCCAAGCTTGTTCAGAAGAGAATTGAGCTCGTTCAAACCCTTACACACTGCGATTGCATCCTCTTACCTCGTCTCCAAGCTTCCCTGTGAAGCCAGCACTTCCACCGAAGGTCTCTCTCTCTTTCTCTCTCTCTCTCTTAGTGATAACAATTTTACTCTCTGCCTTGTAACGCTCTCAAGTGTTATAGTAGAACTGATATTTAGCCATACAAATATTGATAGATGATTGACGATTATGCTGTTGCCTATAAGCTTGAATAATCAAACAAAAATCTATGATACGATGTTTGAACAAGGTTTTAAGAATAATAAGAATGCAATATTTGACTCTTTTTACTTCTCTGGTAACTATGGAGAGATTGGTATTTAGATTACCTTGCTAATGTTGTTCCAGAAATTCATTCGATTGTAAACAAAGAGTGTGTTTGAAAATGTTTAATCAAGTGTTTTTTCAATAAGCTCCTTTTAAATGATGATTTAGGATAAGCGAAAACAACCTATTTTGATAAGCTATATCAAAAAGCTTTAAGCTAAAAAGAGTTTACAGGAATCATAAGTTATTTCCATAAACTGTTCTTCTAAATGGGATCTAAATAAATTTAGATTAGCTTGAATAATCAAACATGGATTGGTTTGAGTTTTTAGAATTAAGGGATTGTTGAGCGTATGGCATTTTTGTTTCTCTTTGGTGACAGTGAGATTTGCTGGCTATATCAGTCCTATCTAGTAGAGGCTGAAACGCGTATGAGGAATCCCCTTCTGTAATTCCTAAAGTGCTGAGTTTTTTGTTTTGAACCCGGCGCCTCTTGTTTATTAAGAATTTCAAATTCAGTTTTCTGGATTAACTGCCTAGCAGGTTTGCTACATTCCTTCATTGAATTGTTAGTCTTTGCCTGTCTTCTACTTCTGTCACTTTGGTTTGATTGTAAATTTGTAACTTTGATAAGTCAAATGATGTTTTGTACCTTTTATATTAACTTTGAAAGAATTATTGTGCGCATCATTTGAGAATTGCATATGAACAATTGAATTAGATTGCTTCCTCTGGAACCATGAGAAAGTAAAGATAATATTGACGTATAGTATTTTGTGGTAAGGCATCAGATTAACTATTACCTTGTTGCACTTTCTGTAATATGAATGGTATAAATTGAAGAGTAATACATGGAAAATTTGGTGAAGTAAAAATCATATGTCCTTCATGTGTGACCTGGGACTGTGCAGATCGTGTTTGGGGTAAATTTAGTCAAATTAGCATATTCGTCATTTCTTTTCCATGTCTTGATTCTCATAACGCGTAAACACCTTGCCGTGGCCCAATGGTATTTTTTTGTCATCTTATAAATATAAATCGGAGATAGTATGTTGGGGGAAATTGTACTTGTACTTGATTAGGCTTCTGCTAGATGAAAATTGGTGAATGGTACCGGCAAATTTACTGCTTGCAGTGAATAATGCAACTAATGTTTTAGTTTAGATTTTGGTAGGATTGATTTCGAAAGAATTGATATTAACAAAAATGATGTGTCTAGAAAATAAATTTTAAAATTGAATATCGAAGATTTGATCTTGGAGGGTAAGTAGAATCGCTTGTCGAGTGTAATTATTTATGATTTTAAAAGTTTTATAGGTTCAATTTAATTTATTAAAAATCTAGAATCTTTTTACTTATCTCAAAATTAATAATCTAATAGCAAAACATATTCTTATGACCGGATTTGAGACGTTTTGATTTGGTATTCATTTATTTATTTAATAACTCTTCCGTAGAGTTATACTAGTCTAGTAGGTAATAGCTTGTTTGGAAAAAAAAATCGTGGAAGACTTAAAATTCACGTCGAAGGAAGAAAATGTGATTTTGGTTGTTTAAAATCAAATTTAGTTTTACTCCTAAAAATATGTTTGACTAAAAATGTAAAGAAAAAAGGTGGTTTCGTAAGCAGTTGACAATGTCATACTGAATTTTTATATAAGCTTATTTTTAAGTGAAAACTTTTTAACCGTGAATTATTGAACATAAAGTTTTATATTCAAAATTAATTTTACTCGTTTAAAATTAAGTTCACAAGTCCTTGTTCAAATACATACTAGGTTGTTCACCAAAAAAATAAAATAACTAGGTTGAATATTGAAATTGCCATAATGGTTGATTCACTTAAATGCTCCGAATCCTTGGTCATTTATTCAAGTTTTATGGGAGTTTTTTAATCAATTGCTATGAATTACTCTTCCATCAGGATCTTTGCTCTCTCTCTCTCTCTGTGTGTAAATATATATTATCTTTTTGTTGAATTGATTTGCTGTACTATTTTTTATAACTTTTAAGCCATGGATTGGCTACTCTATTAAGAGTACACATACTAAACATGGTGCATATATTATTTGATCCGTATCATCACACAAAACTGGTTGTTGCCGACATTATGAGGTATTGGTTTTCTTTAATCCGGACGGGAAAAATTTGATGGTTGAAGAATTCATAGGAATTTTAAGTGTCATTTTCATCAATCAAATTAAATGTAAGTTTACGTTAACAAGCAAAGGACTTTCGCCAAGCTTCTAAGAAACAATATAACCCCAACAAAGCATACATAGATGTTTTAAAATTGTCTTTCAAAATAAGACATTTATTATTTAGATCGTGCGTTGCATTTTTTACTCACTTCTAGGGGAGATTAGCTTGAAAGACTAAAATTGCACATGCTTAAGGAGATCAGATGTCATTTTAGTCTTGATTACTAATGATACTAGACAATATAGTTTATGAACACGTCTGGACCCACCGATATATACGGATCCTAAGAATTTAGGTTCCTGGATTTTGTCTATGACTTTGTATCATCATTTTTCTTTCGTCTTTCAGTTTCAATGTCTGAATACTGCAGCAAAAAAATGGCAACGAACAGAAATAGCTACTATTTATTCCATTGTTAGTTGTAAGATGACAACCACTGAGAATTACTTAATTTAAACTGATATCTTTGCATGATCATCAAGTACAAGTTGCATAAGAATACTTTCAAGTGTCTATTTTAATAAAATGAATCACCAAATTCAAATAACAAAAGCAATAAATCTAATTAAGAGAAAAGCAAAACTAATTGTTTTGTTTTCCATATTATTGGTTAACAGCAATGGATTGTATTGGTTTGATTTCCCTTTTAGTTTTTCTTTTCCTTTTAAATTCTTGGTCCACTATCAGAAAATCATAGTTAGTACCCAAACCATGTTGGGAATATGCTACTGACAAACGTATATCTGAAGTTAGTCATGTTCATTGTTTGAAGAAAACGCTTGGTATTATTGCCAAAAGTAGAGAAGTCCGTTTCTTCTGCTCTAAACTTTTATGGATTGCATATAATACATACACAGACATTTATTTAATGTAGTTTCAGAAGCTAACATCATGAGCATTGAGCTTTTTGCTTAGCTGAAACCTTGCCTGGAAAAGATTGTGGCTCTGGCCCTGAGTCAGTAAATGTGGCTTTCGTTATGTATACAGCCATGGCATCGGGTCATTTGCATTAAATACGAAGTTCCTCTAAATTAAATGGTCCAGCATAAAGTCCACGTGACGTAACATTAATAACCAGAGATTGTTTAGTACTTCAACAACCATAGTGTAAATACAAAACCCAAAAATTGCTTCTTATTCAGTGCATTATAGTACAGTCAACGAAACAGCTTTTTGTTCTAATGATTTTAATAAGACAGATTGTTCTCGATATTAGGACAAGTATAAATTAAAAATTATTGCGTTCTTTTATTAGGATTTTTTTAAAGACAAATGTTATTTACTGTTCAGAGGGTATTGATTAACAAGTTAAATATGATTATTTTTGTTAATATTATAATAAAAACATCTTTCATGATTTTTTATATGGTTTAACACAATTTTTAACCTCTCCAGTAAGATCCTTTTTTGAATAAAGCATGATGGAAAATTTAGTGTATTATATTTAGGTTTAATTCCTGTACTTTATAATTATGCGCAATTATTGCGACTGGCACATGAGCCCTGGCTCACATGGAAAGGGCAATGGTTCTTTTAAGAGATCCAACTGCCAACCATGGTTTCGGCCTGTGAGAGACAAATTTCCCATTTACGCTCCGTTCCGCACCCGCCCCACACACTGTTTGTTCTAGGGCCTTTTTTTTTTTTTAATAAAATAAAGAATCATTTTGTTTAAATAAACTGAATTAAATATGGATTGGACTTTTTTAAAACAAGGAAAATATGTTTTAAAAAAAATACTGTTATGTTTAATTTTAATCTTCCAATAAAATTGTTGATTAGATTTTCTCTCACATCTCTTTTTTTTTTTTTCTTTCTCAAAGGGTGTAAAAACTCCAATTTATTAATGAAAGTTTAAGTAGGACCACTTAATCATAGCTTAAACAATCATCGTTAATATTCTAACAATCAATTGTTAGAATAGTTTTCGTTAATATTTTTTTTTATCTACTAGAAATTATATCATTTGTATAGACATGGTGAATTAACGCTTACAATGTGATGCATTATTCTATTATATGATATCGATGATAAATATCATTTTTTATGTCAATACAATTATTTGTTAGTGTGATATATTATAGTTAATGTGTACTTGCAATAACTCTATGATTATTTTTATTTTTATTAGACAAATTTTATATCAATAAAGGCTTATCTAAAGTTAAAATTTTAGGATATAGTTTTTTTTTGTAGTACATACAGTGTTTCAGATATATTTAGAAAAATAAAAAAGAAGAAGCATATACTTAGCGACAAAAATATGAGGTTAGTCAGAACTTAGGACAAACAACTTAGAAGAGGGCATTTTGTATATGTACTAAGATGATTGATACTTTAGGTCTTCAAATAAAATAACCCTCGAAAGAATTTGACAGAAAATTTTCTAGATTAAGATAATCAAAACTTCACGTCTAAAAACAAATGGCCACTCTGTCATTCGTTTTGCACTGTATATTCACTCAAGAGAAATAGTTGACTGTGTATTTGTCTTTATCATTCTCATCACTTGCAACTTGTTAACATGCAGATGCAGTATTTAATGTTGCTTTTGGAGCAAGTTTAATACTTTTTTTTTCAGTTTTAATTACCCATCCTCAGTGGACTTTGATGGAGGATATCATCAACTCATTAATTACCAATATTCTTGTTATTAGATACAGCTTTCTTCATGTTCCATTAAGATGTGAAGGGGGATGGGTCTATGCTTTTAACTTCATTGCTTTCGGGTATTTTCCTTAAAAAAAGTTTTAATGTAGACAAAATCAACTATAAACACTAAATTCATAATTAAAAATGTGTAATATTGTGTCTCATATTAGAAAACTATATTTTTATTAAAATATCTTTATATATCCTAACTAATTATTTATTTGAGTTTCTATAATCAAATGCACGTATATATAAGAATTACTCGTATATAAGTCAAGAGAAGTCGAAATGGAATCATGCAATTTTTCCCCAGTAAAAGATTCTTCCACCTTCATGGACTTTTGGCTGATGATAATTTTTTTGGTATTACATAAGGCCAAGACACGATAATTTCCTTTTAAGTTGGATACTTTATCCCTTTTGAATTGTCACCCTAGCTCACGTTTAGTTGTATATCACGCTTTTGAATCTTCGTTCACCTAATGTTAAATTAGCATTTGAAAAAAGAAGAAAGAAGAGGAAATTGGTGGGATCCAACTCGTCTTCATAGCCATTAGTTACAATTTAATTCGATCTTTTGGAAGGAGAGAAAAGAAATTCACGAATCAAATCATAGTATGAACTTACCAAAAGTTGGAACCTATATAATATATATAGGATAAGTTGGCTATACGGTCATTCCAATATAGTATTAATTAAGCAAAGGGCGTAGAGAAATTGAGAGAAAAATCGTATAATCTGGGAGGAGTATGGTTGTTCGTATTTTATTCAAGGGGAAGTTGAAAAGCAAAATGTGTTGATGCAAAGCCTTTCTGACTGGGAGTTTGAAAAAGGAATAATGTTATTTCAACAACTATTATCATAGCACATTTTACAACAAATAGATAAATAGAGAGACATGTGTTGTGAAAAAAAAGAAAAGAAAGAATTTTGTTAATCTACGTACATAAGATTAAATTTAAGCATTTAAAAAATAGTAAATGTGTGATAAATGTTTACTTTTTCTATTAAGAAGAATGGCATGCATTCTTATTCGCCATGTACAGTTTAGTTTTTTTTTAATTCTCCAAATTATCTACTAAAACTCATGTAGCTACGTCACCAACTTTCTCACTGCTGCATTTCATTTCATTTAGTTATTTTACCTCTCTATGTTACTACACTTTACAGTGAGAGTGTGTAGATTAGTTTACATAGATAGAATCCTTACGTTTACCATAAGCAATCTAAAATTTTGGATTCATAATGAGGGTGCTGCTATAATATACTTTGATCTTTAATGAGGAAGCTGGGCATGCTCCATGACCAGACTTGATGGGGTCCATAACACAAATTATGCCTTCAAACTTGTAACTTAATGCAGAAAGTAATGATGCCCCTGTTGGCTGTTTTATGTTGTGTGTATGACACATTCTCCCATTCTTTGTCCATTCCTCATTTATTTCCTCTCTCATTTCACAACATTTTTATGCATTATGCCACTAAAACTTAACCCCCAACACAAGATACCGTGTGTTAGATTAAGTTTTTTGTATTATGATTTCATGAGAGAATTTTAAAAAAAGGTTATTATTATATATTTTTTGAAAATTGTTTGAGGACTTTCTATTGTGTTTCATTTTAGTTATCCTACAAATCATTCCAAGTTGTTGAATTTGGATTCATTCTTACCTCTCCTGCCATGACTTTTTGGCAGCCAAAATCTTGACTGTGCATTACATTCTTTCTCTTTCTCCATTTTTATGTAATGACCAATTCAATGCCTGAGATCTTTGCAGGATATTAACTGGACAAGAGAGGATATGAAATTAACATATATATCTTATTGTAATTATTCATTAAATTATTTGTTAAGTAATTACTTAATTAGTATCCTTGAAAGTCTCCTTAGTAGGACTACTTGTACTTTTTTACAATGTAATAACATTATGAATTGATTCATATTAACAAAAGTAGTAATCACCCTCCTTTATAATGACATTAAATATTTTACTCTTGATTTTATTATCTATGAGAGTAAATAGATGGGAAAAATTGTGAGAAATTCCTTACCTTGTCTAGCTATTATCGTGCTTTTAATCATAGATGCGTTGGGAGTATGAGTTGGTGGGTCTAAGGGTCAAATTTATTTTGTGGGCCAACATTTATTCATGGTTCCCCACTAAAAGGCAATATTCTTTCATGTTTTTGGTTAATACAAAAAATAGCTAAAAGAACCACAAATATATCTACAATCCCATTTCATTGTTTGTTTCAGGCAATCTCAAATCCCTACCAGATTTTTGAGGTTTTGATTCCAGTTTATGTGCTACTTGGAAATTTTAAGATGCTTTAAAGACTCGTCCAGAAAATTAGGCTTGATGGTTAACTTAGATTTAAAAGAACTAAGATTTTGAATCGTTGTTTGACACGTAGTATATGATTCTAACAAAACTTAAATTCCTTGCTACGAAGTGATTAACGTTGCTAAATACTTAATTATTAGTAGAATCAACAAAGCTTTCAAGTTAGCTAAGCCGTACCCGCGTTTGACGAACACTAGTTATACTAATTGTCAAACAAAAAAATGAAAAAAAAAGGTTCAATCATTGTTTTTAAATTATTTCAATATCTTAATTATTTAAATAATTTACTAACAAACTATATATATCATAATTTATCGATGACATTGGTCTTCGTAAATTACTCCTAACATTTTCTCCTTAATTGCTGTCCTTCTTTAATTCCCAAAATCCCACGCAAAGGATAATACTATTTTTTAATAGTTTTTTACGTTATTGAAAAAATATATATTGTCAGATAAAAAAATTATATTAAATTGCATTAGAAATAATAAGAGAATGCAAGAAAATTTTATGAATATTGATTTCCATTTGTGTATATAATATTACATTTAATTTTTAAATATTCTAATAATACAACTAAAAGCAAAGCATGATCATCATGTCACAGAAAGTACTGTAAAGAAATAGCAGGTAGGAGGAGGGTAAACTTTTCCGGCAAGCCCTTTTTTCTTCTTTTTCGACTTTTGAATTGTAGTATTAACTGGCAAAACAGATTAAAAAAGCAAAGCACCTAGGTTTCTGTCTCAGTCTTCTATTCTTTTCCTTAAGATAAGATGCATATTATTTTTATAGGCATAGGTATATATTATAAGGTAAGCAGAGAATAGAGGGTCATGTTAGTTAAATGAAAGAAATTAAATGGTAATGGTCCAGTTAGGGAACAATATTCTCTTCCCTTTCCTGGCTCATCTCATTGATTCACCATTTTCCCCTTCAGAAACCCAAAACACTTCAAATGCAGTCAGCACCACCATCTTCCAAGAACTCTTGATTTCTCCATATTAGCTGAAAAACAAGAAACACCCAACACAAACCTGCTTCAAAATTTCAGATCTTTACTTACCCCTCTAGTTTCTTTGCTCAATTTTTTATGCAAAAATGAACGTGTCAGATATAATTTCTTGTTTTAGTGAGCACTCAGTGAATGTATCACATTCCTCATGTTCTAGCTACTCAAGCAACACTTGTATATCTCCAAGCCTTGCACCTTCAACCCAAAATTCAGTTTCTTCTGTGTACAAAACCACCCTCTCCAACCAAAAGCAGGTTTTGATCACAGTCACTTGGTGTAAGAGCCACTCCAATCAAGGACTCACCATAAGCTTTGGTGAAGAAAACCTTAACCAAGTAGCATCATCTTTCAGACTCAACACCAATTCACGTTTTTTAAGGAAGAAAAAAGGAAGCAGGCTGGTTGAATCTGATGAGTCAAAGGTTGAAGTTTTCTATGATCTTTCAAATGCCAAGTATGACACTGGCCCTGAACCTGTTGAAGGGTTTTATGTTGCAATTCTCATTGATGCAGAAATAGGCCTCATTCTTGGTGACATGGCAGAAGAAGCTGTGATCAAGAAGTTCAAAAGTAGAACACTTTTGGCTAAGGTATCACTGTTATCTAGGCGTGAACATTGTTCAGGGAACACTGTTTACACAACCAAGGCTCAGTTCTGTGACACTGGCACATGGCATGACATTTTGATCAGATGCAGCGGGGAAAATGAGGGCTTCAAGTACCCGGTTTTGTCTGTGTGTATTGATAAGAAGACAGTGATTCGTGTGAAGAGGTTGCAATGGAATTTCAGAGGCAACCAAACAATTTTTGTTGATGGGTTGCTGGTTGATTTGCTTTGGGATGTTCATAACTGGTTTTTCAACCCTTCTTCTGGCTATGCAGTGTTCATGTTCAGGACTAGGAGTGGCTTGGATAGCAGGTTGTGGTTAGAGGAGAAGAGTGCCCAGAAAGATAAAGATAGAGTTGAATTCTCCTTGTTGATCTGTGCCTGTAAGAACACATAAGGAAACTTGTTTATCTTAATTTTTTTAATCTTTTTTCTTGTATTTTTTATTTTATTGATGATTTAACTCTTTGTTTTTCCTTTCCCCCCTTTCTTCTTGAAAGGATACAAACTAATTCTTTTTTATCATAGGAAACAAAGAAAATAATTTTAGAGTTGAAGAAATTTGAGTGATATTAGAAACAATTGGCTGTGCTTGTGTCCTTCGTGTTTTTCTTTTTGGACCTGAATGAATGGTACTGATACTTTCGAGTTTTCCTTCATTTAAAAGTGCCCAATACTAGATTTCTACCAACCATGCGAAACGAAGTACTGGTCATTCCTAAGTTTTTGTTTTTGTTTTTATCATTGTTGTTACTTGTATTATTATTATTATTTTCAAGGAAGAGAATCCAAAAAAGAGTTATGGATTAAGACATGAATATCAGTGAAGATTTGCTAAAAGGGAAATTGAGATCTTGGTAGGCATAGTTGAATTGCTTTTAGCCTTTGTAGGAGAATAAAGTTGAGAATCTTGCAAGTGAACAATAACTTGACCACATTATTCCCCCTTGCCCTTTATAATTTTGTTTGTAGCTGTTCACTGTAACGTTGTAGAAAACACACCCAAATGATAACTATCCACTATGGAAACAAGTAACCGACAAGGTATGATTTATTTCCATTTGCTTCTCAGAGCAATTTAAATGTAATCAAGCTTATAGCAATGTACATAGCACTTAGGCATGAGCAATTTGATAAGGAAAATAGTTAAGCTAAGCTTAAATGGGTCACTTTCATAATCAAATAATTCGAACCATGCTTTAAAAGCATTTTAAATAATTGTCTAGTTTCTTTCTGGCATGGTGGAACCTTGCAATACGATGATGGTCTACTCCTATATCCTTAGACCCCTTGTGATTGCCACAATTTAACCCATTTATGTTTTTATTCTGAAATACATGGAATAAAATAAGACATTTGTTTTTTTTTTCTGTCCATTTTTCTCTCCTAATATTGCAGATATCATCTTTCATTAATGTTTTTCTGAATATGTAATTATAATAAGAACCAAAGAGCATGCTTTCCGTTTTCAGTTAACTGGAATGATATACCATTGGTTAATAATTGTGGAAGATATATTGCCTTATATCACGTTGAAAATGAAACCCGCTCTGTACCCATTTGCACAATTTACAAAATCAAATCAAACCAATGCATGCTTTCACAATATTCATTGGTCATATTTACATTACAATGTTAAATATTTATATTACCTATACCTTTTGGTTTAGCAATGCTCTCGGAATTTCCCAGCACCTATCCTAAAAACATTCCCACAACTTATAAATTCAAATCAGTACATAAAATTCAAAATTTTGGATCATTGTTGGTGCAATGACATTTTTTATTGTCACGTTAGTTTACTACTGGGGAATGTCCTCCACATCATTTGCTACCCGTTTTACACACATTTGGGCAACTTAATTATAATCAGTCGAAATGTTTATGAAACCATTTAACAAAAAAATCTTGCACTGGAAAAATTGAAGACATGAAAAGGAATAGACGGCCTTTGTTCCTGGGTTTCTCTCCACTTCTTGAAATAGATTTCATATGTAGGAATGTTAGTCCAAAACTGTCCTTTTGGACCACAAATTGTACTTTGACCTTCAATGGACTGGGCCAAACTTGCAACATCTAATTTCCAAAATATTGGTTTGTTGTTTTTGCATTATTCTCTTTTTTTCAACTGTACCACTCCATTAAAAAAAAAAAATTGAATGTACCAATCACTTTCAAAATTTAGGTAAGATCTTGTAAGATTCACTCACACCCTGCAAATGAAAAGGGTTGTTGGTTACCAATTTAACTAATGCATATAACTTATAAATCAAATATACATGGTCTTATCAATAACTCACAAAGTTTATCATATTAGAAGTTATATTTTGAATAGTTGAGTTTATCAGATTAGAAGTTATATTTTGAATAGTTTTTGTACTGAATAGGGAACTGCTCGGTCCTACATATAGAAAAAAGAAACTGAGTACCTATTCGACCCAGTTTGATCGAATACCTTTTGTCAGGATTAGAAGGTAATTAACCCAATTAAAGGTAATAATTAGAGTATTATTTACTTTAAAGTAAAAGGCCAAAATTCAAGGCTGACTCAGCAGGTCCATTAGCCCATAACAATTCCTATAAAAGGAAGATAGAAATTACAGGTAAAAAGTTAACTTTTCATTATTAAATAATATTTATTGCTCAGAAGCGAATCCTGACTTCAGCATCGGAGTGTCTTTTGCAAGTATCCTCCCTACATCAGCGACAGTCAGAAGGACGTCATCGTTTCAAAGCAGAGACTTGAAGACTAGTGTTTCCATAACAGAAACATTTTGGCGCCCACCGAGGGGCACAATTGCCTTGCTTTTTCGATTAATATGGTACTAACAAGAAGCTAGTAGGATGGACATGTTCAGCAGGGGGGAACTTCTCGGCAACAGCAAGAAGACATCACACCTACCCAACTAACACCTGAGGTTCTAGTGGAAGGAGGAACCGACGAGGGCCTTTTAGCGGTGTTAATGCAGCTTAAAATAGAAATAATGGAGATGAAAAAGGAAAGGGAAAAAGATGACCTGGAGCTCTCGATCCTGAGAAGGGAAAATTCTCACTTAAGAGAAGAAATAAGAACACGCATCCCTTCCCAAACTACCCCTCTCGCCTAGGATCAGGGGGAGTCTTCGGCGTTACACGAGAAACCGAAGCTAATTCAGCAATCTAAAACCAAGAATGACCGAGATGAGGTACTGAGTCGAAGCCCGTTTTCACATCATATCTTGGATGCTAAACTACCTGACAACTGGAGAGGCCTAACAATAGAAAAATATGATGGCACAGCTGATCCCGAGAAACACTTGGATGTTTTCACAACCCAGGTCGGCCTGTACACAGAAAATGACTTCTTATGGTGCAGGATTTTCCCCACTTTGCTAAAAGGACCAGCTCTCACTTAGTTTACCCGACTTCCCCCCTCATCTATTGACTCCTTCATAACCCTCACAAGATGGTTCAATTTGCAGTTCGTCACAAGCCGATCTCACCCCTTGACATCCATGGCACTTGTCAACATTCGTCAGGAAAAAGGAGAATTACTTTGAGCGTTCATGGAAAAATTCGACAAAGTGACCCTTTCCATCCATAATCTGGAACCAGCCATGGCCATGCACCACCTTACAACGGCTCTTAAGCCCGAGCCTTTCGTTAACTGCATTTGCAAAAAATCACCAGCTGACTTGGATGAATTAAGGAGTCGAGCTACAAAGTATACGCAGATGGAGGAATTAGCCGAGTACCAAAATCAAATTCGGATAAACAAAAGAGAAACTTTTAGACCTCGGCAAGAAAATAAAAGGAATGAACCCGAGAGGCCGCCCAGGGCGCCTAAATGCCCCTCTTACACCACACTCAACACTAACAGATCCAAGGTACTTGATCAGGCCTTAGCAACAGAAATCTTGAGTATGCCTAGACGTGCCAACACACTCCCTCGGGTAGATAAGAGCAAATCTTGTCGATATCATCGCAATAGGGGTCATACGACAGAGGAGTACACGGCCCTAAAGATAAAATTGAAGATTTGATCAAGGACAGGCACATTAGAGGATTTGTCCAAACAAACCCCACTAGTTATGCCGAAAGGAGGAGAGATCGGTACCCCTAATCCTCAAGAAGGTACGAGGATAGGCAACCCAAATAACAGCGGAGCCGGTCACGAGAATCTCCTGTAAAACGATATGAAGAAAGAGAAATATACTTGAAGAGAGTTATTAACACCATAACTGGTGGGTTTGCAAGTGGAGGACCCACTCATTCGGCTAGAAAGAGACACCTCAGACAGGTCCGCTCTGTTAATAATGTTTCATTAGGCAGTAGAATCTGAATCCCACCTATCACATTCACAGACGATGACTTTCAAGGAGTGGACCCGGTACAAGATGATCTCATGGTCATTAGTGTAAATATTCTTAATTGCACCGTCCGAAAAATACTAATTGATCAAGGGAGCTCGGCCGATATCCAATACTGGAATACGTTCAAGCAGCTGGGCATACCAGAAGAAGAGCTTAGAGAATATCACGAACCACTAGTTGGTTTCTCTGAGGAACGAGTAGAGACTCGAGGATGTATTGACCTGTATACCTTATTCGGGTCAGAGTATGAGGGAAAACGTATCAAAGTCACTTATCTAATGGTACACTCGAATATCTTGTATAATATACTACTCGGCAGGCCATCCCTAAACAAGTTGAAGGCCATAGTGTCTACTTCTCACTTGACTATGAAATTTTCATCAGAAAGGGGTAGAATTGTCACTGTTCATGCTGACCAAAAGACAGCAAGGGAATGCTATTTTGCAAACCTACGCCTCAAACCATTTCAAAACTATAGACGAGATGTCAATATTGTATCCCCTCGGTCTAGAGAGGACTTAGAGGTTGAATTGGATCCTAGGGTTGATGAGGGTGTCGAGTTGAGCCCAACGAAAATAAACAATCTTTCCAACTTGGACCGAAGCCTGAACAGGTTACTTATCTGGGGGTCGATTTGTCTGTACAAGAGAGGCAAGACTGTCAGGAAGTACTGCAATGTAATGCTGATTTATTTGCCTGGTTGGCTTCGAACATGCCCGGCATCGACCCTGCATTTCTCTATCATCACCTATCGGTTTATAAGGAGGTCAAATCGATAGCATAGAAGAAGAGGAATATTGGCGGTGACAAAGCAAAGGCAGTAGAGGAGGAAACGGGTAAGTTGCTACATGTCAGTTTTATCTGAGAGGTCAGATATTCCACTTGGTTGGCCAATGTGGTCATGGTTAAAAAAGCAAATGGTAAATGGCAAATGTGCACAGACTTCACGGACCTCAACAAGGCATGTCCAAAGGACGCATACCCTCTACCAAATATTGATACCCTGGTAGACGGTCCCAGTTTTTTGGATGCTTATTCTGGGTAT